TCTATTTTGGTGAAGCCTTGGTTGTGAAAATAGATTGTTGAACAATTGATGCTTTGCCTTATTTCTGATTGTATTGCCTTTGGTCGGTTTTAGATTTAAAAGATTTTTCAATTATTTTGAAAGTTTGTTAAAATCTTTTAAGAATTGTAAAACAACCATTGTTCTTGGTTTTGAAATTGTTTGGAACCGCCACTGTTTTGGTTAAATTTGAGAAAATCATAGCTGGTTTGATTGAGAATTGTTAAAATCAAAACTGTTTTTTATTAAAATCAGTTAAGTTGAGTTGCTGTATTTTCTCTTTGTACTTGTACCATTCTTTCTTGTGCTTTATATCCCGTGAGTATATTAAGTGGTCTGTTTTTCCCATTGGCTAATCCCTTATCTCGAAAGAGAAATAGGTTTTCTGTATTTTCCCTTGTTGTTTTTTGTAGGAAAAATTGTTGCTGTGCTTCGAGGGTAAATTCTAAATCCCTTGCCTATTGTGTGCAATTTTCTGTGGTTGTTTGCTTTTGGTTTGATTGTGTTTGTTTTTTAAACAAACTGTTTTTCCAAAAATCTTTCAAAACAAACTGTTTTCCGAAGCTGATTTAGCAAGTAAGTGTGTTAGCCAATATGACAGTTCTTGAGGGAAAGTTAGGGGATATATTTGCTGTTAGGTCTAATTGTTTACCTATGTTAGAAAATGAATGGTTGATTGATTCGGCTTGTTCTTATCACATGACTCCATTAAGATCAATTTTCTGTGAATACAAAATGTTAGAAAATTGCACTGTTGTTATGGCTAATAATCATGTGTGCAATGTGCTTGGAATTGGTAGCATAAATTTGAAATTTAATTCTGGTTTTGTATTGAAATTAAATAATGTGAGGCATGTTCCAGAATTGTCAAGTAATATGTTGTCTTGTGCATTCTTAGCCGAATTAGGTCTTGAGGGTAAATGGGGGCCTGATTTTATGAAAGTTATAAAAGGATCTTTAGTTGTTTTTAAAGCCGAAAGGAAAAATAATTTCTATGTGACCCAAGCTGATCCTATGATTATGCCTGCTTGTTCCATTAATTCTATTTCTGAAAATAAAATGTTTTTGTGGCATAAAAGGTTAGGTCATTTAAGCAATAGAGGTTTAGAAATATTGCAAAAATCTGGATATTTTGGCAATGATATGTTTTCAGCTGTGCAATATTGTGAAAATTGTGTTGATAATAAACAAACTAAAGTCCATTTTTCCTTACCCCATGTTGAAAAACGTGAATGCTCTAAATATATCTTGGAATATATATATTGTGATTTGTGGGGTCCCTCTTGTGAGTCCACTTTTGGTGGTTCTAGATATTTTTTAACCATTGTTGATGATTTTTCAAGAAAAACTTGGGTTTTCTTAATGAAAAATAAATCTGAAGTTTTTGGGTTTTTTAAGAATTGGAAAATTCAAGTTGAAACTGAAACGGGCAGAAAAATGAAATGTCTTCAAACTGAAAATAGTTTAAACTTTTGTAACACCTGGTTTGATAACTTTTGTGTGCAAAATAGTATTAAAATGATTAAAACAGTCCCCATGGCACCCCAATTCAATGGGGTGGCCGAGAGGATGAGCTGGACCCTTTTGGAAAGGGTTAGAAATCTTTTGACTTCATCCGGCTTACCCGAAATGTTTTGGGGTGAAGCTGTAGTTACAGCAACATATTTGATAAATAGATCACCCTCTATCCCCCTTAAAGGTGTATGTCCCGAAAGTAAATGGTTGGGTAGAAGAGTCGACATTTCTAATGTTCGTGTATTTGGGTGTTCTGCTTTAATACATGTTTGCAATGATGGTTTTGATTTGAAAACTGAAAATTGTGTTTTCTTAGGTTATGGTGTTATGGGGTATAGATTGTGGCTTTGTTCTAGACCCGGATTTAAAACTATTTTTAGAAATAATGTGACATTCAATGAATGTGAAATGCCATGTTTGAATGTAGAAAAATCTGAATTTGAATATGTTGTTTCTGATTTTAGTGAAATAAACACTGATTGTTATAATACTCGAAATAAGGTGGAGCATGATAAAGTTGAGATAGAAGAGGGAGAAAATGAACACTTTAATTCTAATTTTTGTTCTGTCAAACAGCAGATTAGGAGTGAATCTGAAAGTATACAATTTGATAATTCTGAAATTGTTGATATGGATTCTGAAATTGATTCTTGTGTTTGTTCTGCTGCTGAAACACAAACTGTTTTTAAAAACAGAAAAGTTGATGTTGAGGACAAAAATGTTTCTGTATTTTGTGCTAAGCCTGCTGTAATTCATGAATTTAATTTTGAAGAAATGCAGTCTTGTGATGTAAATACAGTTGATACTGATTGTGAATCAGAAAATGTGCATTTTGATGATTTAAATAATGCTGATACTGATTCTGAATGTGCACTGAATGTGCAATTTGTTGCTGAAATGCATGTTGTAAGTGAAGAAGTATGTTCTTGTGATGATAAACCTCTTAATATTGATCTTGAATCTGAAATTCGTGCTAACTGTTGATACTGTGCAAATTGATGTTGAATTTGATTATGAGGTTGAAAAGAATAACACTGATTTTCTTTGCAAGTCTTTTGAAAGTCAAAAAGTTGTTGTTGATTACAAATATGTGCAGTTTTGTGAAATACATGTAGATAATACTTGTTGTGAATCAGATTGTGTGCATTATGACATTTTAGTTAATGCTGATATGATTTCTGATTCTGTTTTGTGTGTGAAAACTGCTGCTGAGCAACACTTTGATTCTTTAAACGAAAATGTTGTTATTGCTGATTTTGACAATTGTGGTCAAAATATGGTGGAGTTAGATAGAAACAGTGAAACTGAAATCTTTGTTGATGATTTTCAAATTGGTGTTGCTGCTGGGCAGCATATTAAGGAAAATTTTGAAAATTCAGTTTCTGAAATTGAAAGCAATGTTGGAACTGATTTAAATGAGAAAGATGAGATTGAAAATTACCTATTTGTTAGAGATGGAGTTAGGAAGAGTCCTATATTGTTCTCTATGTTTGGTAATTTGAAGTTATCTTCTTTAGCTTGTTGTATGTTTGATGACTTACATGTGAATGAACCTATGATTGTTAGGGAGACAAGTAATTCTTGGTATAAGTGTCAATGTTTTGAAGCTTTAAAAGAAGATATGAACTCATTACTTAAGAATGAAAATTTGAATGTAGTTCCTAAACATTATGATTGCTTTGGTGGTGATTTGTTATCATTGATTGTAAATGATATGTGCTCTAGAAAGCTTGCTGTTTTTCGTGTTTGTATATTGTGTGATGCATGTTCTTGTTGTAAGACACAATTACAATGTTTAGTAGCTTTGTTAATTGTTGAATTTGAGTATAATCCTATTGGTGAAGATACAATGCTTTGGAAAGTTGATATGTTTGTATCTTGTGTGAAAATTGTATGCTTTGATACATTTGATTAGCCGGTGCTACTTGTGTGTAGCTGTAGGTTTTATTATGTATCATATTAGGTTTTCATATTGTCTTAAACCTAACTTGATTTCAATTTTCTTTGTGCAGGAGAGTAATTCAACAATAGGCTAAAATGAACTGTTTTTTAAAATGAACTAAAATATAAGGAAGCAATGAAAGTTCGGACCGTGATGACACCCGAGAAAACAATCTTCCACGCCCAAAATAAGGTGGAGATTTGTTATATATTTTGGCCCGTGATAATTGAGGCCTAGAATGCACACAACCAACCCGCCCAAATTGAAGCCCGGACCCGGCAACCCACTACCCGACCCAATCTTTTGAGAGACTCGTCGGTTCGCAAGCTGCCTGGCTTTGATCCGGGCTGGACCGGTTTGAACCGGTCTGGACCGCTGGTCTGTTCTGTCCTATATATATAGGCTGATCCATTGAACCGGTTCACACTTCATTCCAGAACATACGATACATAACAGAACCTTCTCGCGATTCTTCTCTCATGCCCTAGGCGATTCCTTCGTCATCGCGTCTGCCTTCTCCGGTGAATCTGTCCGGCGAGTTGGGAGTTCCTCTTCCCCGTTGATGCGCGCCTCTTCCCTCGGTGTTTCTACGGTTTGGTTTAATCGATTTGTGCCTTTATGTGTGTCTCGCGATGTATATGCTGTTCGCGGTGTGATAGGCTTGAAATCGATTGTGTTTCCGTAGATAAGGGTTCGGGTTTGTGTGTTTGTTGCGTTTCCGTGGCGTGTCGTTTGTAGTTGGGTCTTGGATGTGTGATTGATGTCGGTTGGTTTGATATTAGGGTAAACTGAGTTTGAACTGTTGCTTCCGTAATAAATCAAAGTTTTCTTTAAGTTTTCTTCGATGTTAATTTGATTTCGAGAGAATATAGCCTATTGGATCTTGGATTAGTAGTAACAAATATAATAAAGAGTTTTTATTTTAAAAGAAAAAAATGTGATTAGATATATAATTAGGATAAATAAAATTATCTTCTATAAATTATTTATACTAAACACATCCTAAATATATTTATTTATTCTTATTTTTTATCATCCGAACACATTAATTTTGTTTTTAATAAGTATAAATCTATTATATATATTATTATAAATAGTTTCAAATTTATATTTATTTAGATCAATAGTGTCATATTAATTTACATATCAAGAGCAAAATCTTTCATATATAAAAATACTATCAATTATCATTATAATATAATATTCATAAAACTCAAATCAAAAGAAAATAAAGAATCTTTGATTGTGTTTGGTTGTGATTTTTTTTTTCACTATTTATCTAAAAAAATACTTAAAAAATAACAAATTAAAATTTTATTTTTATTTTTATCTTTTTGGATATTGTTTTTAGCCCTATATGTTTATTTTGTTTAAAAAATAAACGGGGATAAAAGTTTTTTTTACAAATGCAATAGTTTTTCTTTTTGTGTTTTCCAATTTTATGTATATTTCAAGTATATGTTATTTCCTTTTCACTCTTAAGTAGTATATTCCCAGTCTGTAAGTAGTGTAATTTTAGAAAAACTGAAAAATTTATAATAAAAAATTGAAACCAAAATTAAAGAAACAAAAATATAATAATAATAATAATAATAATAATAATAATTAATAGGTTAGCTGAATCTCCAATCAAGTCTGACTTCTCCGGGGCCCTGGAATTGCTGACGTGGCTTACGGAAGGAAACGATGTGGCTGCCGGCCATGAACGCCGTCACCCGCTCCGACACTCTTATCTCCTCCATCCTCAGCTCCGCCAGTCTCTGCACGTACTCCGCCGAGTGCACCACGTCCCACACCACTCCCACCCCTCCCGCCTTCAGCACCCTCACCGCCTCCCCCACCACCCGCATCCGCTCCGCCGCCGCCGCCGCCGTCTTCTGCCCGAACTCCTTCCCCACCGTGTGAACGAACGCCGCCGACACCACCACGTCAAACGAGCCGTCGCCGAACGGCAGCGCCCTCGGGTCACCCGTGCGGCACGTGACGTACTCCTGGACGCCCTCCAGACCGGCGGTTCTCAAAGTTCGGGTCGGGCTAACCGACCTCTTCCGATTTCGGTCCGGGTTCAGACCCACGACCCGACCCGACGATCCCGATTTCTTCAGCTGCAGTGCGACGGCGTTGAGGAGGATGCCGCGGCCGCAGCCGAGGTCCAGGGCGTGCCTGACGGAGGACCAGTCCGGGACCAGGGATACAATCCGCTGCGACATTTCCCAGTGCAGGGAGACGGCGGAGAAGAAGAAGTTAGCGGCGGCGAAGAAGAGGCACACGGCGGATATGGCCGTGACGGAGCCGGTGAAGCCGGCCGCGAAGCGGGCGGAGCCCGGGCCGGGTAAGAAACCCTGCAGAAAGAAGCAAATGGGCTCGAAGTAGATAAGGAAGGCGAGGGACAGAGCGGAGAAGACGACGCCATGGACGAAGAGGAACAATGGAGTCTGCCAATCATCCACGCCGTAGATTGCGTAGATCTGCGCCCAATCTCGGCCGTTCGTTTTCCCCATTGATTTAGTAGGGTTTTGCAGACTGACTGAGGATTTATGATCTGATCGGATGGGATCGGATCTTACAATTCGTTAAGACAGAAGTACAACACACATAGTATAGAGCAAAACGACGCCGTTTATGTCGAAGGAGATGAGATAGAATCTGAATTCTTGATGATCAATCGTAAATTCTCTCTTACGCGTTTTCGTTGTGGGTTTTGATCAAGAAACCCAAGAATGAATACATATATATATATATGTATGTATGTATGCAATAGTGGAATTACATAAAAAAGGGAGTGGAAAGTTGCTGTGGCGATTGGGGTTTAGGGTTGGAAAGGATCAAACTTTCATTGTTTCTTTTGACAAAGTAAGTGTGAAGATATATAAATATAGATCTGAGAAATATAAAATTTAGAAAAATATAGATGATATAGATCTAAGAAAACAAGAAATTTAGGAGGTTCTTTTTGTGATGGATCGTCCAATTAATTGTGGGGGGGGAGGGTCTGGTCTGGTTCATGTGTAGAAAGATTTCCTGGAATAAAGGATCTGGGAGGAGTTGATAGAGCACCACGGTTGGATTTGATAGGGACATGATCCGACGGTCCAACTTGCATTTTGGCATCCTTATTAGATTTACCATCTCATTTTATCCTTACATAAACTATGCATTATTATTATTATTTTATTATGAAAATACTTTAAAACCCTCCATGTCCATTAAAAGAAAGTAAGGTTGTTCTCCTCCGTCCCAATTACAATAGTGTTTGTTTCTTATTTTTGTTTGTTCTAAAACAATAGTATTATTTTTATATATAATCATGTTACTATAAAATTATCCATATTTTTTTTATTACACAATTAAAATTATATTTATGGGACGAATAGAGTATTTTTTTTTTTAAATTTTCACATGTTTTTTACCATTCAAATTTTCTTTTTCTCCAAAAATATCAATTTAAGTAATTTTCATTTTTTTTATATTATATTACAATTTATTTTACATTCAAAATATCGTATGAATATTTATTTATATCACATCAAACAACTGTTTAAAACCCCAAACCCACAAACAAACACATCCTAACATGGATATACATATGATGGTAGTTACCAATCTGTCATTACCAAAGAACGAAGTTAATCGAATGATCGTCAAAACGATGTGTCATGTTAATTAACGATAAAATTATAAAATTAATTAATTTCCGATATAATAATTTGACAAAAAGAAATGGAAAAGAATTCATCATCAATATTTGGCTTGTTATCTAGTTGTAGAATCATTAGTCCCATCAAGAAGTCCATTACCTTTTTTTTAAAAAAATAAAAAATAAAAAATAAAAAAATAAGGGTGCGTTGGACAATTAGTTGATAATTTTTAGCTGTTAACTGATTTAATTAACGGTTGATTTGCTGTTAGCTGATTCAATTAGCGGTTTGTATTAAAGTGTTTGGTAAAACAACGGTTTGACATTAGTTGTTTATACATAAAATGACTATTAAGGACATTGATATGTTATTTTTTAAAATATTTAATTTTGTTCATTTTAATTTAAAATTTATGAATTTTTTTTATTAATTATTGAAAATTATAAAAATATTATAAAATATTTATCTTTATTTTTATTAATTAGATTTCGAAAATTATTTTTACTAAATAATAATAATTTTTTTATTGAAATTATGTTAAATATAAAATATAAATCTTTCGTGTATATATATTTCTATTATGTTAATTATTATTTTAATATATATAAATAAATTAATAATTTTTGTTTTTTTTATTTGATTTAGTTTTAAAATTTTATATATTTTACAAATAAAATAATTTATATGTAATAATTAATAATAGTAATTATTTTTAATTTACAAAAGTAAAAATATAATTTAATAAATTGGATATATTAAACATAATTAATAAATACTGCTATAAAAATATATTTATATATATAATAAATAATTAAGTTTTAAGGATAAATAAAAAATAATCAATATTAAAATAAAAAAGTCACTTTCAAAACGTTGGATAAATCAGTTTTTCAGAAATTAACTTTTTAGGTTCAAAAAACTCTTTCAAAAAATTAATTTACCAAATATTTAAATTAACTTTTTAACCGATCCAACAGGTAAAAACTTTTTACAAAACTATTTTCCAAAAAGTTAATAACCCACTAATGGGTCCAAAAGAACAATCAAACCTCTAAAAGTTAACAACCCACTAATGGGTCTAAAAGAACAATCAAACAAAGAACCCAACATACATACATACATATATACATATATTTTGGCCCAATAAATAGGGCCGACTGATTAGTCTAGGCTTACACGATTTTCACCTTGATCATTTATCTTTTATATTCTCTATAATATTCATTGCTTGACAATTTTAACTCACAAAAAATTATTAAAAAAAAAAAACTTACTGCAATAGTTGAAGAAAAATAGGACATATTCTTTTGTGTTTTTACCTTTCTTTTTTCATTGGGCTAACATAAAATTCATTAATGTTTATTATAATTTAGAAATGATTTAATTACTGATATGATTCGATTGCAAATGAGTTCATCAACGTATATCTGTCCGGTCAATGGTTTCTGAACTTCTCTGGCTATCCTATTTAATTTGCTTTTCGGATCTTGTAATTAATTGTCAAGCTATCTTTGCATCTGAGTTTGAATTTTGAGTTGAGATTTGAATAATAAAAATTTTGAATTTGAATAGTTGTATGATGTGATATAAATAGATGTTGATGTGATGTTTTGAATGTAAAATTGATTTTTAGTATAATATAAAAAATAAAAAATAGATGTTTTATTTGATATTTTTTAAGAGAAAAAAATAGAATAAATAGTGGAAATCTAATCCAATCTCCCAAACAAACACACCATAATTAAATTTATTAATTAGGTGGTCCGACAATTTGTATAAATTCATTTTATTTATTAAATTACAATAACTGACTACAGGTTTGTTTAGACATAGATTTTTTTAAACTTGAAAATTTAGAAAAAATAAAAAATTAGTATTTAATTTAATATTTTGTGCTAGAAAAAATGTATTCCTTTCGATCCATTTGAAGAGTGATATTCGTTTTCTTTTGAATATTAGTATTTTATTGGAGTGTAGTAAAAAAGACAAAAATATCCCAATTAGTATAATATAATATAAAAGTAATGATATTTGTGTAATATATGATAAGTTGATCGAAAGGATATTTATTATTTTAAATAGGTAGATAACTTTATTTTTGGACGGACAAAAATAAAAAATAATAATTTTTCAATGGGACAAAGAAATTATTTAATTTAATATTTTTCTTAAAAATAAATAGTATCAAATGAGATGGAAAGTATCTGTGTATTATAATTTATTTTATTTATTAAATAAAATTAAAAGCAACCTCTCCAAGTTGAAAGTTGAAATGGCTCCTCTACATTGAACAAGAACAAGAATCATAAATATTCACTATTCTATTGTCAAAACCGAAGCAGTAAGTAAACCATGGCGATATTCCGATGGCCATCCGCCGCCGTCATCTCACTACTGCCGGTGCTCGCCGCCGTGGTGGTCTACCAACTCGAGACCTTCGACCCGGTCCCCTACCCGGTCGAGGAACTGGACCGGATTGGACCGCCGCTGGTCGCCCCCAAACAAAACGCGCGTATGCTGCTGGGATCTGAAAAGATCGCCCACGGTGAGGTGCACGCGCCGGAGGACATCGCTCTGGACCCCAACACCGGCGATATATACACCGGCGGCGAAGATGGGTGGCTCAGCCGCGTCACGGCCGGAGGCGCGGCGACGAAGTGGGTCAACACCGGCGGCAGGCCGCTCGGGATTGCTCATGGGCTTCACGGCGAAGTCATCGTCGCCGACGCCGATAAGGTCATCTTGTTCAGATAAATTTAATAAGGGTGCTGGGGCGGGCAAAAATTAACTCGACCTGAACCTGAACCTGACCTGAAATAGTTGGGTTTGGATTGAGATTTTCGACCCAATTAATAATTGGGTTAAATCTGTTTAACTCATTTAATTAAATGGGTTAGGTTAAGGTCTATATTTTCGACCTGCAAATAACCCGTCTAACCTGGTTAATTAATATTATTTTAAATTTAAATATATTTTTTAAATTTTATCAATACAATTCAATATTTATGGCAAATTTTATAAAAATAAACAATAAAAAATAAAAGATTGTATTGTCTACTATTATGTAGCATTTGTTAATTCAATTCTTGGATATCGGTTTCAGAATAAATAATTTTTTGCTTTAATATATATATTATGCATTTAAAAATTTTGTTAGTATAAATTGTAATTTTAAATTAAAATTTAAAAATTTTAGATTTAAACGGGTTATATGAATCAGATTCACGTTGACCCGATTAATAAAAGGTTGCAAATATCAACCCATTTAATTAAATGGGTCAAGTTCAGGTCAAGGGTTTTGTAACCCGTTTAAGCTAATCCGGACCTGAACCCGATCCTTTGCCAGCCCTAAAGAGTGTGTTTGTTTGGGAGATTGGATTGGATTTACAATATTCATATAATTTTTCCCCCAAAACATCAAATCAAACACATATTTTTCATTTTTTATATTATACTAAAAATTAATTTTACATTCAAAACATCACATCGACACCTATTTATATCACATCATACAACTATTCAAATTCAAAATTTTTACTATTCACATCCCAATTCAAAATCCAAACCTCCCAAACAAACACACCCTAATATTATAATTATTTCTCACGATTGATTTGAAAATTTATTTTTTTATAAAAAGAAAAAAATATTTAATAAATTGCTCCTTTGACTGACTTCCTAGTATTATTTATTTTGGCCATGTGAATCTGCAGTTTTTTTTTTTAATTCATTCTGTAGTGTTATGATTTTTGTCTTCTAACTTTGCCTTTGAACAAGAGTCCGAAAATAGTTGTTTTATTTTTTTAATAATTAAAATGTAAATACTAAATATGATAATTGGAACAGAAAATAGTGGTTATTTTTAGATATTGGTCCCTCCATCTCATATACTGGGTCTTGTTTGCCACAATTAGTAGATAATTAAAAATATATTAGTCAAAATAATTATCTTATAATATAAATAATTTTAAGATTAAGATAATTAATTAATTTAATTAAAATTTTAAAAAAATAAATTAAAAAATTTAAAATAGATTAAAGTGTGTAATTATTATTATTATTTTTTTTAAAAGTGACATAAAATATGAGACGGACAGAAACGAGAACGTAGGCATGATATGTGGGACGGAGGGAGTATAAAATAAATTTTGATATAATCCTTTATTTGATGTCATGGTTTGAATTTTCTAATGGCCCTGTGTCTATTTATTTCTTAGAAGGGGCTGGTTTATTTGTACTTGTACGGCTCCAATTTTGTTTGATCTCAATTTCAATTATATACATATATATTGGCTTAATACGCCTCTTCACTTAACATAATATATATTTTTAAAATTAAAATACTAAATAAATATATTTATAATAAAAAAAATAAAAAATATCAAACCTAATATACTTATCTAATTATAATTTAACAGTATGTTCTAACAATATACTTTCTTCTGTCAGTTCATATATTGTATTTATATTATATTAGTATATATCGTGCTGACTTTTTTTTTTTTTTTATTTTTTTATTTTTTGCAATTTTGGTTTTTAGTTTGATGATGTTTTTGTATCTAAAGTGTCTTTGGCTGAGTTGTGACTTCAGGGACTCCTAAACATAAGCAAAGAAGGAGTGATCGAATTGCTGACAGATGAGGCCGATGGCCTGAAGTTCAAATTAACGGATGCCGTAGTTGTCGGCCCCGACGGCACCCTCTTCTTCACCGATGCTTCTTACAAATACAATGTCCGAGACAGCGTTCTCGACTTGTCCGAAGGTAGACCCCATGGCAGATTCTTGAGCTATGATCCATCCACGAAACAAACGACACTCCTTTTGGACAATCTCTATTTCGCGAACGGGGTTGCGCTCTCTCCCGACAATGCCTACCTTATTTTCTGCGAAACCGGCATGTGAGCTCTTGAAGTTTCTTTATGCTTGAGTTATCTTTAATTTGAATGAGATAATGTTACTCTCATCGAGACAATTCGCTTCGAAAATTTACTTCTTCTTACGTAGTTTCGAATATTAGGTGTCGCTGCAAGAAGTATTACATAGAAGGTCCGAAGAAAGGAAGTGCCGAAACATTTGTTGAGAACTTGCCCGGGCTACCCGACAACATAAGATACGACGGCAAAGGGCATTATTGGATTGCATTAGCCTCGGTAATAAGTGTTTTGATTTTTGTATGGGCATTATTGGATTGCATTATTTGAAAAGTTTATATTATTCTTCTTTTTTTTTAAAATCCCATGAAACTCTCTCTTTATCTTAGAAAATATTTTACAAAATTCTTTAAAAATTGCACGACGTTTTCTAGCATTCTCGAAACCTTACATAGAATCCTCCAAAAAGAACTTATACGATGTTTTTTAAATCACGAGGAGAAAATGTGCGGACTTTTTAAATTACAGGTGGAGCAATTTTGCCTTCTAAAAAAAACTTCTATCACTACCGGAAAAATCTAATATTGCTGCGGAATTATTTGTCGCAAAACATATATAGTTTCGCGACAAATTTAATGAATTGTCAAAAAAATGTTGCAGAATTATATTTGGGAATGGATTTTTCGTGACTATTTGTTATTATCACGGAAGACCCTTCGGCAACAAATTGCTGGTTACGTTTTCCTTCTGATAAAAAAATATATCTTTTCTTGAGTTTTATTCGATGTCGTTTGTGAAACAATGTAACAGGAAGCGAAATTCTGGCGATTGGCGCAGAGATATACGTGGATGCGAAAAGTCTACGGGATGATGGAGAAGTACAAAATTCGACCGATTCTAGAGAACAATGGCGGTGTTTTCGTGGTGGATTTGGATGGCAAACCAGTTGCACACTATTACGATCCGAAGCTATATTACATCTCCACGGGGATTCAGATCGGTGACAATGTATATCTTGGATCGATAGTGTTTCCATACATCATTAGCCTAAACGTGAGTCGATATCCGGCAACTCCAGTAGCTGTAGCTGCATGATCAACCAGAAATCAATCTAGGAAAGGAAATGTTAGTGTATCATAGGACTCGACGAGGATCATAAAACTCCGTTGTTTTGCTTTCATTTGGTAGAAATAAATACAACATGGCCGTGTTTTTCCCTTTGAAATGCTGTCTGGGTTGAATACAGAACATGTTATTGAAGATAGATTTTAAGAGATCGCGCAGTTAGGTTGTTCTTGTTTGTGATGAGCACTGGCAATGTTCTTAGAGGACACGGCCGTGTTCTTTCTGCATTATTCGGATTGTCTTTTGTTGTTCTTACCTTAGAAATATAGCTGTTTTACTTTTTAGAACAATAAGTCGTTTCTCGGAAGCATTATCGAGACGTAATTATTTTGTATATAAAAAAAGTTTCCGCGACTAGAATATTTTGCGAAAAGGAACCAAGTCACTAAAAAGGAGTATGCCAAAATTATTATTAACACGATTTATTTAACAAATTGTCCAAGATCTAACCTAATATGCCTTGTGAACAAACTAAATTGATATACTACTAACTAAAACCACGAATACTCTACTAGAGTTTTGAATAACTTAAAGTATATTTAAAAGTACTATAATATATGTTCGACAGATAAATTTTAGAGGCATCGAAAATTTGAATCTATGACCTTACAGTTACGAATTCACCTCTACACTATCCGATTCTTCCGGACTAATATATGTACTTAGTAACATGTGCTTTAATTAGTCTGCTGCATTAGTAATATTAATTAGTATTATTATATCAGTAACCAACTGTCCAACTTGAAAGCTCTCACCTTCTCTGATAACACTTATTATAAGAACTGTATGGCTATTTCACTATTCTATTCCATCGCATCTGTAAAACTAAACAAGTTGAACAATGGCGAGAATCCGGCGGTCTTCCGGCGTCATTATTGCAGTATTTCCGGTGCTCGCCGCCGTGTTCGTCCACCGTATCGACGCCTTCGATGCGGCTGCGTACCCGGACGACGAATTGGTCCGGATCGGACCGCCGTTGGTCGCACCCAGACAGAACGCGCACATGCTGCTGGGATCTGAAAAGCTCGGCGACGGCGAGTTGGCGGCGCCGGAGGACATCGCTTGGGAAAGGAAGACAGGCGCTATATACACCGGCGGCGAAGATGGGTGGGTCAGCCGCATCAGTCTCGGTGTCGGCCATTCTCCGGCGGTGAAGAAATGGGTCAACACCGGCGGCAGGCCGCAAGGGATTGCTCATGGCCTGCACGGTGAGGTCATCGTCGCCGACGCTTATAAGGTTTGCATGTCTTTGTTTCGCAAAATCATATACTTTGTCTGTTCAATAAAATTATCTAGGTTTTGTTAATCAATAGTATTGTTTTATCATTTTTGTCATATTTAAAACAATAGTTTATTTTTGATAATAATCGTATTGTTATAAAATTATTTTTATTTTTAATTATAATTATTACCTAAATACCATTGTTTTTTATATTAATATACTAACACTGACAAAATATGTTTTGCTCAGTACTTTCTATACAAAAGAGTATTATTTATTAAAATAAAAATAATAAAATTGTGAGGTATAAATTGTTTACTATAAGAGTGCATTTACTTTAAATCCTTAATATGCCAATCTTAAACATAAAAATCTCGACTCAATTCAGCTCATTTATCACAAGATGCTTCTCAATCTTTGCAGGGTCTTCTAAATATCAGCAAAGATGGCGTCATACAATTGCTCACAGACGAGGCTGAAGGTCTCAAATTCAAATTAATTGACGACGCGGCTACAGGTCCCCACGGCACAATTTTCTTCACGGATGCTTCTTCCAAATACGATCTTCATGACTACCTTCTCGACATCTTCGAAGGCACACCAAATGGAAGATTCTTGAGATATGATCCAGCAACCAAACAGACAACAGTTCTGTTGGACAATCTCTATTTCCCAAATGGGGTTGTTCTCTCTTCGGACAAAACTCACCTTATTTTCTGCGAATCTCCCATGTCAGCCCCAAACCTTAGCTTAATTTTCTAAACAAATTAATTTATTTCAAAATAGAATATTAGCCAATGGATCGATCGATGAGGTTGCAGGTGTCGCTGCAAAAGGTATTACATCGAAGGTTCGAAGAAAGGAACTGTCGAAATATTTGTCGAGAACTTGCCGGGACTTCCGGACAACATTAAGTACGACGGCAAAGGCCATTATTGGATCGCATTAGGCTCGGTACGTAGTTAAGGTTCTGTTTACTTATGGTTTCAAGATTGTTATGGCATTATTCATTAAAACTTATTTTTTTAAAAATTCAAAATGTGTGTATATATATATATAATATTTCTAATTATGTTCACTTTTATATTTATTTAGTATTTAATATTATCCTACATTTCATTCTTGACAACTTTAATTTAAAAAATGTTCTACGTTATTCTATCTTATACAAAACTCACATGCTAATGTGATATTCTTTTTTTAATCGATTATTTAAAAAAAATTCTTTTAAGACAATATAGGTAGAACGAATTGAGTAAAAAAGTAATCTCAATTCATTAATTCAAATACATATACTTCTTATATCTCATAAATAGATATAAATGTGATATTACATTAATAATTTGACGAGGATTATATAAATTATTAATAAAAATGAATATGGTATTATATTCCCATTTTTATTGCTTTCAAAGTAATCTAAAACTCCAAAACATTTTCAAACTATATGTAAAGATACTCTTTAACTTTTAGATTATTGTTCATCATATTGGGTCGGGTTGAAAACATATATATGTGCATCGATTATTTGTGGAGTAGGACGCGAAATTGTGGCGAGTGGCACAGAGAAACCCGTGGATGCGGCAATTGTACGGGACGATGGAGAAATACAAAATACGACCCACCCTTGAGAAGAATGCCGGAGTTTTTGTGGTGGATTTGAACGGGAAGCCAGTTGCGCACTATTACGACCCGAAGCTATATCACGTCTCCACGGGGATTCAAATTGGCGATAATATATACCTCGGATCCACAGTGTTTCCATATATTGTTACTCTCAATATAAGTCGATATCCAGCAACTCTAGCACCGTGATCAACTCAGCACCTTTCTAAATTATAATGTATGTCAACATTTCGATCTACTTTTGAAATTATTTTTGTGCTCGTTAAATATTATTGGTGTGTTCTTCCTTAATTAATATTATGTTATCGTGATATACTTTACTTTTCAGAAATTTCAATATTTATATTCTTTTTTGTCTGTGAATGTGATTTAACATATTCTCGTAATTAATGTACTTAACTTATATATAAGAAAAATAATTTAACATATTACATAATCTAAAAGCTACTTATAATCTTTTGTACCTCTATTTTTTTATAAAATTAATTTTATTAATTATAAATAAAATAATAGGACTTTTTATTTACTTGTATTATATAAAACTTATTAAGTTTTAAATATTTTATTTTATTAAATTTGAATAAAAATAAATTTATTATTTATAATTATAAAATTCAAACGAACTTTTAAAACTAACGACAATACTAATCACATAATATAATAATAATAATAATAATAATAATAATAATAATATAATTAACTTACTAAACTCAACTACATAAATACAACATATTATTTATATACTGTGTTTTTTTAATAAAATATTTTTTGAAAAATAAAAATCACAAGTGAGAACAATCAAAGAATTGGGTCCGATTTATTTTACACTTTCGAATAACGATTGCGAATATCACGTTATTAAAAAAATAAAATAAATAAAGAACAAAGTCAATTAACCGAAGACACGAACAATAAACATCCACAAAACACAATAAATCTTCGATCAACAACGTCTTGTAATATCCGATCAAAACAAAAAAAAAAAAAAAAACGTTTTGTAAAAAAAAAAAAAAACAAAACAAAACAGGGGACCCTTTCCTTTCCCTTTTGGCCTGTCTCAGCCTCTACAGTTAGTTCTCTGCAGTAGTGTGCTTTGCTGGTGCACCTGCACCAGCGCCCACAGCAAAGAACTCCGTGATCACCTCCAGCGGCATCCCCTTCGTCTCCGGCACCTTTGCGAACACGAAGAACCAAGCCACCGTGCACACAACTGCGTATATTGAGAATACGCCGCCGAGCCCGATCGAGTTCAGCATCACCGGCAGCGTATACGTCACAATGATGTCTCCGATCCAGAATGTCAGAGCGCATATCGCGATGCATAGCCCGCGCACCCGAGTCGGGAAGATCTCCGAACAGAGGATGTTCGGGATCGGCCCGAACCCCATCACGAAACAGCAGAAGTACACGATTACGCTCACCGTCGAGATAATTGCGTGCGCCACCGATCCCAAATCGACGACATTGCCGAGCACTAGAAGCACGAGTGACGCCAATAGAACCGGCAATGTCGACAACAACAGCCACCTGAAATAATAGCATTTTAATAATAGTGAGTAGTTAAAAGTAGTGTAAAAATAATTTTGTCTTTAAATAATAATGTGATGGTAAGATAGAAATATTTGTGGAAAAAAAAGAAAAAGAGATATTTAATTAAATGATTACTTTTTAATTGAACTCACAATAAAAATATGTGTACTTCATAGAGAAAGTATGTAATTATCTAAGCATTTCCTACTAATTTAGCTGAGGTCTAAAGACTATATATAATACTATATACTTCCGGCTCTAAGGTCCCATATATTTTTTGTCTATTGATCTTTAAATATTAAAAATTATATAAAAACACAGTACAAATCAAGAGAAAATGACAAAATATTTATATTAGTATCTTATAATAGACTTTTGTGAAAAAATTATACAAAATAGATAAATATTTTAATATTAAATACAATGACGCAAAAGATAAATGAAACTCTTATAGCCGGACGGAAGCACTATATAATTAATAAATATTTTCTCATCAATTTGAACTTACTTTCTCATTAATTTAAACTTTTAAGTGAGATAGGTGTTATATAATAATCCAGAGTCGGGTTTACCGTCTACCGGCAACATCCATGAGCCGCATTGCGACGCCGATGCTTGGAAGCATCAACAACGTCGTAAGACTGCTGATAAGAAACGACGCAGAGTCGGAACCGATGCCCAAATTCGACAGGAGAACTCCGACTCCGGCTTGTTCCAATATTTGAGGAGTGTAGTACAGAACGCCGTTGATCCCCGAAAACTGCGTTGAAAACATATACACGTATATACATGAATGTGTATCGTCGAGAACCACAGACAGCGCAATCGTAGCGAGTATAATCGTCGCAATACCTGTTGGAGAATCTGAATCCCAACGCCTACAACAAGAGCATGTCTAACTCCGGGTTCGAAAAGATCCCTCCAGCTCGGGCCCTTCGCCACGGATTCGAGTTGCTTATCCGTAGCCTTACCGATGGATTCGTGATCAACGAGGTCGTCCACACGAAGAACGGAGCGGTTAACGAGCGCGGCCGCATGGACAAAATCGCTATCGATCGGAGCATCACCTCCGGGAATCGAAAGAACGGAGCCGTGTCTCGATCCTGCGCCGCCCACGCCCTCCTCGTGCAAGTAGATCCTCTTAAGGCCGCTCGAGCTCATTTCATCTTTCCGGTACGCCAATTGCCAACCGCCTCCGATTCCCATACTAACTTGTTCGCCGGGGACAACATGACCACCGTCTTTTTCCGCATTTGTGTCCTGACGAGTGATCAAAGGGCTACGAAGATTGTCGTCGGATTCAGCACCCGAGCCATCGGACACGTCGTCGCCTTCCCGTTGGAGGCTTTCCTCGTCCCATTGCTCGTTTCGTGCATGATCCGCGGCTACGTTAAACATGCTGCCGAAGTTCGAGAAGAGCATGCTCCTCATGCTTCCCGTCTCCGGAAGCTTCTCGTGAACGCTTCCGAAGAGAGTCACCATCGGATCCATTAGCATGCTCCCGTGCCGGGAGGCCATACTTAGCATGCTCGGTCCCCTAACCGGTTTCGCTATCCAAGATTGTCCTTCCTCGGTGCCGTATAACTTGATTCGATCCTTGTCTACCGCATGATCGCGGTGGCCCATCGCGTCGTTATCGGGCCCAATTATGTACTCCTCGATCGATGTCTCGCCTCCAACATCCAAACCCTCGAGCAACAACGCCATTTCAGCTGTCACAAGAACACAAACAAAGTCAGAGAAAATAGTATTTTTTTTCGTTCTTAAATCTACTTTTTCCGTTACTAATGATATTAGAGTTACTAATGATATTAGAGACAGAATTAGTATGTTAGCTGCTTGAACTTTAGAGATAGAATTCTGTTACAAATATATTATGTTTTTGTAAATCTAGTGGTTGGATCCCAGCATCGGTAAGATCTGGGGTTCGATCCTAGACTGTGTGAAAAAAAAAAAGGGAAATAAATCATCGCGCAAGTTTCCTATCTCGTTGTTAATCTTGAAAATTAACTAACAACATTTTACCCGAAACATCTTCGCGGCCGCGAATCTTTTGTAGAACTTTCTTGGCTTCTTTCATCCTCCCTTTACTAACAAGCCATCTAGGAGACTCTGGTAAGAAAAAAACAGCCAACAAGAAATAAACCATCGAAGGAATTGAGAGAACGCCGAGCATTAGCCTCCAGCTCGGCGAATCCATCAAAGACATCCCGAAAACCATACAATAGGCCAAAAACATGCCGGCAGAGCCCGTGAACTGAGGCAGGGTATTGAGAAGGCCTCTGATTTCAGGCGGTGCCGTCTCCGATATGTAGACAGGCACAAGCGTTACGGCGAGGCCAATCCCGAATCCATCCAAGAGCCTTGCAAGAAGGAGGACATACACATTTGGTGCCCACAGCATTACCAGTCCACTTAGGAAGTATAAGATGGATGAGACGATTAGCATCGGGCGCCGGCCGAGCCAGTCGCAGACCGATCCTGAAAATGTCGTGATCACGGTCGCGCCGATAAGCGAGGCGGCGACGATCAGGCCTTCGATGGTGGGCTGACTCTGTAAATCGAATTCCTTCTTGATGTATAGGACGGATCCTGAAGTTAAGAGCAATTTTGATCAGTTCATATTTTCTTACTTGCAAATAATGTTGTGTTCTTTTTCTTCTTATTCTTGATTAAGTTTTTAAAACTAACTTGAATAGTAAAAAATCAAATAAAAACTCAAAATAACACATCCCTAGTATTTCCGAAAGGCCGTGTGTCGGATTGGACTCTTGATCCTGAAGTCATAATCAAATAATAGCTTTGAAAAAAAAAATTATATCTAAAATATACTCCCACAGTCTACATTACATTTTTTTATCATTTTTATAAAATAATTTATATACAACTATCAAAATACTATTAACTTTTACAAAAATATATTGATTTCTTTTTCAATTATAACAATAAAAATATTAAAACACTTTCATTAATAATTAAATACTACTCCGTCCCGTTTGAAGAGTAGCGTTTGTCTTTTATAAGTAGATTTTTTAATATTAGTATTATATTAGGTTATAGTAAAAAAGACAAGAATACCTAATAGGCGTAATATAAAAATAATGTCATTTGTGTAATATATTCTAAGTTGAAATGGTATTTATTATGTTTCCGATAAAAAAAAATATTTATTATCTTAAGGAGGTAGTATAATTACTAAATTAAAAAATAGTAACCTTGTTTTGGGACGGACGAAAATAAAAAATGGTAACCTTTCAATAAAATGGAAGAAGTATTTTAATTTATATTTAAATTTAGAATATTACAACTAGAACTTATGATTATATGAACATCACATCTAACAAGATCAAATCAAATATCAGACTCTATTTCTGTATATTTTCAAATCACTTATTTCATCAAAGATATATTTAAAAACATATACTTAAATATCAATTCTCAAAATTTTCAAAACTTCCAAACATATCTGGATTAGAAGGAACTCAAAAACATATCTAATGAATAAGTGAGGAATAAAAAAAAGAAAAATCAGTATTACCAGCTATGGTAGCATTATCCCATCCTTGCAATAAGTTGCCAATGGCGGCAGCAATTGCAACCAGCACAGCTCCCTTCATTGTCGATCGTTGGATTAATCGACTGAGATCTTTCTTACAATCAAACTCAGATATATATATATATATATGAATTAATAATAATACTCACTGATGCTCATCAAGAATGTATATATATATATATATATATATCAGCAATGGAGATTTGGAATGTGAAGATATACATCAACGACAAAAAAAACCAAAGAAATCTCAGAAACCCATCTCGAACTGAAAATCGATTCTCCAGCAAAGAAACAACATGGGATTCCACTAACTGATTACCCAAACAAAAAGCTAAACTTAAACATTGGCGAGTTGTACATACATATAATACCAAATTAAAGATTGATTTTGTAATAAATGGGATGGGTGAGAGAGACAGAAAGTCGACCTGCTGGCAAGAACGTGAGTGAAGGAAAGGATTAATTGGGGTTTTGGATATGAAACCTAAAAGGTATGAATGAATGAATGAAGAAATAACTATAATGGGGTTTTAGATCAGATTCAGTTTTAAATAAGAGAAGCAACGTGGTGAGATGATTGGTTCTTTGATTTATTGATTGATTAATTCAAAATTGATTGGATCTGTGAAGATTCTTTGGCGTTTTCTTCCTTTCTTGTTGTTTTTAGAGTAAATGGCAGGCTTGTTGACAATGGTTATTATTACATTAATGTCGGATCGAGTCACAGAAAGCGATAGTTTTTGTTGTCATTACAATTTATTTATCTATAATTATGGTTGATTATTATTATTATTATTATTATTATTATTATTATTATTATTATTATTATTGTTTAGTTTAGAAAGTGTGGACGCTGCCTTTAATTTCTATGGCTGTGGTGTATCACAGGTTGTACGTGAAGACTTCTTGAAATTAACTGGTACTGATTTTATGATTTTCTCGCATTATTCATCATTTTTATAGATCAAATACAGATATTTACACATTTAAATTTATCTCCTACTATAAATATATAATAACTTATCACGCATACATTATGAAATAATTATATTTTCCAATTTTATTTTTTTTAAATAGTGCTACATAATATTTATTTTAATAGTATTTAGTTTTTTAATCTTTATATATATCCAACAAAAACAAACACATTTTTTTACCGGAAATAGTATAAGTTATTACTAACATAGTATTTTTTTTTAAATAAAAATTAATAATGCCTAAATTATAAAAAAAGATGGCATAATATTAATGGAGGGACCGGATTTTTGTCCCATATGTACATATACAAATCTTTACTCCAAATATATACATATATATGTATACTTCCATATTATTAATTGTAGTATTATTACTATTATTTATTTTTTAAATTCAAAATATCATAAAAAAATATAAATATATATATATATATATATATATATATAAGCATTTGATATGGATCCCACCAATGCTAAATTGTACATACACGATACTGTCTCCAAATCTAACAATACTACAACAATGAATTTGAAGGCCATACTTCAAATATAATCTAAATCAGTTTTATTAATTTAAAATCTGATCTCAAATCTAAACGCATCTAACAAAACAAAAAAAAACTTGCGCACACATTATTTGGAGTGAAATTTCCAATAATGTTGTTTTACCAATTTTTTATTTATTTAATATACAATTCTATAATCAATTTGTTTACTTGTAACTTCAAATTTATTAAAAATATATTGATTTTAATTTTTTAAATTTATATTGTTATTCATTTGCTTGTGTCGAATTTTAAAAATAATAGTATTATATTTATACATAATACAAATTAAAAAATAATAATAATACTTCGATGTTGTATAATACAAATGTAATGACATTGTATAATATTTTATACAAATATACATTAAATATAATGACCAAAAAACAAACAAATATTTTGTTACAGGACAGGAGCATAAAAAATATTATACAAAATAAATAATATTAATTTAGATTAAAATCACAAAAAAAAAAAAAAGAAAAAAACCATCATTTCCAATAAAAAATATATACTCCCTTTTACCCAAAAGAAATGTCTTGTTTTTTCTATTTTCGTCCGTCCTAAAATAATTGTCTAGTTTCCTTATTTAGTAATCGTAATCCCCACTTTATAACAAAATTATTCATACTTTTTCAAACTACCCCGATTATTACTTTAACTTTTTAAAATCTTTCAAGCATTTTAATCTTTTATATTCTACTTTATACTCACTTTCAATTAAATATGTGCCAACTCCTAATAAGACGTCTATGAAGTTAAACTACTATGCAAACACAACCACACACAACAAGTACCAATTAAATTAATCATATCATATTTAGTGTATTATAGCAGTAACGCAAACCTACAAGGCAGGATGAATTGAAATAAATAAAAACTCTACAGTTAAAATAGTAGTCTACAACCTATTGGGTGTCAAGATATGATATGTGCCAAAGGAGATATAAATAGAAGAAACACTTGGGGTGAGGGATTCTGTACTATTGCATGTGCAATCTGCAAGATACCCACCCACCATTTATTTAGTGTGTGTGTGTTTTTTCTTTAAAAAATACAAACAAAAATAAAAATATTTTTCTGAAAAGGGACTTCCCACAGCTCATCAAACTCAAACTAACCATTAACATACACGTACATTTAAGATTGATTTCTACAACTTCACTATATTGGTTAGTTTTCCAATATCCGAAACCCAATTCACTCATCTGAGCATTTTCTTTAAAATAACAATAATAAATAAAAATAAGTATAACCCTTGAGATGTCTAGGTTCAGGAACCCTCACCCTAATTTTAGGGTTCCATTGTCATTAGCAAATTGTGCATTTTAACAGAGACAAGGACGATAAGGACACATATAATAGTAGATAATAACATGAAGAAGAATTATATAATTATTTATTAAAATAAAACATACAGCCCTTGAATACGCAGAAGTAAGAAATAAATAAATTAATAACAACAATGGTGATATAAGAGGAGACATTCCAATCTAACCCAGCCATGTTTAGAACAACTTAGATTTGCAGTCAGTTTAACCTTGCAAAGCCTAATAAAGTTTCCATATCTTTTCTACCTAAACGAAGAATAATAATAATAATAATAATAATAATAATAATAATAATAATAATAATAATAATTTATTATTATTATTTATTATTATTATTTTTCTAAACAAAAAAATTCTATGAATCGCTCTAGAGGAATTATCAGCAACAAAGTGAAGCAACAGAGAGGGCAATTAAAAGAGAACATAACTTGGCTGTCGGGAAAAAATGCTTAACCATATTAACTTTCTTCTTCAAATCATCCCAACTCAAGAACTCACTTTGTAGATCCAAATTTATATACTCAAATCCTAACTGCTCAATATTATATATAAACATTGTCGCTTAAATTTCCAATCCCAATGTATAAATTTGGAACATTACATGTAAGTTGTAACTAATGGGGAAAACATGAACATATGAAGACCCCAATCAAATTTGGTTATAACCAAGCAGGTATTTTCCGAAACAAGTTAAATTAGAAACAATCAGACTGTTTTAGGTTGGGCAATTGCTGAATTAAACACATACAAAAGGGTGTGTGATGATGTAACCTGACTTAATGAGAAACTTGTTGAGCTGGTGGAGCTTGCATGAACAGATACTGCAGAATGATGATCGATGTCAGGGAGGTGATTTACCAAATGAAGTTGCATTTATAAGTAAAAATTGTGAAAGTGTCAATTGTTGCTACTATTACCTCAAAACTCTTTCCTGATCTCTCAAACTCGAGCATGCTTAGAGCAACCTCACAGCTTTGTGCTACAATGGGCTCGGGGTCCTTCGTGAATTCCTCCAGCAGGGCAACACATTGACTGTCTGCGATAGGATAATATTATATGGTCAGCATAAATATACAAACCCACAAAAATATATATATATATATATATATAGAAAGCACACAATCAATTAGCTTAATCTATCAGAAAATGTCGGGTGTTAAGGGGCTAGTGTGCTAGTTATGAGATGCAGTATGATAATTTCCCTATTCTGCAAGTTACTGAGCTGCTTAATAGTGTTTTAAGATAAGTTACATGTAACTCAGGTATACACCGGAGGCATAGCATCTAAATGACATCTAAGTATGAATTAAGGCTGCACCACATTTTTTGGAGATTATAGAACAAGATTTTGTGAGTTAAACATAGATCAATTGCAACTCCTTGAGATGGGAATTGGTCTATCAATAAAGAACCGTACGGACCAGCAATAGAACCAAGTGCTTCAGCTGCTTCATGTCTAACCATTGGATGCTCATTTTTGTCTTGAAGAACTTGGGAAAGTGCATCTGAAGCTTTTTGGTTCTGCAATTGACCCAACACATATGCAACCTGGTTTGGATCCAATTTCAGAAATCAGTCACATAAGAAACAAGAAAGAAAAATAAAAACAGCACTATGAATAGAAAGTAATCAACAGTAGCACAGAACTTGCTTGACTATAATAACCTAACAGAACAGCGGAGCATATTGCATAATAATATATAATAAAACAATAACATAAAAGTGAATTAGAATTTATATTCGAACCCTCAGAATATATACTTTCAAAATGTAGCTGATTTCTTTCTCTTATTTATATACTCACATAACTCTCCTCCTAGGGACACATCTTTGATGCACCGTGCATGTTAACAATTCAATTCATTAACTGATATTTAACACTCCATTTCTAAATTGCCAGAATCTGTGCCAGAAAAGTAATCTGGTCAAAGAAAAAGCAGCTGGACAATAATTGGAATGGCGGCCAGAAAAAATGACCAAAGTAGTGACCGTAAGAACCACTGCAAAGAAAGCTGGCTTTTTCAATCTCTATTTCAGAGTGCAAAATCTCATAATGGTCCGAATTAAACAGTTCTATATATACCTAATTGAGTAACCCTATACTGGAAAAATTATTAAACCCTCACAAAAGCACCAAGCAAGAAGAAGACAACACACCTCATGTCGTAGAAGAGCACTGTTTGAACCTAGCGATTCCACAATAGCAAACACAGCATCATCTTCTCCAAGGTTTCTAAGAGCAAAAAGAGCAGCATAACGCTCATACATACTTCTATCCTCATTCAATAGAACTTCCCTGGAAAACAGAGGATACTCAAGTGGCAAAGTCGTAAACTACTTACAAGATCAGGAACTTGTGATAGTTGAATAAATTAACTACCTAAGTTCTTGGATAGAAGAAGATGCAGCAGGTGCAGCAGGGTCAACCGACAAAAATGGAGATGAATCTGAAATTGAGGTATTCTTCAGCTCCTCAATTCGACTAAGAGCTAATTCACAGGTTTCTCGTACTTCCTGAGCAGGATCTGATACTAAACTGTTTGTGAGGAGTGGGACATTACATTCCAAACCAATGGCACCAAGAGCTTCTGCGGCCTGATGAAGCAGAAGCAACATGAAGTTAATTAAGAATATATTTTATGTATTATAGATAATGAAATATTGCGATCAAAGCTTGATCTTATACATACCTCATGGCGAACAATAGGGTGCAAAGAGTAATCATAAAGTATGGCTTCTAAAGCTGGAATAGCTTCTGCATCTTGCATCTGACCCAAAGCAAATGCAGCCTCATGTGCAAGCAGGTTCGACTTATCCCTAGTGGCTGATGTAGAAATTTTGATATTAAATGTTGTTCTCTATCTATTATGAATTTACATTTATCTAAAAGTTAAACGACCAATGAAGCAAGGAAATCACAGTGTTACAATTTTTTAAGATTTCATTCATGAGGGAAAAAGTTATTTTTTTTTTGGTGCTTTCGAAGGCCGTCACTTATCACAATGCCTAACCTTAGTAGTGAGTCACTCAAATAAAGGTTCTGATAAAAATTCCTTTTCACATAAAAGAGTGATTCCATCCTTCAACTATTTTCCACTTAAAATATAACATACAAAATTTATTTTTTATTTAAAGCATCACACTAAATACCTATTTATTATCAAATAATAATTTACAATCTAAATTTCTAGTATTCCCAAAACACCCAAACACAATCAAAGAAACTCAAATGTGCATGCTTGTTGAAGAGAACTTTATTTACAAGCCAAATTTCTACTATTCCCGAAACACCTAAACACAATAAAACAAACTCAAATGTCCATACTTGTTAAATTAAACTTTAACTACTTCAACATGAAATTTGGATCCAAATTCCAACTTAAACAAGAAAAAATGCAAGTAGTATTTCTCCGCAGGTAATTTCAGTAATTTAAAACCGAAATCACAGTAGTGCATGACATAAGATAAATTTTATTAATATTAGATAGAAATCGAAATAAAACAAAAACTAACTTCTAAACAAGTTAACATAAGTCAATAACCAAAAGCATTAGATACACCTTGGATAAGAGCACTGCGGGGCGCAGAACCACGAAGGTTGCGTAGAGAGAACAGGGCTCTAAATCGCTCCGAGATAGGCTGGCTTTGATCCAACAATCTTTCACAAAGAAATTTTTCAGTTTCGGGAGAGACGTGGAATGGACTACAGTTCGAATTTTCCATTGAGATCGAGAGTAGAATTCCAACTAAAATTCCAAAGCCCTAGCCCGTCGAAGTCTCCCAAAGTCGCGCGTTTTAGTGAGCTTGATTGATGGCTTTCAATCGGACTTACCAAACGAATTTCGCAATCAAACGCAAAACAGCAATAACGATGAGGAAGGAATTAAAGAGAATTTCAAAACCAATATTATAAATATACAAATAGTATAGCCTACCGCCGACTTCTACCCTTAGCGGGAGAAACACAAAATCAAGATATATAAACGAGATGCAGATCTTTCCGAATCCGAGACGGCGGAGTGCGCGACTGCTGTCGGCGGAGGCGGAGCCGGTGGTGAGGAGGATACTAGGGCTTAAAAGATGGATTGCGTTCCTCTGAATTGGGAAAGTAAAATCGGGCGGGGTCCCGGTCCCGGGATACACACAAATTACAAATATAGATAAAAATATCTATATTAAAAAGTTAATTATTTTTAATTTAAGGTGCAGGATAAGCGTGGAAAATATTTTTTCACCACATTGCCAAATAGCTATGAATTAAATATATATATATATATTTATAATAATTAGGAGTAATTCATTTTTCATACTCAGCACACTGCTTATTTGAAATTTATCCACGCCTAATTTGTGCTGTTAATTTAACTAGTGTGATAGTTATAATAGAATAAAATTATTTATTTAGAGTAAAATAAATATTAATTACTCCGTATTTAGCAGGACCGGTACATCTGAATGTTGCAACGAGATTGAACAAGGACCTAATCTCCAAAGGGAAGATACTAGTAGCATTCGTTATCTTTAACAGAAAATAAAATACAAATTAGGCTCGACGAAAAAGTAATAAAATAAATTACAAAAATAATAAAATAAATTTGTAATATAATATAATAATTTAAATTTTATTAGGAAAAAAAAATCATATACACATAATCAATTAATTTGGAAAAGTACGAAACCTTACTGTATTATGTTCGGCTAAGAATTTACTGATGAGTGGAAGATACGTATATGATTAGAATTCGATATTTCCTTAATTATTAATTATATATTTATATTAATTAAAATATGAAAATTACAGACAGACGTTGACTCAAACCTCAATTCTTCCCTCACAATAAGAATAAAGCAAGCTCCTTCCCGAATCCCCAATTCAATTCCGCCATGGATGAGCTCAAGCCCAGTCCTCCCAATTCTTCCCCCTTGACTCCCATCGGCTTCCTCGAGAGGGCCGCCGCCGTCTACCGCAACTGCCCCTCCATCATTTACAACAGCACCGTCTACACCTGGTCGGAGGTCTTCCGCCGCTGCTCCAAATTGGCCTCCTCCATCGTAGCCCTAGGCATCGCCCGACGCGACGTCGTTTCCGTCGTCGCCCCCAACGTTCCGGCCATGTACGAGCTCCATTTCGCTATTCCCATGGCCGGCGCCGTCCTCAACACCATCAATCTCCGCCTCGATCCCCGCAGCATCGCCGTCATCCTCCGCCACGCCGAATCCAAGCTCGTCTTCGTCGATTGCCAGTCGGTACCTCAGATCCTCGAAGCGATCTCGCTGTTCCCGCCGGAATCCGCTCCGCCGCCGCTAGTCGTCATCCCGGAGGACGGCGATTTGGGGTGGCCGGAGAAAGGATTCTCCGGGAACTACGAGGCGATGATCCTGAACGGAGATCCGAACTTCGATTGGATCCGACCCGAATCCGAATTCGACCCGATGACCCTTAATTACACCTCGGGCACCACCTCGTCGCCGAAGGGCGTCGTCCACAGCCACCGCGGCTGCTTCGTCGTCGCCGGCGATTCGTTGATGGAATGGTCGGTGCCGAAGGAGCCCGTCTATCTGTGGACACTGCCGATGTTCCACGCCAACGGGTGGAGCTACACGTGGGGGATGGCGGCCGCCGGCGCCGCCAATGTCTGCCTGAGAAAGTTCGACGCCGCCGCAATTTACGCCGCCATACGTAAATACGGCGTCACGCATATGTGCGGCGCGCCGGTGGTCCTCAATATGCTGACAAATGTCCCCGACGGAAAGCCCCTGGAGAAGCCGGTGCATATTCTGACGGCCGGAGCGCCGCCTCCGGCGGCGGTGCTTTTCCGGACGGAGTCGCTCGGGTTCGTCGTGAGCCACGGGTACGGGCTGACGGAGACCGGCGGGCTGGTGCTTTGCTGCTCGTGGAAGCGGAGCTGGAACAAGTTCCCGGCGGCGGAGCGGGCGCGGCTGAAGGCGCGGCAGGGTTTCCGAACTCCGGGACTTGCGGACTTCGACGTGATCGACGAGGAGTCCGGGCGGCGCGTGGCGCGTGATGGGAAGACGCTAGGGGAGGTTGTGCTAAGAGGCGCGTGTGTGATGCTGGGGTACCTTAAGGACGCCGCGTCGACGGCCGCCGCCATGAGAGGCGGCTGGTTTTACACCGGAGACGTGGGGGTGATGCATCCCGACGGGTATTTGGAAATCAAGGACCGTTCGAAGGACGTGATCATCAGCGGCGGGGAGAATCTGAGCAGCGTGGAAGTGGAGTCGGTTCTGTACGGACATCCGGCGGTGAACGAGGCGGCGGTGGTGGCGCGTCCGGACGAGTTCTGGGGGGAGACGCCGTGCGCTTTTGTGAGCTTGAAGGAGGGGGTGAAGGAGAGGCCGACGGAGAAGGAGGTGGTGGCGTTCTGCCGGTCGAAGCTGCCGGGATTTATGGTCCCGAAGACGGTGGTGTTCAAGGCGGAGCTGCCGAAGACCTCCACCGGAAAAATCCAGAAGTTCGTTTTGCGGGAGATGGCCAAAGCCTTGGGACCCTCCAAGGCGAGCAAGCTCTAGCGAGTTGACTCGGTGAGTCGTAACTCGGTACAAACAATTATGGAATAATTGTGAGATATATTGGGGGTTGTACCGTGTACTTGTCACTTCTTGCTTGCTTCTATTTAGTATTTTTAGCTATTTTGATACTCTTCTCATATGCCAAAATGAGTCCATTCGAATTCGACACGAAAAATAAGAACAATAAATATTTTATTAAATGAGTGATATGTAATATAGGGTGTTTTTAAAATTTTGCTTTGAAATAAAAGTAAATGAAAATGAAAATTTTGGTTTGAAATAAAAGTAAATGAAAATAAAATATAATAAAGAAAGTTGGTGACGATTGTTATAAATAATATTGATTTGTTGATTTTACAAATTAAAAATAAAAATAAATTTGATGAATAAAAAATACTATTATATAACTTTTTAATTGAACAGAGCAAAAATTTTAATGGCTTGAGAGAGTTTACCGGTAAAATTTTAATTTTGATTTTGATTTTAAACAATAAATATTTGAATTAAAATAGTAAAATCGAAAATAAAAATCTCACAAGTAAACATGACGCAAATGTGGTCATTTTGCCTTTTGTGCCGTGATTATGTTATGATGTAACTTTTACTACTATTAATTTGTATTTCACATAAGTTTTTTATTCTATTATTGCAATATTTATCATAAAAAAAACTAATATCAAAGCAAGATTAAGACCTTTGTAGAATCTTCCATCTATAGGCATAATCCATGGCAAAATTAAAACGCAAATATTTTGTCTAGCATCAAGCCCTGCAAATATTTAGTTTAGGACTAAAGTTTGGTCCATTTCTTTATTAGCTTTTTTGTTTGTATATATAGGTTTTATTTTTGCATTATCTAATCATTCAATCCACTTCAAAAATACAAAGGGTTTGTTTCTTTTGATAAGTTTGAAAAGAATTTGATTTAAATTTGGTATTAAAATAATATATAATGAAATATTTTGTAAAAAAATATATATATATTTTTTTTTTGAAAAACAGAATTTAAATAGTAGAAAGTTACGAGGGTTTGGGGGTAAAAGAAACACGCCCAAAGTTTTGAGGTCACCTTTCATTTGAGGTTTGTATTTGATGGGTAGATTTATATTTTATTTTTTAAAAATCCTTAATTGAATAATTTATTTTATTTTCCCTCCGTCCCACATACTGCGTCTGCTACACTGTAGATACGGTATTTTAGGAGGAGTATAATTAATAGATAATTAAGAATGTATTAGCGAAAATAATTATCCGATAATATAAATAATTATAAATTAAGATTAAGATAACTAATTAGTTTAATTAAAATTTAAAAAAATTAAATTAAAAAGTTTAAAATAAGATTAAAGTGTGTAATCATTTTTCCAAAAAGAAAAGTAACATGGTACGTGGGACGGACAGAAACGGCAACGTGAACATGGTATACGAGACGGAGGGATATTATTCAATTTAAAACTTTCAATTCAAAATCAATTCGAATTCAATATTTATTGAATTGATTAATTCAAGTTAAACACATCAAAGTTAAATTCCATCAACTTTTTTTTAACCAATAGTTAAATAATTTTAAAATTATCAATTAGTTGAGTATTATAGTTTTATGTTAAACCTAAATTTAAATCAGGTATTTAAATATTTTAAGTACTATATCTCAATAATAATCCGTCTGTTTCAATCTAAAATACTATTTTATCATTTTCGTCTATTATACTTGATACTCCAAAATAATTTTTTTTTACAAAAAAGTAATTATACACTAATACAAAAATACACTTTAATTTTTATTTAAAAATAATAAATATACTATTACATATACAATTATTTTTTACAAAAAGTTAAAATGTAAAAGTGTCAAAATCTCTTACACATTTCCAGTAACTAATAAAATATTATTATTATTTCTTAATTTATTACAAAACCTCAAATAAGCATTTCAAAAGAAAGTATATAATATGTATATCAAATTTTATATAATACAAATAAATTAAAGAATATATTTAGTTATTTATAATTAACATAAACTAATTTTATAAAAGATGAAAATTTTTAAATATAGATAAAAATATTTATTTATTAAAAAAATAGATAAAAATTAAAAGATTTTGAATGGATCTGCTGTGTAAAAAATTTTAAATTTAATTAAATTAATTTATATTTATTAAGTATTTTTTAATATTGTGAAATGAAATTTATCAAAAAAAAAAGGCATCTTATTAAATTTACTCTCTTCGTCTCAAACAATGTGTAGCATTTTATTTCGATTCGGAGTTTTACATTGATAGTATTAAATAAGATAATTTAAAAATTAGGTAATGTGATGAACAAAAAAAAATGTATATTTTATAGTATTTTTTTATCAGAATAATATAATGAGATAAATGTAAGATAAAAATTAAATATAATTAATTATTTTCTTTATAAATACTTTACATATTTGGGACATGCCAAACAAAAAATATTGAAAAATGTTTCAAGGCAGAGTGTACTATATTTTATGTGGTCACCTTTCATTTGAGGTTTGTATTTGATGGGTAGATTTATATTTTATTTTTTAAAAATCCTTAATTGAATAATTTATTTTTCCTCTTAAAAAGTAGATCATTAATATTGTACTATTTTTTATTTTTTATATATATATTTTTTTTTACGTGTATGATTTGAATTCGTGGGTGGAAAATAGTTACAAATTCATTTATTATTAAGAATGTTTGTCCATACCTCCTCATATATATTGCTCTCTGGTGCAATTTTTTTTTAAAAAAATAAAATATAATTAAAAAATATATTAATATAAATAACTATAAATGAAAATAACAATAATTAATTAAATTAATTGAGACTACAAATATTAATTATAAAATTTAAAATATAATTAAAATGTATAATTATTTTAAAATAAATATATATATATAAATAAGATGAAAGTGACTAAAATAACAATAATTGACCAATAAAGTAAAACGGATGATGTATAAAATAATATTTGTCCATAAGCTTAGGCTTATCCTCAAAAAGGGTGGTACATAATTTGTAATTTTGTATCACTATTGCCTATTGGATACTGTCTTCGGTAACTTTATAATATTTGGATTCGATACAAAATATTAAAAATATATATATTATTGAAAAAATAATAAAAATAAAAAAATAGTTAGGATCATTTTTAAAAATTTAATTAGAAATTAAAAGAAAAATAAGAAGAGAAAATGTAATAAAAATAGTAATATTTATTGTAAATAAGTATTAAATGGAGAATAATAGTTAAATGTTGATTTTGCCAAAATTAATAATGAGTAAATTTAAGGGATAAAATAAAAATGAAAGCTAGAGCAAATTTGGATGACATACTGAAAAAGAAAATAAAAATAAATTTGACGATTAAAATGAAAAACTTTAAATTCATATATATTTACATAAGTATTATTAAATCAAATTAAAATATAAAAAACAAAGAGTCTTCATATACAAATATATTTACTATTGTTTAATATAATAGTCCTTTCATTCCAGTAGAAGGTATTTATTATTTTATTTTGTGATATTTTTATATGTTTGAATAGATATAAAATAGATTGAATATAGTACTCTATCCCCTCTTTTATTTAAATTTATGCTCACTTTTTTTTTTAGCTGTCATTAAAAAAATATTCTTTGTTTCCTTTTTAAGTAAATGATTATTACATTTTTGTATTTTATTAAAACTCGTGTATGGTCAAATAAGCACACATTATTATTTAGACTTTTAAGTTATCAAAGTAAAAAAAAATGATTAAATATTTTATAATCACATTATTATTTTTACAATTTAAATAAACAGTAAAATTATAATTATACTATTTTTAATTATTTACTACAATTAAAATAATATTATATTTTAAATTCTACATAAAAAATTAAATGTATACTTGTAATAAATATTTCCTACACGTTGGAAGCAAGCTTCGAATACTATAAATACATTTATTGAAGTTCATTAAGGTGTGTTTGTTTGGAGGATTGAATTTAAATTCAACTATTCATCCAATTTTTTCTTCCAAAAACATCAAATCAAGCACCTATTTTTTATTTTTTATATTATACTAAAAATCAATTTTATATTCAAAACATCACATCAACACCTATTTATATCACATCATACAACTATTCAAATTCAAAATTTTTACTATTCAAATCCAAATTCAAAATCAAAACCCTCAAACAAACACCCTAAAAATGACAGTGACGTGATAAGATACGTCACCAAGGATGCTATGCTCACAACTTTTAATAATTTAAATTAATTAAAATACTCTTAAACTATTTATCAGTGGCTAAGTATTAATTCAGCATATTGCTAATAAAAATTAACAAATCATCGCACAATATCCAAACTCAAGATAGAGATACACATGCCACGTACTTGCTGCGTTCTAGATAACTGTTCTTGACTTTTGAAATTTTAATAATAGTAATAGAATTTTAAAATTTAATATGATATTTTTTAAAAAATTTAAAGTACCAATTTTGTTTTTTTTGTCTTTTTTTAAGTATAAAGTAGATAAGTAATTCTATAATTGACCGAAATAAGCGATATTCACTGGGCCAAGAGCACTCTTCGAGTAAAAACTTTCACGGTCGATTGCCCAAAATAGGATCCCAAATTGCCCAAAAAATATCATATTCATAAAGCAAAAACATAGACACACTCCTATGGACATAGAAAATAGACCGGATTGGAGAAATATTTTGTTATTTGTATATAAATTATTTTTTACAATAATAAAATAAATGATACTTTTTGAATAGACACATAGAATTAATATAAAAAAATATACTATATTAAATTGATATAAATAAAATATTAATATTATATATTTATTAAAATGAGAAATTTACGGGACAAACAAACTCATAATAATTTTAGCATATATAGATTTAAAAAAAAGAGATGATGTTATGAAAAAACGAAAAAGAAAGCAAATAAAGAACACATAAATTTTACGTGGTTCGGTGACGGTGTGTCAATCTACGTCCATGGGTAGGAACCGGAGAGATTTTATTATACTGATTTAGAGATTTACAATTATATCATCACACTAAGAACCATAACTATCTATTAAACACCCCAAAATACCCTAAATCCTAAGTCTAATTGTTATTAATTAAGATAAATCAAAAAACCACTCTGCCAATTGAAACAACCATTTTGCTTTGATTTTGAATCGAATAGACGGCTAAATCCAAATCACGTGTCTCAGCGGATGATACCAAAACGATGGTGATGCTGGCATTGAAGATGAGGCGTCACGTCACTCTCTCTATTATTATTAACACTTATCCACAACCTAAGTTTGCTACCTTTCTGATAAGCCCTACACTTCATACACATATATATAGAGAGATATATATATACAGAGAGAGAGATTAGAATAAGAATAAGAATGGGAATGGCAGTAGCACATTGTGTTCAGTTCATGTCACTTGTTAATCCTGTCAATAATAAGTACTACCATAGGTCATTAATCACCCTGCCCACCAAGCCATCATCATCTTCTTCTTCTTCTTCTTCTTCTTCTTCTACTGATCTCTGCAGGTACTACCATCATAATATATAAATAAATAATTAGTTTATTAGTATGGCTGTCTTCTCTTCTTGTCTACGGTTGATTGATATACAGTTTTGTGCAGTGACACGCCCAGAGTCAGAGAGAAGAGTCGCAGCTGCGTAAGCGTAACCTCCGTCCCCGTCCGTGTGGCTCATGAACTCCTCCAAGCTGGTCATCACTATCTCGACGTCAGGTAATTAATTAATTAATTAATTAATCAAGATTATGGTTTTGTTTTAATTTCAAACTACTACTATTTTCAAATTTAGAGAAAAATAAAAAATTTGTATCTAATTTGATGTATTGTACAAAAATATATATTTGATGTGATATTTTTAAAAAAATAAATAGTATCAGATAAATGAATAAGTAAAAATGTGTTGTATAAATAGAACGAATAATATACTACTACTTAAGTAAAATAAAATAATAATAATTTTGGTTGCGGTGGCAGAACATGTGACGAGTTCAGCGGTGGCCATGTTGTGGGTGCCGTCAATGTTCCTTTCATGTTGAGCCTTGGACCGGGTTAATTATTCTCTTCAATTTTCTATTTTTATTTAATTTATACTACTACTATTCTAATTAATTAAATTAATATAATTGGTGACTGGTGCTGCAGGAATGACAAGGAATCCTAAATTTGTGGAACAAGTGCTCAATCACTTTGGCAGATATGATGAGATCATCGTTGTAAGTCTGTGATTAATTAATTAATCAATCCTAATTTAATTAATGATTAATAAATTTTATTAATTCATGATGGGCTTTTAGGGTTGTCAATTAGGTAAGAGGTCGATCATTGCTGCGTCTGAGCTCCTCTCTATGGTAAGTTAAATGACTGGACACACGTGCGCGCTAAATTATTAATTACATATAAATTAATAAAAATAAAAATGATTGAAACAAATGGTGACGTGGCAGGGGTTTACTGGAGTGACAGACATGGCTGGTGGATATCAAGTGTGGGCGCAGAATGGGCTTCCATCCACACAGTCATACCCTCGCTGTAACCTGTCCCTATAATGAAAGGATGCCCCAACACGGCCGTGTCAATGTCATAATCTATAGCGAAAGGATATACCCAAACACGGCCGTGTGTCAATGTCATAATCTATAGCGAAAGGATACCCGAACACGGCCGTGTCAATGTCATAATCCAGAATGTATAGTGAGAATAATTTGTTGGTTTTAATAAACAAATGAAATTAATTATGAGATATTTGTTAGATATATAAAGAGTGAAAAGTTGAAATAGGAGAAAATTCAAACGAAAAATGCATCAACGTAATGCATCAAATTGTCTTCAACCATTCAAGAACATCTCATCGAGCTCTGATTCTTCTAACCAAAACATGCCTTACGACCCCTCAGTTAAAGCAGCTGCATTCCCACCTAACCGTCTCCGGCGCAATCGGCGATACACTTACCGCCCGAAAACTCGCCGCACAATTGGCGGTTTCCGACTACTCTCACGCCTGGACCTTCCTGCGCCACCTGCCTTCCAAATCCGGCTCCATCTGGACCAGCTCTATTAGATCCTTATGCGAAAATCACCATTCCGAGAATGCAATTTCACTCGCCAATCACATGGTTAGAAGCGGCTGCTACCCTGATAATTACACCTTCTCGTTTGTATTCCGCGCCTGCGCTGAAATTTCCGATGTTGCGTCGGCGTTGATGTTTCATAGCTTGGCGGTGAAGCTAGGGTGGGCTGGGTATGATTACGTGGTTAATTGTTTGATCCATTGTTACATTGGGTGTGATGCCATGGATAATGCGAGGAAGGTGTTCGACGAAAGTTCTGTACGGGATGTGATCACTTGGACTGCAGTGATCAATGGGTATTTCAAGATTGGGCAACTTGAGTTAGCACAGAAGATGTTCGACGAAATGCCGCAGAGAAATGAAGTTTCTTGGAGTGCTATGATCAATGGCTATGCTCAAATGGGGATGTTTATGGAAGCATTAGAGGCTTTTAACGAAATGCTGGCCTCCGGCGTAAAGCCTAATCAGTCGGGATTGGTCGGAGCCATCTCAGCCTGCACGCATCTCGGCTCATTGGATCAAGGCAGATGGATCCATGCATACATCGATCGAAACGCAATACAATTGGATGGAGTGGTGGGGACGGCTCTCGTCGACATGTACGCCAAATGCGGGAGCATCGACATTGCCCGTGATCTCTTTGAGAAGATCCCGCGCCACGAAAGATATGCTCATGCTTACACCTCTTTGATCACGGGTTTAGCTAATCATGGCGAGAGTAGAGCCCCGCTCGAGTTGTTTAGAATTATGGAGGAGGACGGCGTTTGTCCTAGCGAAGCGACGTTTGTTTCCGTCCTGAGTGCTTGTAGTCGGATCGGTTTAGCAGAAGAGGGGTTAAGAATCTTCCGAAGAATGGAAGAAGTTTACGGGATTGTTCCGGGAGTGCGCCATTACGGTTGTCTTGTGGATATGTTGGCAAGAGCCGGACAATTGGAAGAGGCTGACGAGGTTGTAAGAAGGATGCCGATGGAGCCTAGTTTGTCAGCGTTGGGAGCATTGCTGAACGCTTGCAGAGTTCACGGCGACGTGAACCTAGGAAAAAGGACAGTTGATGAGTTGTCTGAGCGCTCTCTCGACCATAGCGGAGTGCACGTACTTTTGTCGAATATTTATGCATCTCTCGACAAATGGAACGAGGTGGCGGGTGTCCGGGCGAGAATGGCAGAGAAAAGGGTCCAAAAGGTTGCGGGATGTAGCTGCATCGAAGTCGAAGGTAAGGTTGTTGAGTTTGTAGCTGGGGAGAAATGTTTGATTGATATGAACAAGATGGATGAAACTATAGCAGCATTGGTGAGGGTTGAGAGACACTCTAAATCACTTTGTACTTGATACTGATATATACTACATTGTTTTCTTGATGTTCTTACAAAATTCATAGCAAGAAAGTTTTGAAGTGTGTATCCATTCCCAAATGTCCTAACAAGAAAAGAATGTGAAATGACAAAACTCTTGAATACCAATAATAATAATAATAATAATAATAATAATAATAGAGAATAGTTACGGTGCTGATTTGAAAATTTTTGTACTATGTTAAGATTTTCAAATCAGTACCTATAATATATATAAACAACACATGTTTTTTCTACACACAACATATGTGGTGTGTAATAAAAATATATAATGTTTGTTCATAATTATATGTGTATTGTATAAGAGTACGCTGTGTTCTAAAATCAATTGTTCTGTGTGCTATATGTGAATATAGCATGAACTGTTAGGTTATGTGTTATATTTGTATTATATTAATATATATAATATATTGTCCGTAATAATAATATTGTATGCTGTTAAACAGAACATACTGTGCTGAAAGTACAATGCTCAACACTGTAACCACCGTCATAATATAATAATAAACAAGTCACTAAAAAAGTGAAATCAAAGCAAGCAAAGATGTTAAAGCCCAAGTAATCAAACCAACAAATTAGCAATCAATTTCAATTCAAAGTTTGATTAGTTTTCCAAACCAAAAAATTCATGAAATATACAACAAAATCTTCATGTATTAGGTATTGGGGATTCAATCAATGCCTCACGTGGTACCATTTCCCACTCCTAATCATATACTAAGTTACTACAACGGAGTGATCATGTAATCAAATTCTATCAATCAATTTTTTTTTAAAAGTTTTTTTCCTTCTAAATATACAATAGAAAACAACACACAAAACAAATGTAGAGAAGTACCTCTTCTTCCCTACTCACTTCATTCCAATACTCATCTTTCTTGCTCACTTGATATTGAGCCACGGATCTTGTAGGCATTTTCGGGCAGATGGTCTCTTCTCAGGCTCGAAATCAAGTATGGGACAAAGAAAGGCAGCAAGTTCTCGAGCATCTGTGTCAGAAAATTTATATTTATCCACGAGTAGTCGATCAAGAGATGAGTACTTGAGTCTTCGAATCCTTTTCAAATCACCATATCTATTGAAGTAATCTTTGGATCGAACCCCCGATGAAGCAACCTCAATTTTACAAATAATAATAATCAGCAGTCAGCAAGAGTAGTTATCCAAGGTTCTTAATAAGATCATGATAATAGTATATAAACAATTACCTTCCGTGGCATCTTTCCGAGGACCTCCATCATCAAAGCAAGGTGATCCTATACAAAATATAAGCGTCGTACAAGAAATCAAGGGACAAAAATTCAGGTAAAGCTTGGCAAAACTGCTGAATAATAAAGAGCATAAGAACATTAGCATTTTTGTTTCCTTCTCTTAGTTTAATATATCTTTCGCTAGATGTGCACACAAAATCCGAAGGGCCATTGTTCAGCATCAAGAATTGCAAAGTAGTGATTGGAAGTCTTTTAATTGAAGAATCCCAGAGGCAGAGGTGGTGCAAATTACTAATCAAGAGATTGTTTAACATCAATAAGATCATGGAATAAATTGGAACCAAATTAAGAATTAATACCTCATCCTCACTGAAGCCTTCTCCGCCTTTTGGAGTAAACATCATTTCACCAGTCGCGAGTTCAAAGGCAATACAAGCAAAAGACCACATATCCGCAGGATAAGAATAACCAGCTTGAAGTATAACTTCTGGGGCTCTGTACTGTCTAGTTTGAATTTCTTCAGCTATCGGACTCTTCGCCCAACATGCATTTCCGAAATCTACAACCTTACATCTCAAGTCAATCCCATCCAAGCACCTGGCAGGCTTTGCAGATGCATGTGTCACCCCTTCCATTGTAGATCGCTTCTCTGATATCCTTGCAACTGCTCTTCGTGCCCTTTGCTTTAGTTTTTTTTCTATGATATTCGAGGTTGCTCCACTGAGTCCACTCCCCTCTGGCCTTTCAAGAATTGGAGTCATTCCTGATCTAACTGGATCTTTCGAAGGATTAATGGTGGAACATAGAAGAATGTTTTCAAGTTTCAGGTCAGTATGTAAAATTCCAAGCTCCCCATGTATATAATCAAGTGCTACTAGAATGCATCGGCATATCTCCCTTACTTTATTCAACTCAAGTCCTTTGTACCGGTTATACTTAACAAGGCGCAGTAAACTATCACCGAGAAATTCCAGGACCATGCATGGATGCTGCCCGTTTGGGCCAACATGCTTAAAGTGATCCACTAACCGTACAACAGATTTTTCATTTGAAGGATCGCCATTAGCAATGGCAGAAAGAACTTCTATCTCATGAGCAGCAGCTTGAGCAAATTCTGGAGCACTCTTCTGGATCTTTAAGGCAACATATTTCTATAGCAAAGCCAACAGACCCACAAAACAATTTCAGAATCGAGACAGGCAACTTAAAATAATTATTATTGTTATTATCTTTCTTGAAAAGTGTTTGCTAGTAGAAATCCTCCCCAATTCAAAACCCTTAAAACCATCTAATAGAAGAACAAGTTGCAAAGGTAAGCTTCTTGAAAAAAAGAACAATATAGTGCATCGAAATCCATCTCATTTAATTACCCCACAAATCTAGTCAGAGAGAGATGTAAGTAACCATATATAGTGAAAAAAAAAAAAAGGTAAACTTTTATTGAATAGGGACAATTGAATCAAATATCTTCCAATATTAATGAACAATAAATGCCCAACAAATCTGAAGAAGAACACTTATGGAATCTTTCTTAAATTGATCAGAAAATTAAATTCAATTAAATGATCATCTATGCTCACCTCCTTAACATGTCCTTATCAAGATCTTTTAAGTTCATCTATACAACACTACATATCATACATGATTCCTGCAACCATCAAATCTTAAACCAGAGACGCGATGCAGGAAATGAAAATTGGAATCTCTAATCCGAACCAATTCGATTGAATAAAAACAAAGCAGCACAATGCCGATGCACATCAACAGAGCTTCAGATCCATCTTAAATCAACGAAATCCCCATAGTTCGCACGGGAAATCCACACATTCAATTAAACATAACATCACAAATAAAAAACAGACAACTACACACAAAATAAACACAATCGGAGCAACTGCACACAAAATCAAAATCAAAATCAAAAGCGAAAAGTAGAAATAAATACTCACAGAAGATTGAGTATCGTAGGCAAGCCACACGGTGGAGAACTGACCCCAGCCGAGTTTCTTCTGGGCGATGTATCGGCCGCCGGCGAATGAATCGGCGATCCTGACAGCATGGTAGCCTCCTTTCCTGTACGAATCGAATCCCTCGTCTTCTTCTTCGGATCCCGAGGAGGAGGAAGAGCAGGTAGCCATTGCGATGGGAGTGGAATGGATTGGCGTTGTGAATCAGGCAATAATTTCTAGCGTTTGATCAAATTAATATTAGTAAAAAGAACTGAAATCAATGAAATGATATTATTATGTGGCCTTCGCCACAGAACTCTCTCCACCTTTTTCTCTTGGTTTTATTTATTTTTAGTCTTTTTTCAACCTTTTTATTTCATCTTTCTTTTTACGCTTCCTTCCTTGTATATATATCAAATTATGCTGATTTATATTAAAATTAATTACTTAATTAATTTTTTCCACTGTATTATTTGTGGGTTTTAGGGTGGGTCTGTTGCGGATTTTGAATGGATCGGCCCAGTATCTGGATGGGCCTGAAGGCCCAATATATTAATTTAATCTCACTTTTATTTTTCTTTTTAAGCTTATGTATTTTGTTTAGATATGTTTAAACTAAAACAATTCTTGATGGGGTGATAGCAAGTGTGGCAGTGATCTAAGGCATCGGTGTTAAATCAATGATGTAAGTTAAGTAGAGGTGAGATTTATTTATTTATTGTCTAATTTATTTTACCAAAATTTAAATTTAAAATTTAAATTTTGCCTTTTATATTCCAAAAACTCTCTTGTGAACAAATGTTGAACATAAATCGAAGAATGAAAAAGCGTTCACGATTGAAGGGGTTTTTTTTATTCAATTTCGTGTGTTCGTAAATTAAACAGATCTCTAATAATAATAATAATATATTAAGTTCGACCGGAGGTTTATCCGGTCTGCACTTTTGTGTAGCGGTTGCGAATTCTCATGTTATATAATAATAATAATAATAATAATAATAATAATATAATTCTTTAAAGTTATAGATTTATAGATTTTCTTGTGGGTAATGTGGTTCCATCCTTAATCATCATACATGAGCCATATACAGTGTGAACCCGTCCAATTATCGGACCTAATTATTGATTTGAGCAGGTTTGTAATTAATATATAAAATACTTTTTAAAATAATTAAACATATATTTTAAAATTAATCAATTATATATAACATCACTTATTTCATTCAATTCAGCAATTCAACCACAAATCCCATAAACAACCAAAAAATTTTAAAAAAAATTAGCCTAAAATAACCAAAAGATAATATATGACGGGAGTGCGTATGGTTTGGGGATTTTGTAGATTTTCTATTATTCTTTAAAATAAATTTCTCAAAAAAGTATTAAATTAAAGACATACTTTGCAATTTTATTTTATAAATTAGGTTAGTAGTTTTGAAATTTTAAAATTTTGAAAGAACTTATGAATAAACAAATTAATCTTCAATTTAATACTATTTTCGTCCCAAATTGCAATAAATTTTTGGTATATTTCATAATTATACAATGTTTTAAAAAGAGATAATAATTAAATATATTTAATTTAGGTTTCATATTTTATCTCACCATATTTTTCTCTCTTATCATATTAATTAATTATTAAATTATCCTAATCAATATTACTTACCTAAATTTCTCGTGGGAAAACAAATATTGTATATTTTATAAAAAAAATAAAGTCGTATGTATTTATTGACACTTTAAAAATAACTACTATTAACAAATATTAAAAAAAGTTCCAAAATTTTTGAAAAAACAGATCATACCCCAAAATTTTAAATTTTTATTATTTAAACTATATATTTTATAAAAAAAATAAATACATTTTTTATATAAAATATCATACTATACATTATTTTAATATTAAACTCAAATCAAATTTATAAAAAAAACAAACCCTTAGTTAAATAAGGGAAAGTGGAAAATTGAGGATTAATCTGAAAACTGCAACTAACTCAGGGGATTTAATTGCAAATCAACATCACACGAGTTGATAAGATACGTTGAGAAATACACATTCGCACACGACAAATTAGCGCTCACCCAAGTCTCAATACAAACGCCGAAACAAAGAAAAGGCCAACCGGGCGGTCCACATCCACGAACTCCACGCGCCCTAACGCGCGCGTGCACTTCACTTCCCCCTTTGCTCATTATCCCCCACCCCAACCCTACCGCCCCCACCCCAGATTCTCTATAAAATCCAAAATCAAAGCCCCACACTCCCAAATCCCCGCCCACAATCCCAATGGATCACTCCAAAAAAACCGACGGCGACGGCGACGCCGATAGGAGCACGGCGGCGGGGGCGGCGGCGACGGAGGAGGAAGAGGCGGCGTCGGTGGAGAGAATATTCGAGAGACAGGATGTGCCGACGTGGCGCGGACAACTGACTTTCCGGGCGTTCTTCGTAAGTTTCGTCCTCGGGATCCTCTTCACGTTCATCGTGATGAAGCTGAATCTGACGACCGGAATCATCCCTTCCCTTAACGTCTCCGCCGGCCTCCTCGGATTCTTCTTTGTCCGTACGTGGACGGCGTTTCTAGAAAAATCTGGACTCCTCCGGCAGCCCTTCACCCGCCAGGAGAATACTGTTATTCAGACCTGCGTTGTCGCCACTTCCGGCATTGCCTTCAGCGGTCAGTTCTTACATTAATATATATATATATATATATTTGATTTGTTGTTGTGATTGGGAATTTTTTTAATTTTGGATTTCTGATGGGTTTAATTTCTCTTTTGATTAATTTCTGAAATTCGTAGAAATTTCTGTAGAGATTAAACCCTGACGCAATTCTGGGCACTAGTCTTTGGTTGCGATTGATTGTGATGAAATTGAAGTACAATCGATCTTTGTTGTAAGAACATGGCCGATCCGCTGGCGTAATTAATAAATAATAATAATAAATAATTGAAATTGAAGATCCAAAAAGTTTGGCAAGCTAATGCTAGCAGTGCGCGGTGGGTAAAGCGGGGGCTCTTTATTTATGATAGGTGTGTTAATGTGGACCATGGAATATACTTGTTTAGGTTTGAGATTTAAATGGTAAAATTCGTGAATTTGAATAGTAATATGATTTGATGTTTTTACGAAATCTTTTTAATAAATTAGTAAATTTTGGAGAAAATCTTTTGGAACAAACATATGGGTATATCCTCTACTCATGGTATTAGTGTATTGCTTTTTTTGCATGAAGCACTGTCAAAAATAAAAATAAAAAAGATTAAACTAATCTTATTAATATAGTATGATATAAAGACAAAATTGTAAAAGTATTTGTAATATTAGTAGATAATATATTTTGTTATGGTCATATTAAAATAAAAAAAAATGATTAAATTAGTATGGAAGGAAAGATGCATATGATTTATTTTTTTTTTTTTTATGTTTTTTAGAAAAGAGTAAAACCCTTTGATCAAAGGATACTACTATTTGATATGCTATGATGTGATATTTATTTAATTTAAGAATATTTAGTGTATATAGTAGGGTCGTATTTGTTATTGTAATTGAGTGCAAGATAGAGACGATTAAAAGTATTATATTTATGTGTGCCATCATTATTATCTATTTTGTAGGCACAGCCATTATCAATTGGCTTTTTCATTTTAATATATATATATATATATAAAAGGATTTTTTAAAAATAAATAAAAAATTAAAAATGAAAAGGTAATTGGAGTGTGGGAAAGCGACTTTCAATTCTGAGACGATTTTATTATTTTTCCTTGAATTCTGTGACACAATCTTGGGATGATCGATGATCTATTATTGTTGGGTTGGAATTTAATGGCTTCACACGACCTTCTTTGGTCCACCTGTCCCCTTTTTTTTAAATATAATTTAATGTGTATATATAATTAAATATTTTTTGGAATATATTTTTATTTTTTGATTAAAGAATATATGTTATAACACCAGTTCAGTTTTATTCATGCATATGGTTCCCGTCCATGTTACGGGAGTGACGTTACTCTGATGTCAATATGCCATCACCTATATAGCTTACTCTTCCTCCGCCCTCCTCTGAGGTTTTGCATTCCTTAAAGTTCCCGAACCATTCGTGAATTCTAACGTTGCAATAATTTTGGCTAAGCTTTTGTGTACGAATGTATAAATCCATCATCAGGAGGCTTCGGGAGCTATCTCTTCGGCATGAGCGAAACCATCGCGAAACAATCGACGGAATTAAGCGATCCTTTGAACATCAAGAATCCGTCGCTGTCCTGGATCATCGGATTCCTCTTTGTCGTCAGCTTCTTGGGCCTCTTCTCCGTTGTCCCCCTTCGAAAGGTACGCTAATTCACCATTTGAAGTGAACATTTTGTCGAGTAGCATGTTTTTGTCCTAACAAAATTTTACTGTCCGAATTTAGATCATGATCATCGATTTTAAGCTCATTTATCCGAGTGGAACTGCGACCGCGCATTTGATCAATAGCTTTCACACTCCTCAGGGCGCAAAACTAGCGAGGTCTGTATTGTTGGAAAACTATATAATATATAATTAATGATGCATTTTTCCTATTAGCTTATTTTTAAATGTGTGTCATTTAGCCGGCAAAAATACTTAAAATCCACCAATCATTTGAAAAGTCTACGCCATTCTCCCTTATGGTTGAAAAATTGCATTAGACTTTCTTACTTTTTCAAAAATATTGCAAAAAATCCATTTTTAGGGGATTATGTGCAATATATTCAAAAAACATGAGGGATTTTCGTATAATTTTTGGGAATTTTGTGTAATATTTTTAAAAATACAATAGAATCTCATGATAGTTTTTAATTATAAAGGAGTATGGGATGCAAATTTTTCAGACTACAAGTGAATTATAAGTAATTTTATCCATATCAAAGTGGGGCTTTTTCGTAAAAAAAGGAAAGAAAAAAAATTGTCCTCGCGCAAGATATGTGTGACCGTATGTAGAAATGTATTTGTTCTTATGTATGATCGATCTTTTCTTAGGAAACAAGTTCGAACTTTGGGGAAGTTCTTCTCCTTTAGCTTCCTTTGGGGTTTCTTCCAATGGTTTTTCACCGCCGGCGACGGCTGTGGGTTCGTCAACTTTCCTACATTCGGCCTCCAAGCATTCGAGAACAAGTGAGTTGTCGTAATTTGGTGTAGAATAACTTGTTTTAATTAAATACCCGAGTTTTTCCTTTTTCTTTTCAATCGTATAAAGTCTATTTACTTGTGGTGATTGGAAAACCAGATTTTACTTCGATTTCTCGGCAACATATGTTGGTGTCGGCATGATATGCCCGTACCTCGTCAACGTCTCGTTGCTACTCGGAGCCATCCTTTCGTGGGGTATAATGTGGCCGCTCATCGATAAGAAGAAAGGAGATTGGTACCCGGTTAGTGAAGCGTCCGGCCTCCATGGCTTGCAGGGATACAAGGTATGCGTCGATATATATGTCTTTTTAAATTCATTGAAGGATAAAATGTAGTTTCATCGATTTTTCTTTGAATTAGGTCTTCATTGCGATCGCGATGATTCTTGGCGATGGCCTTTACAATTTCGTCAAGGTCCTCAGCCGAACTTTTATAGGGATGTACGGCCAAATTCGTCAAAAACACGCCGGGCATGTCCTTCCCGTCAATAACCAGTCTCCCGATTCGAACGCTGCAACTTCTTACGACACGGAGCGTAGAACCGAGCTTTTTCTGAAAGACCAAATCCCGACGTGGGTCGCCATCGTCGGCTACGTAAGCGTTGCAATTGTCTCGGCTGCGGTGCTCCCGCACATCTTCCGCCCTCTCAAGTGGTACTACATCGTCGTGATATACATATTCGCGCCGGTTTTAGCGTTTTGCAACGCGTACGGATGTGGCCTCACCGACTGGTCTCTCGCATCAACTTACGGGAAGTTAGCGATTTTCATCGTCGGGGCGTGGGCTGGGTCGCATAATGGGGGTGTCCTCGCCGGATTGGCGGCTTGCGGGGTTATGATGAACATCGTTTCGACGGCGTCCGACCTGACGCAGGACTTCAAGACCGGGTACATGACGCTGGCGTCGCCGCGGTCGATGTTCGTCAGCCAGATCATCGGAACGGCGATGGGTTGTGTGATTTCGCCGTCAGTATTTTGGCTATTCTACAAGGCTTTTAAAGGAATAGGCCAGCCGGGAACCCAGTACTCCGCGCCGTACGCGCTCGTCTACCGCAACATGGCGATTCTCGGAGTCGAAGGGTTCTCGGCGTTGCCTTCGCATTGTCTTACGTTGTGCTACGTCTTCTTCGGTGCAGCGATCGCAATTAACGCCGTAAGGGACATCGTCGGACCGAAGTGGGCGCGGTTCATCCCGCTTCCGATGGCTATGGCGATCCCGTTTTATATCGGTGGGTACTTTACGATCGATATGTGTATCGGGAGCTTGATTCTTTTCGTTTGGGAGAAGATCGACAAGGCCAAGGCTGATGCTTTCGGACCGGCTGTAGCGTCGGGATTGATTTGCGGAGACGGGATATGGACGCTGCCGAGCTCGATACTCGCCCTCGCCGGGATAAACCCGCCGTTGTGTATGAAGTTCTTGTCGAGTAAGGACAATGTAAGAGTGGATAGCTTCTTGAAAGGTTCTTGATTGATGATGATTCAAGAAGCTCTTTAAGACACATCCATCCTCTCCTGTTGGCTTCTGTCCAGTTCGTGCAGTTTGTGTTATACGTTGGAGTGTTTGATCTTATGGAACGTTATTGAATTTGCAATAATTTGATGTAATTAGTCATTTTACTTCTATCTTCCTTAATGTTCTCTAAACCATGTGTGCATATCTAAATCGAAACTGTTAATTTGATGTTTTAAAAAAAAAACGATCAAATCAATTACTACGCTGACTTGACCGAATTAGTAGTCTATTATCAAATTACTCTAAGCTGCTTCAATCAGCTCTCTGATAGGCTTCCTATAGACATTGTCCCAAGGGATTGTCGTAAACTCGGACAGAACTGCCCTAAACTCATCCCCAGAGATTGTCTCCTTCTCCATCAAAATGTCGACAAGCTTATCAATGGCTTCCCTGTTGCTCCTTACATGCCTCTTCGCAACCTCGTACGCCTCCTTGATTATCCGCTTCACCGACTCGTCGATGTCTTCCGCAAGTTTCTCCGACATTTGATTTCTCGCCATCATTCTCATTACCACGTCGCCGCTCTGCACGGATTGATCGATCAACGCCCATGGCCCGATCTCAGACATCCCGTAAGTTATAACCATCTGAGGTTCGAGATCCCGGGACATCTCAGTAAGAGGAACCCAATGTAAGAAATTAGTAGTGAGTGATCATAACAATACCTGTCTGGCTATTTGAGTCACTTGTTGTAAGTCTCCGGCTGCGCCCGTCGTGATTTCTGCTTCCCCGAAGATGACTTCCTCCGCCGCCCGGCCACCAAGTCCGCCCACAATTCTTGCAAACAACTGCTTCTTTGATATCAGAGTCAGGTCGTCCCCCGGCATGAACCATGTTAGGCCACGGGCTTGTCCTCGAGGGATCAGCGTGACTTTTTGCACGGGATCGTGTCCCGACGTTAATGTCCTAAAAGAACACAAATAATATAATTAGTCAGCACAGTACTAACAACACAGATCACAAATCAATATTACATAAAACGGCGGCTATATTACATAAGACAGCAAATCGCATTACACGGTATCACTACCGGCAGCACAATGTATGCATTCATATAATACAAATACAACACATGCTATAATCTTATATAAACAATAATTGATTTCAACACATAATATAATGTTATATAACATACTTATAATTATGAATTAACAGCAAGTGACTTTATTATAGACAACATGTACAATATATAATAAAATTGTATGCTCTTTAATATATATTATAGATGCTGATTCCAATTCAGTACCCTAATCGTCCCGTATTATATTTTTATTTTTTATTTTTAATATAAAACAAAAAGTGATCTGAAAACATATATAAACAGAGGCTTACGCGCATAGGGCATGCCCGATCTCATGATAAGCCACCAAAATCTTGCTTTTTCCATCGGTCATCTTGGTTCCTTCCATTCCGGCGACGATGCGATCGATGGAATCATCAACCTCGGCAAGAGTGATGGTGTCCTTGCCTCGCCGGCCGGCAAGAATGGCGGCTTCGTTCATGAGGTTGGCGAGGTCGGCGCCGCTGAATCCGGAAGTTCTCATGGCAATAACGCCGAGATCAACTTCCTTGTCGAGCTTCTTGTTCCTACAATGAACTTGCAGTATTTCCTCCCTTCCTCGTATATCTGGTAGCCCTATTCCCACCTGATCCATACAATATCTTTCCATAGTCTCTGTTTTGTGTTTAACCGTTTAAATTATGCACTTGACTAGTAAAATTGCATTTTTATTAATTAGTATTACGCACGTGGCATTCATGTCGACATATGTTACTCGGCATGCCACGCAGATCTCATAGATATTGAGGATTAAATGTATTAAAATATTTTTAAGATTATTTTAAGACAATTTTCGGCATTAAAATGACAAAGAGGTATTGTTATAAAAAAAAATAAATAAATTACCTTTAAAATAATAATAATTAAAAAAAAAATGGTATCGATAAAAACTGACCTGACGGTCAAACCTTCCCGGCCGGAGCAAAGCAGCGTCGAGAATCTCCGGCCGGTTAGTGGCAGCAATTACAATGACGCCGCTGTTCCCGGCGAAGCCGTCCATCTCCGTCAGCAACTGGTTCAGCGTCTGCTCCCTCTCGTCGTTCCCGCCGCCGATCCCCGTCCCCCTCTGCCGCCCCACGGCGTCCACCTCGTCGATGAACACCAGGCACGGCGAGTTCTCCTTCGCCTTCTTGAAGAGGTCCCGGACCCGCGACGCCCCCACCCCGACGAACATCTCGATGAACTCCGACCCCGACAGCGAGAAGAACGGCACGCCGGCTTCGCCGGCGATCGCCTTCGCCAGGAGCGTCTTCCCCGTCCCCGGCGGCCCCACCAGCAGCACCCCCTTCGGTATTCTCGCCCCCACGGCGGCGAACTTCTCCGGCGTCCTCAGAAACTCCACGATCTCCTGAAAATCCTGCTCCGCCTCGTCGATTCCGGCGACGTCGTCGAAGGTCATTCCGGTGTTCGGTTCCATCTGAAACTTAGCTTTGTTCCTGCAAATTTCAGAATTACAAATTCAGAGGCGATCAAACCCTAATCGAGACAAAAAAATAAAATTAATTAATTAACCTTCCCAATCCAAACGGCAAATTTGGTCCGCCGGAAATATCGAGGCGGGAGCGGCGGAGGAGGAGAAAGCCGAGGAACATCAACGGGAAGGCTAAGTTTCCGATCAAATCAAGAACGGCATTGACCGGACTGACTTCCACCGGGTGCGCAGCGAAATCGACGTTCTTCTCCTTGAGCTTGGCGAGGAGCTCCGGTGGAAGTCCGGGGAGCTGAATCTTGACGCGCTGGATTTTTTCGAGAGCAGGATTGTATATCTCGGCAATGGCGACGGTGCCGTTCTGGAAAATATCGACTTTTCTGACAGCATTCTGGTCCAAATACTGGAGAAATCTGGAGTACGACATCCTGCTCGACGTGGCCTCTTCCGGGGCCTCCGGCAACTCCGCCGCCGGCGCCGGCGCCGGTAGGGTTGCAGAAAGGGTGAGGGCTGTGGAAGTGGCTAGTTTTCTTCTGGTTAATTTGGGGGTGGGTGGTTCTTTAGGGTGAGGATGATCGTAATTTGTTGTTAGTTTTGGGAGACAAGCGTTTGCAGAGAGTGAAATGGCTGGCGACATCTTGAATCAATGAATTAATTGTTGTGTTGCATTAATTGAATTTAATTATTGTTTTCGAGGGTTTTAAGAATAAGATTAAGATGGTTCTAGCGATTGAGGGTTTTCGGGAAGAATCGAGAGGGAAGAAGACAAGACCGTTAAGTTTTTGTAATTGTCCGAACACTTGTGTGGACGATGATGGATATGATATGATCATCGACTCATTCATTTCACTTAATTCCACGTTTCATTCAAATCATTGGGCTGTGTTTAATTTGGATGCTGTATAAAAACTACACTTGGTTTTGTTTTGTTATATTTTATTTTTAATAAATTTTTTAAATAAAAAAAAATATATGTTTCTTTATATTTATTTTTTATATTAAAAATATTTTTTTAATCAAAATTATTATCTAACTCAATTGTTTCCTTTTAGGTTTGATATTGCACGTATCTTTATCACTTCGTCAATCCTGTCAAAAAAATATTCATATACGGGGATACAAATAGATGCCATGAATTTTTTAAATGATTAATGATCTCTATTTATAAAAATTAGTATGTTATGTGAAGTATTGATTTGTTGGGGTTGTGGAAAACTGCTGCACCAATAAATTCTCGTACATTTATTCAAATTGGTGAACTCTCGAAACGTAGTTATATCACAGTTATAACGACGATTTATCAATGAAATAAATGCAAGAATTTCAAAGCAATAAATGATAAATTATTTGTTTGTCCGGTTCGGATATAAATTATCCTACGTCCGGGGATACCAATCCATGAGATGAGAGGTTCATTAATAAGTGCCGATTAAGAACAAAACACTCAAACCTCCTTCAACCCAAACTACAAGTCAAATACCTACTTTTGGAGGATATCCAAAAACAAATCCGTGCGAGCTCAGCCCAAAACGGACAATATCATACTAGTGTTGAGTTGACCCAATCCCATGATTTGACATGCAATTAATTTCACTTGATACTAACAAGGTTCAAAGTGTCCATTTTGTCTTGATTTGACTCCACAAGCAGCAGATGATGGAGTTTTTGATCAACTTAACATGTATTTCAAATATTAAAGTAGGCATCTAGTATTCTCAATCTCACAATTTATTTTTTATTTTTAATTTTGTTTGATAAATTCTAAACTCTCTCGCGTACTAATTTCTTTAACTATAAAGATCATATAAGATCTTTGGAGTAAGCTTCACATATTTAGCCATATTACTATGAGCAATATGAGCATCATCTATTATTCTGTGTGCTATAATTAAATGTGTGTTATACTGATCAGTGAGATAATGTGTAAATTAAAAAATAAACTTATTTATTTTACTTTGTATTTCACACTGTATTTTAAATAAAAATTTTCATAGTTTTTTAAAATCAAAATATTTTTATTGAGAGCTTTCATATTGATATTTTTTTATATCTTATCTTTTTTTTACATACCGCACCAAAAGATTAAAAAAACAAGTCTGGATGTTATCTTCCGATATTGATCTTTATTAATATTTTATCTTTTCATCACAAAACCTATCTATTAAGAATAAAGTAAATAAAACTATTACTCTTTTTTTTCCTTCAGAATCAAATTTTATTTCAATTTGAAGAATTTCTTCTCTAGAGGCATTAATTAGGCTAATATATCCATTTGTAACTACTTGAACCAACATTTTGAAACTCATTTTTTATAGTTATAAGTTCTAATATATATATATATATATATACCCAATAACAAAGATTTATTCATCACTAAATTATCAAATTTCATAATCTGTATGTATAATCAATTCTAACACCAATTATTTAAAATGTTAATCAAGTTTTCAGTTTTTCTCACTTTTCTTTGGCAAAATAAAATCAAAATTAAAATTTGTGTAGTTGTTAATAGGGAGTTGGCGAACAAAAAAGAGTTTGGAGAAGATGACGAGGAATATGTCGACGAAACATCATTTTTTCGACCTTGAAAGAATATTTTTTTATGCGAATTATAAAGAATTTTATAAGTAATATAAAAATAACGAAGATATGTAATATATTATTTTCTTGAAAAAACGTATTGGAAAAAAAAAAATACAAAAATAACACACTCATAGAAATGTGTTTGTTGCTTCTTCTTTCTTTCCTTTTCTTTTCTCTCTTATTTATTTATTTATTATTATTATTATTATTTTTGTCCTTCCAGAAGGTTTGCTATCACGAGGCTTGACTCCATTTTTATCTTTATTATTTAACTTTTGACAAAAATAAAATTATAATATAATAACTACCTTGTAGCCATTTAAGTAGTTAACCGAGGTAAAAATAAAATAATAATAATAATAATAATGCTTATGGTGCTTATATTGGTTCTATAAATGTTTTTTGATGAATAATTTATATAATAAAATTGGCATATAATATTTTATATATTTGTCTTAAAGTGCAAATAATATAATTCCTCCTTCCAATTGAAATGTTGTTATTTTTTTTTTATTTTTGTCCGTTCCAAAAATAAGGTTATCATTTCTACCTACCTAATATAATAAATAACATTTCCAACTTATACTATATACACAAATGTCATTACTTTTGTATTATATAATGCTAATAGGGGTATCTTCGTCTTTTTTACTACAATTTATTATAATACTAATATTTAAAAATTTATTTGTAAAAAGTAACCTTGCACCGGAAGGGAGTATATAGTATATCCCAAAAATATATATATATATATATATATATAAGTTGGAGAAACATTAACATACAAATGTCAGCTATACTACAAAACCTGCCTTGAAAATTAAACCAACTTTTTAAATAATGTTAACATAACAGACGCAATAAAAAGTCACCTATTTCTAATGCATAAAGTCCTAAATGTAGGCAAACACTTCTTTGACTTTCATCTTTAACTATAATACCTTAATTTAATCTATTGGATTTATAAATCATAATAAAAGTTTAAATCTAAATAAAAATTTTGATTTTATAAATAAGCATTTAATAATTTTTTTAATTAAAAAAAAATATCATAACATATTTTTTGGTCATGACATTATATTTAAAATGTAATTTTTTATTTAAAAATTTGCAATTTCAAAACATACTTTCCAACTGAACACAAAATATATCAAGCCCTTATGTATTTGGTAACCAAGAATAAATATGATAAATTTGGTAGGGGGAAAAAATTATGATTAGTCAAATTTTCAAAATTAAATAAGGATAAAGCCGTTTACACTTGTTGTTTTTAGCATGGATTTGAAAGTACATTCGCTGTGTTCATTTAATATTTTTCATTGGAACAATTTCCTATAAATATGATTAAAAATATAAATATACACTATTAACATAATATATATCATTCATTCATAAAAAATGAATTATTCAATACAAAAATATTATTTTTTATATTACTAATACAATTCTTTATACCATATACAAAAAAAGTTAATTAATTAAACAGACTAATTGTGTGACATTTATTGAGTATTAACAAAATATATATATATATGCATAGAATCCATATTTTATGTATTTTTTCAAAAGGGTTGTTACATACGATATCATCGTAAAAAATTGAATATTAGTATTTTTTAAAAGTAAAAATAATTATATAAATTCGGTGTTTTTTTTTTAAAAAAATTGATATTTAAATTTTAATTTAAATAATAATTTGAAATGATGTTTTATAGTAAAGATACATAGATTTACGTTAAAAAAAAAAAAAGAAAAAAAAAACATGAACATTGAACAATAAAAAATTAAAAAACACACCCCAAAAATTAAAAATAAAATGTGTATATATATATATATATATTTACCGTTTTTCAAAATAAAAAATTAATACAAACACCTCCATATTTATTACGTCCACGCGCTATCGCAGACCTTGCGGCTATGCTAAGCAAAATAATATTCAAACTACAACAGGTTTCAAACTTAAGTAAAATCATCATATAAACAAACACATAATTAAATGTGTGAAAACCTAAAATAAAATAAAATAAAATAAAATAATAATAATAATAATAATAAAATCCCAAGATAATGACACTTTAACCACATTTCAATTTCTTAAAGTCAAAAAAGAGGAAACTTCCGACACCAAAACCACCATAGAAATCCATACAAGACTTTTATATAAACCTTACCACAAATACTTCTTCGTAATTAAATCCCACTTCTTGTCCTAACATTTCCTTAGGACATTTCATCTCTTGACAAAAATGGCCGATCAATTGAGGATCCATCCGGTCAATCAAGACCCGGCGGAGGAGGCGGCGCCGCCCTCAAAACCCACCGCCCCGTTGGTGGGCCGAGGTTCGCACCCATCGGAAAACGGCGATCCCGAGCGGCAATATCCGCCGCCTCCCGCACGTGGCATTCCGTATAAGCCCACAAAGAGTCGGAGATGTTGCACGTGCAAGAAGTGCTTTTGTTGGACCGTCTCTTTTGTTATTCTCGTGATACTAATAATCGGGATCTTGGCCGCGGTCGTGTACTTTGTGTTCGACCCGAAAGTCCCGAAATATTCGGTGGATTCGATGAGGATTACGGAGTTTAATTTGGGGAATGACAATAGCTTGTCGGCGGCGTTCAATGTCAATATCACGGCGAGGAATCCGAACAAGAAGATCGGTATTTATTACGAGGGGGGAAGTCGTTTGAGCGTATGGTACGTTACTTAAAAGGGTGTGTTTCTTTTGATGAAGTTCGAAAAAATTTAATTTGAATTTAGAATTAAAATAATATATAATGAAATATTTTGTAATATAAAAAAAAATATTTTTAAAAGTATAGAGTTTAAATAGTAAAAAACAGAATAGCATGCAATCGTAGATTTAATCGTATAATCATTCTAAAAAATATTTTATTGAAAGTCTTTTTTTAAAAAAAAATAAATTATTATTGTATTAAATATTTATTTTTTATTTAATATATTATAAAAAAAAAAATCATTCGTAAGCACTTATGTATGTTGTATACTAAAGTCCATTTACTTACGTGATCAATTTTATTTTTAAACTAATTAAAAAATTTATTTGTAAAAATATTACTATATAAAGAACTTAATTAGGACTATTTACTTGTTCATATAACATATAATAATATTTTAATATCATAAATGCTCTAACAAAATAAATAAATATTAAATTACTTTTATCTTTTCTTTTTGCCTTTTTTATAAATTGAGAGGAAGATATGAAATCAAATTCCTTTAATAAATGATTTTTTGAGTTAATTTAAAATGTGAAATTGCAACTTTTGAAATGTTTTTATAAATAATTTTAATTCATTAATAGTAATTGTAGCATGATTATAAAAAAATAAAAATAAAAAAAATTCCATTTTGTGTTTAATAAAATATTACATTAAATTACTATTACACAAAATCAAACTAATTACACAAACTCAAACCAAGCAAGCCCTTATATTTTGGTTGTGTATATAAAGCCTATTACTATTTATTTATTTAAATTTCCAATTTATTTTTTCAATGTGTTATACATATATAGTCCAATATAATATACTCCCGAATCGAAAATTCTTAAATTTAATAAATTTGAATTTAAAAATAGGTATACGGGTACAAAACTATGCGAGGGATCGCTTCCAAAGTTCTACCAAGGGCACAGGAACACGACCGTGCTGAGCCTAACACTGACAGGACAGACGCGGGATGCGGCGGGTCTGCTGCAGTCGGTGCGGACGACGCAGCAGCAGACGGGAAGCGTCCCGTTGAATCTTCGGGCTCGGGTTCCCGTCAAACTGAAGTTGGGAAAATTAAAGCTCTTCAAATGGAAGTTCTTGGTGAGGTGCAGATTGAATGTCGACAGTTTGAATGCAAATAATGATATAAGGATTAGCAATAGTCGATGTAGGTTTAGGTTTAGGCTCTGATTATATATTATGATTGATTATTATTATTTGGTTTTTGGGTGTATTATTATTATTTTTTTTTTTTTTGTATTTATTGCTGTATTAATAATGTGGAGGGCTGTTTTGCACTCCTTGCTTCTTTCCTTTGTTTTTTTTTTTTTTTTTTTGGTAATATATTATTGTTTTTATTATTATTATGGAATTTCGAGGCTTTTTTGGTTTTTATGTGCATGTATTTTATTTTCTTCATCGCCAGCGCATTATGGTGTGCCATTGTTACGGTAGATACAAAGAATTTGAAAGGAATATAGTTTATAAATAATTAAAAATATATTTATAAAATTAATCAAAATATAATATAAATAATTATAAATTAAAATTAAAATAACTAATTAATTTAATATAATATTAAATGTGAAATCGAACAAATATAATTTACTATATTATAATTTAATTTTATATTTAAAATATAATTATCAAATGGCAATTCAAATTTTATTATTAAGAAAAAACCTATAATCTTAGGAGACACTTTGGGTGTGTTTGTGTGATGATTTGGATTTTAAATTGAGATTTGAATAATAAAAATTTTGAATTTGAATAGTATAAATAGGTGTTGAGGTTATATTTTGAATGTAAAATTATTTTTTTAAGTATAATATAAAAAATAAATAAATAAATATTTGATTTGATTTTTTTAGGATGAAAAAAGAGAAGGAAAAAAAAAAATTGGAGTGAAATCCACTCCTCCGAACAAACACACCCTTTATTTAAAAAATAAATAAATAAATAAATAAAAACGTCAGAGTTTATTGAGACCGGTAGAAGACCAATACTTGTTTCTTTCACCACCACTCATAAATTCCTTTTTATTATTTAATTAATTATTAATTTATGGAAAAAGGTTTTACTTCCCTCGAAAAGTCGGCAAAATATATCTGCCAAAATGGCGTGGAGTTGCTGTTTGGGCGGTTCATCCACTCCGGTGGTTGTCGTCGTCCCCGCTACTTCCGCCGCCGCAACAGCTCGCAACTGTTTCACCATCGCCCTGAGCAAGCAGTGTCGGTCCTCGCGATTGCAGTCGGCGGGGCGACGTAGAATCGCGGCCGTTCCGACCAATTTCAAAGCGAGGGGCAAGGCGACCGATTCGGAGCTTGAGCTCGATCGTTCATCCGCTGATGAGATCGATTGCATAGGCACCGGACTCGATGTCGAGTGCGTGGTCGCGCCGAATGATGATCCGCCGAGGAACTCGAAGGATGTGGTGGCTGCGGAATCAGTAGTAGAAGCGTCGGATTTGGTGCAATTGGCGCGGACCGTGCTGGAATGGGGACTTTTGATATCGCCTTTTTTCTTCTGGGGGACGGCTATGGTCGCTATGAAGGAAGTGCTGCCCAAAACCGGCCCGTTCTTCGTGGCGGCGTTTCGGCTGATTCCGGCAGGGCTGTTGTTGATCGGCTACGCAACGTCGAGAGGCAGAAGTTTCCCCTCCGGACTCAATGCTTGGTTCTCTATTTCAGTATTTGCTCTGGTTGATGCTTGCTGTTTCCAGGGCTTTCTTGCCGAAGGATTGGAGAGGACTACAGCTGGCTTGGGCAGTGTAAGTTAGCTAAAACCTTTTCTCTACTTGAGCTTTATAAATTATATATACATAGTTATATATATGTGTGTGTTGTTTTGCTGTTTTAGTTTATCGGGGAAGATGATTTGGGTCATTTTTAGTTAGTATGAAATCGATTGGGTGAATAAGAAACGCTAAGCCTGGAATATGATGTTTTAATAAAATACGATAATATTGATTCTAAAAAAAAAAAAAAGAAACAAGAGCTTTTTGCGTTTTTGATCAAAATTGGTGATTTTAAGGATTGCCATGTTGAATTACTTACTCTATCTGTTACAACAATGGAGATATAAACAATCGCAGAAACTAGGAATCGATAAAAGGGGATTAATTTTCCAAACTTCCAAAATAACAGTCTAGTTTATATATATATATATATATATATAAGGACATATGTTTATTTGTTGTCGGATAATCATATTCTTGAAGTATGGGGTTTCTTACAACATTTCGCTTAATGGAGTATTGATTCATGGTAATATGGAAATCATAAATATTTTTTAAAAAGGAGTAAAAGGAGGATGATGAAGTCTCAATTTATGTCTTTGAAACAACTTTATTAGTTTTCGAAACCTAATTCAGTATTTCAACCTTGGTCCACTGGATGCCATTGTTTGAAATGGTGTGCACATGTATCGGTCAATCATTTTTTCGCTTGGTAGTTTTAAAGTCGCATTTTGTTCATTATTGGCTTTTTGCTCAAAAGAGGATGTGTCATGAATTTCTAGTGGCCTTTCGCATCTGTGAGTCTTTTTCTGTTTGTTAGCTTCTTTTGGCAGTGGTAGCTATGGAGATGGCTGTTGTATCCTTGTTGTTGAATGAAACCATTCTTCGATTGGAATTTGAAATGATTCTTGGATTGGAAAAACATTGCAGGTGATAATTGATTCTCAGCCTTTGACTGTGGCTATTCTGGCTTCTTTGTTCTTCGGAGAATCCATAGGGTACATTGGGTATGCTGGACTTGTACTTGGCGTCGTAGGACTTTTGCTCCTTGAGGTACTAATGTTGTTCTCAAATGCCTGTTTCCCATTCTCTTTTTCCTGATTGCATTGTTCTTATCTACAAATGTTGCGCCACTGAATTCCTGTAGTCTGTTAATGGCATGGATTCACTGATTGTTGGCATCGTTTTGCTGTGAATTAAATCTGTAATTATATAGTTTTAATCATATAAAAGTAAAGCTCAGAACTCAATGATCCTATATAAATATATGCACGCATACAAATATAAACGGATGGATATATCTTGTTGTTTTTGTATTAAAAAAGTATTCAGTAATTGAGCAAAAAGTAAATTCTAGTAAAATTTATATTCTGAATTATTACAGCTATGCAATACTACTATGATTTACTCCATCCGTAGTGTAAAAATAGGCTCATTTGGTTAGAGACGGGTTTGAATGTAGTGTGTACTTTTTATTTTTTATAGTAAAAAAAGTCGAAAAATAGTTAAAATGGGTAAAAAGTGATATGATTTTTTTACCGTCTGTCTTGTTTCCTTGCCTAGAATGCTGCAAAATCACAATTTACTTGGTCTTACATGTAATCAAGGGCTGGTATATCTTGCAGGTGCCTGCTCTTACTTTTGATGCCAATAACTTTTCCTTGTGGGGAAGTGGGGAGTGGTGGATGCTCTTAGCTGCACAAAGTATGGCCGTCGGCACTGTCATGGTCCGGTGGGTCTCCAAATACTCAGATCCGATCATGGCTACTGGTTGGGTATGGTTTAATTTGTTTTATATGATTATCAACATCAGAAATTTCTTGTTTCATATATATATTTTCGCCACTTATTGAATACATTAGTGTAGTTTGTGTGACTATAAAATAATTACACATTAGTTACATATACAAACTACAATTCTGTACTTATAATGCAATAGTCGAAGAACCTTATGAGAATTCTGCAAGACGTTCCCCCCCTAAGATCAATATCACAACCAATAAGGTCTGCAAGTTTCACATCTAAGTAATACCCGATCCTAGAACTGAAACCACCATTTTAAAACCCTTTGTCTAAATGGATTTGGAGAGTTTTGCTAACATCAAATTCATTACACAGCACATGGTGATCGGTGGTCTCCCACTTGTGGCTATATCAGTTCTTAATCATGATCCTGTTCTCTCAAGTGTCGATAAGCTTACAACAAGTGATGTTATATCTCTTCTTTACACCTCAATTTTTGGAAGTGCCATCAGCTACGGTGTTTTCTTCTACAATGCAACACGAGGCAAGTTATTATTATTTTTCCTTATTTTGGCTATATACTAATGTGTACACACATACCATCCAATGCTTTTGTTGTGCTCAAAGGGTAAATCAGTCCAACAAAGTTTCAATTAGGAAGAGGAAAATCATGAAATAAATTGGCCTTATTAACAGAAACAAACCACATGTTATAATTTTTATCGAAACCTGACAAACTTGATCTAGCTTAATATGTATACATAATTTACCAAGGGAAGTTAATAAGTCGCAGCCTGAGTTCTTGCAAAGGTGTCATGCCCTCAATCTCGATACAGTAGTCATAGTCGCACCCACTGTGATACGTTAAACTCTTGCTCAGAGTTTTCGACCTGACTTGACTGCTGTTAATGTTTTTCCAGGCAGCTTGACGAAGCTCAGCTCACTGACATTTCTGACTCCAATGTTTGCGTCATTTTTCGGGTAACAAGCCTAACAATTAAAATCTCTATTTGGCGTGGGGAGCGAGTGGGTGCGTGAACTATCAAAAACTTATTTAATAACCTTTTAAAAATCAACTGCAGTTTCATCTATCTTGACGAGACATTCACCCCATTGCAACTTGTTGGAGCCCTTGTGACCATTGCTGCAATCTATATGGTTAACTACAAGGAAAAGTTGGAGTGAAAGTTCATCCACATATGATTTATGTCATGGCAGATCGTGATGTTAGTCGAGGTACCCCAGCACGACGTCTGTTTGGGTTCATTGTATATAAATGATATCACAAGGTTCAAGAAACCAGGGTTCAAATTCAGAGGATGAAAGTCGAGGTACGTCCTCCATTTTCAGCCAGCTCCATTTTAAGGCTTATACACATATATCCTTGTCTTGTAGGAGTTGGGAAAGGATTCGAAATAGCTGGAGCATCGAAACCAAATCTGTGATTTCTGCTCCAAATATTGAAACTTTGGATAGTAAAAATGACGGGAACATTGTAAGTATTCCTCTACTAATGTAAGATTTGTAGATGAAGGTTGTTGTACAATATCGAAATAAACTCTGTTTTCAGCTAACAAGAAATGAACTGAAACCAGTGGGGTGTGGACTAACCATTCGAGCAAACTGATTAACTTAATTATCTAAGTTGCAGTGGAAGGCGACACCGTGCAACGACCTCAGGTTTCGACTCTGCACTCCCAACACCTTTGCCTGATGCACGTGATGCCTGGTACGCCGTTTTTGCCCCATTCTGTTTGTTAACTGATCTTGAAGACGACGACGGCAATGTTACATATTTATGGTAGCTTGGCTGCCCCAGATCATCGTCGTTTGTTATTATAATCCCAGATTCCAAAATGGGATCGGGTTTCGCCAGGTTCCTGTCAATTTTACTTGTTTGTTCGACGAGGAAATGTCGCCTACCACTCTCGTTGGTACCAGAGTTGAGATCGGCTACTGCTTCCACGATCGAGCAAGCTTTAGCCACGCACGGCGGGAGAGAAATCGCCGCAGCAGCAACGGGGTTCTTTTGATGGAAGTTTCGGATGTCGTCTAGCAAAAATGCAGCGTAAGGCGACGCGTTAGAGTTCCCTAGAACTGGCTCGGCATCGTCGTCATCTCCGACGACGCCGTGTCTTGTTCTTGCAACCTCACATGGTTTCTTGTTTCCCTGTCCTGTGGAGGTAATATTTGAGTCAATTTCACTTAGAGGATTCCTTCTCTCCCCATTCCTGGAATTGCTTCTGCTCATCCTTGCTGGCGATCGTGCGCGTGGCGATGCGCCGCCGCCGCCGCTTCTCCTCGCCGGAGCCTTTCTTCTCGGGGTGGCGTTAACCTCCCCGACGCTTGGCACCGTAGCGGGCACGGCGACTATTTTCCCGGGCCTGGAAATGGAGTCCGACGGACGAGTATTTTTGACGGGAGGAGATTCGGATCTATGTCTATTGGGAGATCGGCTTAGTCTCCTCCTTTCTCTGCTGCCGGAGCGCGGCTGTGCCGCCTGGCCCTTGTCCCTTTCCGGCCTCCTCCGCGGAGACTGCCGCCTTTCTCCCTTCCTCGTAAATCCTTCCTCTTCTCCCGCATTCCTCCTTGTTTCTCCGTCGAGATCGTAGCTCCTCCTTCGGCTCCCACTCTCGCCGTTCTTCCCGGCGGAAGAGTTGCTCCTGCTGAGCCTCCCGCATTCGAGTAGGATGGCGTCGATGTCTTGCGTCGTAGAACATACGGGAACGGTTCCGGTATCGTCACTGCTTCCAACCTTTACAACGGCCTGTCGATTACCGGCCTCGGCTTCGAGGGGCGTTTGCCGCTCGACGGCGGCGCCGGAAACCTCTTTCTTGACGGCAGCTTGTTGTTCTGAGTGAGGCTTGTTTTGTGGGTTGTAGGGATCAATGGTGAAATCCTTGTTCTTGTTCTTGCTTGAACAGCATCCCATTACGAGAGAAGTAAGAAATTCCAAAGAAGAAGGGTTGCTGGAGAAACCAAACTTCAGTTTCCTAAATAGAGATCTGATTTACTTTTGACTCACTGGCAAATTATAGCCGTTAAGGATTGAAGATTCTGTTTTTAAATTTCTTTCAATTTATTCATTGATATATATGGTATGTAAAGGGATAAAAATCTTTAATCATTATATGTGTCAGAGTATGCACTGAAAATTAGAAAAAACATTTATATTTCTATACATCTGAATTCACATGGAGTATATATTATTTTATATTTAAAGTACAGTGGAATCTAGATCTATATTTGAATCCGGGGCAACGGTCATTTTATTTTTGGGGTTGTGGATAAGCAAAAGAAAAATAACTATATATTTATGTAATTTTTTTTTACATAAAAATGAAAAGATTATGATTTTTTTAAAAAAGTTTAGTTTGGTTTATTTTTTATTTGATTACAAATTTGGGAGTTTGGATTTTGAGTCGAAATTTGAATATTAAAAAATTTGAATTGAAGTAGTGGTATAATGTGATATAAATAGATGTGATACGAACATTTTGAATGTAAAATTAATTTTTAATGTAATATAAAAAATAAAAAATGGGTGTTTAATTCGATATTTTTTTTAAAAAAAAATTGGATGAATAGTAAATTTAAGGTAAAATACCCTAAACAAACACAAGTTCTCGGATATTGTGATGATTAAAAACAATTGCAACCAAGTACACAATCTATGGGTGGTACAATATGGTATATTGCAAACCAGGTCCGGTATATTGCAAACCAGGTACGACGGAAAAGTCACCGGTCACAAATACAACTCCTACACCATCGGATCCATTGTATAAAAATGTTGATACCAATACAAAATTATCACTATAGCCAAACAAACAAAACATTAAAAATGATCATAATTAAAAAAAATATACAAAATTATCACTATAGCCAAACAAACAAAACATTAAAAATGATCATAATTAAAAAAATAATAATAATAATATAAATATAATACTAATTTGTATTTAATTTTGTTTGGCATTTTGATATATATCATAATTGGAACGGATATATCATAATTGGTATTTTAATATAAAGTATACATTGAATTGGAACGGAAGAATTATAATATAAAATATATTTAAAAATTATTTTTAATTAAATATATATATTACATCTTAATTTAATTAAACAATATTTTATACTAAAACATAATATTCTAAACAGTAAAAACAAACCAATCAAACCCTTGATTAAGTTGTTATTTTATTGCCAAAACGAAATAGACAACTTTAACTTGACCATCAACATTCTCTCTAATTCAGGGGTGCAAGAAATAGGTCTGATGAGTCCTCACAACCCAAAAACACAACAACTAACATGCATGAAAAATGAAGAAAATGGGTTAAGAAACCGCACCAAGTCTTTAGACCAAGTAGAAGAAGAAAGAAGATCAGATCAAGTCATGCTTCAAGCAGAAAGCATATGCACCGCACCCGATATCGTGCAAATTATAAGCCCCAGCAGTGCCAAGAACCCGTATTTCCTGCACAGAATCAAAAATTCAAGGCATGTTACAAAACATTTTGCTTTAATCTAATCAATGTTGCAAGAGGCAGAAAACTGAACCAGAATCAAATCTCAAATTTTGATTGAAATGTGCTTCTAATGTCGACTGCCTGAACACAATGTCATGTATCGTAGAGCATCTAATGCTGTTTATACTCATGCTCTCAGCTAAAACTTCAGCCTTTCAATGCGTGCGCGCAATACATGCATTATTTCCAAGAGGCAACAATTAGATAAATGAAATATCATCTGGACAAGGTGCTACAGTTGGTTGTTCTCTATGCATCTAAACTAGTTTTTGAAACACAGAGTGAGCAAATGCAAGTTTTGAAATTAGCAGGGAAAGACTTAAGAGATACTGAGCAGCAACAACTTCTGCCCTTCATTATTCTCAATATAACCGGGGGTATAGGTAAAGCTGATGATTATTTGAACTAGGGGTGAGAGAGAGCAGAATACTTCACCGATAGGTAAACCAGGACTTTGGATCTACACCTTCTAAAAAAGGTAAAATGGCAAACATTGTTTTAAACTTCTTCCATCGGAGATTATTAAAGATATCCTAAAACTAACAAGCTCCCTCTCCGTCCGCAACAAAAATACTGAAGATATGATTCCAATCCACACGCTCAAACTTAGTTTCTATTCTATTCAACAATACTCAGGGTGGTTGAACAGCCTCAAAAGAATGGTTGCTAATTTCGAAGCTCACGACTTCATATCCAACTAGAAATGAATAGCATGGTTACATACAACATTAAGTCAAGGAATGAGGTCATGGCTTCAATTTGGGCAAACTAATCACAGTATATATTCAAGAATCACCAAAGAAGATCAACAAGTGAAATATTGGTAACAGAAGAAAGGGCAATACTCCTTACCCAATAGAAAGACGGTTCTTAGGATCACCAGTGGAGTAGCCTTTGAAATAGAAATACCGAGTGACGGTGTAAAGGACTCCCAATGATGCAGATATCACAGGGTGCTGAATTCCTCCCAATATCATCAACATGAAAAATATTGGCATCATTTCCAGGGAATTCTGGTGACCTCTCTGCACAAACACATTTCAATTCAATCTCCTTGGTTTATACATAAACATATATACAGAAATTCACAATTCAGCAAATTTGGGAGATCATCAGAGGATCACCGATCACAGAAAAACATTTAATTGGAGACCAAAATTGAGCTATCCAAAAGATACTAACAAACATAAAATCGACTTAAAAACTCAAAGCAAATGAGACGAGTAAAATGCAATTAATACAAAGCGAAGATGCATCCAAAAGTACCGGAAACAATAAAATTAATCAAAACTCTCAGAAGATGGGAGAGGAAATTATAAATACCTGAACACAATTGAAAAGACTGGCATCTTTGTTCTCAGATTCACTGGCGTACATCGTCGGGTAATAAACCTTATACCTGAGTCACACAAATTCGACAAAGTATTTGTAATTACGCGCCTAAAACAAAAGTCAATCAAAAGACAGCTCCCAATTTCAAAAAAATAAAAAGAGGGATGGAAGATTACTTCCTGCGCGCTTTGCCGACTTGAAAGCTCATCCAAAAGTTGAGAAATGTGTACAGAACGAGGACAATGGCGACGTATCCGAATTCCTTGGGCAGCATTACCACTCCTGCCATTGTTAATCAAATATCCCTTATGCAGAAATGAATATTATCGCAGCGAAGTACCTGTCTGTGTAAACACCGCAACTGCACATATGTTAGTTTATACATGGGCGGCAGTTGCTAGAAGCTTCTGTGGCCAGGCCCGGTTGTCTTGTTGCCCAATCCAACGGCCCTAATCAAGGTTTTTTTTTTTTTTTTTTCTTTAATAAAAATAATTATTTATTATTACTTATTGCCCAATCCAACGGCCCCAATTAAGATTTTTCTTTTAATAAAAATAATTATTTATTATTTTTATTATTATTGTTATTTCCAAAAATATAAAAACACGTGTGCTAGAGCATTCATTATGTCTAGTATTATGGAGGGATTGGGATTGCGCGCTGAATATTTAGAATCAGCGTAATGTTGATTGCATATTAGCGATTGAATTAGAATTGTTAATCCAATGGTTTGTATTAAATTAAGGATGTCATAAGAATTTTCCTAATTTACATAACTACCTCAAGTCTCATTCTCTTTTTTCTTCGATGCCGCATTCGCTGGGAAAAATAAACGCACTCTTTCAATAGAATTAATGGGTGATATTGACGGGATAAGCAAAATCAATTATTTATTATTCCAACCCAATCAATCGCGCAACAAGCAGTGGCGACATCGAAGATATTGCAATTTCGGATGCATCAACGTCCTCGCCAAGTTCAGACGATATGGAACTGGAAATCGCTCAATCGCATAAGTTACTTTTCGAAAATTGATTTGAAATCTTGAATATCTTCTATGATTTATTTGGTTGAATTTAATGGATTCAGTTTATCGGATTGGATTATGGCGTCTTTAGTCAAATTCGGATAATAGTTTATTTAATTATGTTAATATAATTGTATTAATTGTTTTTCAGATTTAGATATTAACAAAGCCATCAAAATCCCGTCCGGTGTGATAAGAATTTCTTAAATATGCATTAGCAGTCTTACTTCAATTAAAATATTGAAATTACTATTAAATAAAATAATGTACCATACCGTTCAATTAACATCAGCATTTACCAAAGAAAAGAATAGCATTTTGTATTGTATTACTCATCATAATATGTGATTACCTTAAATACGAAACTCAGCATCATGCTATTTTTGGGAAAGCATTTTATAATACAACAATCAACATTTTCATTTACATTCCCCAGCCACACAATAACATTGTTCAAGTTGTTCGTCAGTTTCAAAGAGTGGTGGAGAATCATAAAGGAACATTAGGATTTCTTTGCGCGGGATAGACAATTAGTTGCAAATCATATATTCAACTCATTGATGAACTCTGTAGCCATGTTCTAAAAACCGAATGTTTTTCAATGGTTTTAAGAACAACACCAAAGATCTTTTGAATTCATAACACAGTGCTTAGATGAGAAAAAAAAACATATCTTATATATAAAAGGTAAAATTGTTTATAACTCTCATGTGGTTTCAAAATTCAGCGTAAAATTTCCCTGTACTTTAAAAATTGCATGGTACCCCCTTATACTTTAAAAAACGTTGCATGAAACCCCACCACTATGAAACTTTCCTCGTGTGATAAGAAGATGATTTCCTATCTATATGTTTTGCCTGGCAGGGGGTTTTATGCAATATTTTTTAAAGTATAAGTGAGCGTCATGCAATTTTTTAAAGTAAAATAGAGATTTGTGCTGAGTTTTGAAACCACAAAGTGACTTCATGCAATATTTTTTAAAGTATAAGGGGACGTCATGCAATTTTTAAAGTAGATGAGGAATTTACGCTGAGTTTCGAAACCACAAGGGAGTTATGAGCAATTTTGCCTATATAAAATGGAGAAGACAAATGATCAACATCTTGTTCACATCTTCGATTGAAAGCACGTGCAACATATGGAAAAATATTGGAATGTTGTCTTGTCATTCAATATGCACGATAGATGTATTAGTAGCAACAGGTTGTGCACAATTCAAAAACATCCTACACAAATGCATATTGAATTAGCAATTCTGAGAAACAAAAGAAGCATAGAAGGATGAATAAGAGAGATAACAAACATGATAAAAATAAGGAAATTGACTTTTAGTCAGTTCATACATGATTTGGTTGCAAAATATTATGAACAAAATATAATAAGAACTTATATATACAAGACCAAGCATTTTGTTGAATACCAATAAACATTTCTACAAGTGTGTTTAGCATGTTAATGTACTCTTAAATGATATTAATGTTATCCAGAAAATGCCTCAAAATGGACATTCTAAATATGGTTTCCACCAAAACATATTGCCTAATAACAAAAACATAAAATGATGGATAAGGATTTACATTTACTTAATTCAGCATTTTATTTTAATATCATCAAGAATTTTCATGAAATGTTATTCAACATTTTACTCCTACCATTCTAAACTTGCTAGCATTTATATATATTGAGTCAAACATTTTACTAGATACCTGCAAACATTTTCTATTCTAACAAGTAGCATAAGTGTTAAGCAGAAATTGATACAAAAATCCACAGTCAACTGACCAATCACCCATTCAATTCAATACACCGATCAATACCAACAAACTATTCAAATTAAATTCATCAAAGTCAACAGACTAATCATAACAATCAATTTTCCCCTTCGCGCGCAACCTCGTCCTCACCTACGAAGACACCACTAGAAGCCAAACACTCTTTGCAGCAGCAAGAAGGAATCTTTTAGTGATGCATGCGCAGCTTGTGAAGAGCATTTCAAAAATCTCGATCTCCGGAAATTAACAAATAATTTGCATTAGCTGAATTGTCAACTGCCCAAAATAACATGACCACCAAAATTTTCTTGTCACTCGTATCCTTGGCACCTAAGCATGGAGAAAAACTATAAGATCAAATTGAATCCAAATGGATTCACAAATTAACACGATGACATTTTATGAAGACACTTTCAAAAGCAAACAGGCCATCAATAACTACCTGAAAAGAAAGGCTACATCACATATTAGTTGCTATTTTCTCTTATTTGAAATAGATGCTCAAAACATTCCAACAGAACTACTAACGACAAACTAAACATTCCAACGGAACCGCAAGCAACAAACTCACATTTTCAATCAAAAATTGGGATTTAATATGCATTACTATTTCAAGTTTCAGATTCCTCGTAGTATGTGAAAAATGGATGAAATGTATTACAAATGCAAATATAGAAATTTGCAGTTGCTTGGCTCCAACTTGATACCAATTTCCGAAAGTCTCTCTCAATATCATGAAAGTAAAAATTTACTTACATGAAATCAAAACTCATCATCAATTTGTCCACTATCTATAGAATTATTGCTAAGGACCAACATAAATAGAGCTTCAGTCAACCAACATAATGAGATAAACAAAATATTACTTGAATAAAACTACTGTTAATAACACAATAAAAACACCATGTTTAATAATTCCATCTTTCCCTACAACACCAGCATAACAACAAAAAAAAGACAGCAAGTACACAGAAGTCCACCAACAATAAATTAGTCAAAATAAAGGTTACACATAAACATAAATCGCAGTTAAAAAGCCAGAAACCACTCAATCCCACTGTTCAATATTCACCACAACAACCCAAAAAACTACAAATCATCCACTCAACAACACAATGAGCACAAAACTCCAACAAATCTCAAAATTCATCTACAAGGACGTGATTAAGCGCGATTCCAGTGTTATTAAGAGCCTGGTGAATGGAGGAGGAGATCCTGGTGGTGTTTTCATAGGCAGAGATAGAGACGAGTCCACCCTTAAACAAGGATTGGACAATGATTTAACTTAAATAAGATAGAAAATGAGAAATGTTTAACCTAAAATGCATTGAAATCATATAAAACAATGGACATAACATAATTTACAAAAACTTAGACACGAAGAACGATGACGAAATCACCTCCATGAACGCGTCCGGCCTCGAATAACAATGGACGGTTGAAGAAGACGATTTGAAGACAAAGAGCGATGGAAGATTTTTCAGTAGAAAGTAAAAAATGAAGGGAGAATGAAAAAATCGCCTCAACCCAGTAACTTTTGTAAATTAAAATTACTATCTTATCTTTATTTAATCAAAACCGTTCGATTATAATCTATTATGATGAATGACTTGTATTGTATTAGTATGATGCTGATGGATGCACCCATCAGCACTGGATCCACCTCCATTATGGAGATACGAAGACGAGTATTTGACTTAGACGCTACAATGGAACTTGAGATTTACAGTCAATAACAGGACATTAATGTAATTTGACAAACAAATACAGGTTTGTGTAGATAGGGTTTTTTTTTTTTTTTTAGATTTTTGAAAATTTGGAAGTTTGGAAAAAGTAAAATGTTAGTATTTGATTTGATATTTTATGAGAGAAAAAATGTATTTGATGTGATATATTTTTTTTAAATAAATATTGTCAAATTAGTGAAAATGTGTTGAGTAAACAGAGCCGTATGTATAATTAATTATTACTTAGGTTTGACCGGGGGTTATCAGTGCGCACTTTCGGATAGCGGCTGTTGATTCCCAAATCATAAAAAGAATAACTAAAGAAAATTATTACTTAGTATCACACATGATTATCTGATGTGATTTGTTTTGTCGAACTTAGTTTACAGACTATTAGTTTCGACCGAAGATTTACTCCGAATATATTCATTTAGTAGCGGCTGCGGTTCCTACGTTATAAATATACATATTACTTAAATTGTTTTTATTAATAATTTTATTATTCTAATACTACCTCCGTCCGACTCTAAGAGTCTCATTTACTTTTTGCATGTTGATATTTGAACATTAATTATTATGTGAAAACATAGTACAAATTAGGAAAAATGACAACAATACTTCTATTAATGTTTTATAGTACTATTATAATTACACTTGTGCAAAAAATTATATAAATATAAATGTAATTTTAATATTAAATACAATAACGTAAAAGATAAATGAGACATTAGAATCGGACGGAAAGAGTACCTATTTTTAGTCTGGATAAAGCTTATGTTGTAGGAGTAAGTGTGAATCAAATAAATGAATGAATGAAAAGAATATTTTATTTCTAACAAAAACTCTAAACACATATTGGTGAGTAAAGTAAATTGACTAATGTCATGGGTTGTAAACGAATGAAATCAAATCGAATATTGCAATATTGTAGTATTCAATTCGATTTAGTAAAAAAAAAATATTTATTATTCAATATGATATTCAATTCGTTTCGAATTTTAAAATGATACTGATATTTAATTCGAATTAATTTTCAAAGTATTCAATTTGAATTCACTATTATACAAATATTTAATTTAAAATGTGATTCTAATTCAATTTGAAACTATTCTATTAGAACTTTTTTTATAACCCACACGTTTAAAAGTCATCTGAACCACCAACTAATATTAACTCAATTTTGCATTGTAACAAAATTCTAAATTACAATAATTTTTGTTGTATATTTTAAATATACAATAGCAATGTTTGTTAAAAAATTAATAAATGACTTTTAAAATGATTAATTTGTAATGGTAAAATTCAAAATAAAAATATGTATAAACAATGAGAATATAGACCCTAAATATTTAATTTAATATTAATATTAAATAATAATAGTAATAATAATAGAAAAAATTAATTTTGGTTCAAATATAATTAAAACTTACCAATTTTGGTCTTAATATAAAAAACTCATCAATTTTAGTCAAATTATAAACAATTTCAATCAATTTTGGTCCAATTATAAACAATTTCAATCAATTTTGGTCCTACCGCTAAAAACCTAGCGAAAATTGCTGACGTGGACGTAACGTAGGTGACGTGGCAACTGACCTGGAAACTACACGGCGACCATGTATATTTCAATGTATAATTATGCATAGTCATGTTATATGGTCATATATAATTCTACACGGTCGTGCATCTTTTTGTTTTGGTTTAATTTTTTTTTATTTTTTTGTTATATTTTTTAAAAAAAATATTTGAATTTAGAATAGTCAATGTAGTTATATAATAGAAAAAATTAATAGTAATCCTAATATAACTAATATGTATCAATTTTAATTCAAATATAAAATTTTATAGCATATATTCTTTTGAAATATTTTGTCTAAAATTCTATTATTCATAACCTGCAAATATCTAATTACACAACCAATTTTTTTTTTTTTTTATTATTATAGTAGTATTAAAAATTAATTATTATTTCAATACAATTATATATGTCTATGTTGAGATTGTATTGAAATGTAAAATTTATATTTTTTTATATATGTTTTATTTTTTTTTATTTTTTTGTTATATTTTTTTAAAAAAATATTTTGAATTTAGAATAGTCGATGTAGTTATATAATGGAAAAAATTAATAGTAATCCTAATATAACTAATATGTATAAATTTTAATTCAATTATAAAAATTTATAACATATATTCTTTTGAAATGTTTTATCTAAAATTCTATTATTCATGAAAAAAAATTTCCTCTTGCAAATATCTAATTACATAACTATTTTTTTTATTTTTTTTTTTGTTATTATAGTAGTATTAAAAATTAATTTATTATTTCAATACAATTATATATGTATACGTTGAGATTGTATTGAAATGTAAAATTTATATTTGAACTAAAATTGATACATTTTAATTATATTATGATTATTATTGATTTTTTTTTTCTATTTTAACTATATCAACTATTCTAAATTCAAAATATTTAATAAAAGTTTAGACCAAAATAGAAATGTACGCGGTTGTGTAGACGTGTAACAATATGATCATGCATAATTATACGCCGTATGATATCATGACTATGTAGTTTCCAAGTTAGCTCTCACGCCGCCTGGGTCATATCCACGGCAGTAATTTCGGTGGGACCAAAATTATTTATAATGAGAACAAAATTAATTAAAATTTATAACGAGAGTAAAATTGATAAATTTTTTATATTGAGACAAAAATTAATAAATATTAATTATATTTGGACCAAATTGGTTTTTTCCCTTATAATAATAATCCTATTGTCGTCCCATTGTCGCCGTAAGAGATGACACGCAACAACGAGTCAGCTACGAATGCGTGGAATGCAGTAGAGAGGCTATGAGATTGGAGTCCCAAATACAAGAAGATCAAATCATTCAAATGGGCGTTAGGAGAAATCCTGGTGGAGGAGGTGGAGTTTACCAACAGATCCACTCTGTTTTAAAGTGGAGGCCGAGAGAGTGAATATGATTTTTTAACATTTTGGTGACACAGATGAGATGAGATAGAGATGTGGTGTTTTCCAGAAACCCTAGAATAAATCAATACCGACAATCTTGTCAGCTTGCGCCTTGCCACCGCTTCATCATCATCGTTTGACTCTCTAATTTGGTATCTCTTACTAGAGGATAACCCTCAAATCTCCGGATAATCCTCAAATCTCCTCCAGTCACCGCGAAAACTCTCAAATCAAGTCAGGGAAAACTTAGCGGAGCGTCTAGAATATGGCTGCACAGAAGAGGGTGCTCTTGCTTTGCGGAGATTATGTTGAAGATTACGAGGTTCCATCTCTTTTTCATTCGCTTGATTTCAATTTTCAGTTAATTAGCAGTGGTTACTGTACTCGATTGACAAACTAATTTGCGAATTAAGCTTTTTGAATTGCGGTTTGATTAGGTTATGGTTCCGTTCCAAGCACTGCTGGCGTACGGGTTGGCCGTTGACGCCGTTTGCCCCGGGAAGAAAGCCGGCGACATTTGTCGCACCTCGATCCATGATTCTCTTGGTTTCCAGGTTTGTCGGAGTTGAATTCCTCAGTTCATTTGTTGGTTGACGTGTGAACATGCTCTAATTGTTGCGTGGAGTTGATAGGATTCTAAACCAAATTAATAAACAATGAGTAGCGCAGACATTGAATTCCAAAAATCAGTTGAGAGGCTAAGAACCATTCTGAGTCAATAGAGAACAATCCTAAATAGACGAGTCAGGGGTTTAAAGATTGGATGGTAGCTAAGAACTCATGGCTAAGCTATTACAGTAACCGCCATGGAATAAGCTTTGAATTAGGATCAAGATCTGCTTGTATTGATTTCAATTCTTAATTGGTGTATTCCATTTTATTTTTTTTTCCCTAAAGTTGGTTTAATGTGTGGTATTTTATTCGATTTATGTCCGAATGGAAGGGTAATTTTCTTTTTGATGAATGCACGCAGACATATTCTGAATCAAGGGGGCACAATTTCTCTCTTAATGCAACTTTTGACGAAATAGACATATCCAAATATGATGGACTGATCATACCTGGAGGACGCGCCCCTGAATATCTTGCAGTGGATGAAACTGTTGTAGCCCTGGTTGCAAAATTTGCAGACTCCAGAAAGCCAATTGCATCCATCTGCCATGGCCAATTGATCCTTGCTGCAGCTGGCGTAGTTAAAGGCCGCAAGTGCACTGCTTATCCAGCTGTTAAAACTGCACTGATTCACGCCGGTGCACATTGGGTTGAACCAGAAACCATGGCCTTCTGTACTACCGATGGAAACCTCATAACTGGAGCTACATATGAAGGGCATCCTGAGTTTATTGGGCTTTTTATTAAGGCACTCGGAGCCAAGATTTCTGGTTCTGGAAAGCGAATTTTGTTTCTTTGTGGAGTAAGTGTTAATGGCTCTCATCTTCACTATTTTTACCTCGGGTGTTTGAACACTGTTTGTAAACACCAAGCATTTGGTTATTTGTTGACGATTTCATTTCTGATCAGGATTACATGGAAGACTATGAAGTGATGGTTCCTTTCCAATCTCTTCAAGCTCTTGAATGTCATGTAGATGCTGTTTGCCCCAACAAGAAACATGGCGATACATGTCCTACTGCTGTACACGACTTCGAAGGTGATCAAACTTACAGTGAGAAGCCAGGCCACAATTTTACTTTAACAGCTAATTTTGATGGCCTGGATGCCTCTAGCTATGATGGTCTGGTGATTCCTGGGGGCCGTGCACCTGAGTACTTGGCCTTGGATGATAAGGTTCTGCAATTGGTGAAAACATTTATGGAGTCAGGAAAACCCGTGGCATCGATCTGCCATGGACAACAAATCTTATCTGCTGCTGGTGTTCTGACGGTAAATTTTCTTAATCTATATTATTAACTTTTCTGCTTAGTAAGGTTTTTGGTGTGTATGCCTCGTCAAATGATATTCGGCCCGTGTTAGTAAACACAGTTCTCTTCGAATAACAACACTAGAGGAATTGTGTTTGTTTACTATTTAAGTTTGAGGAACCTTTTTTTTACTTGAAAAGTTATGTCGATAATATACATAATAATAATATTTTGTCTGTTGTTGCATTCACTATAGGGCAAAAAATGTACTGCGTATCCGGCAGTGAAACTGAATGTTGTTCTCGGTGGGGCGACATGGTTGGAGCCTGATCCGATTTCGAGGTGTTTTACCGATGGAAATCTTGTCACTGGAGCTGCATGGCCAGGTCATCCCGAATTTGTAGGTCAGTTTATGGCTCTTCTTGGCTTGAGTGTGTCCTTCTAACTCTAGTAACTTTCTTGGTTTTGGGCTCGATGTCGAGTTGTGTTGTGGTGCAACTAGCAAGATGATATATGTGTGCTCCTTTACAAACATGATTGATGAAATAATAAGCGTTGCTTGCTACAACAAAATTGAAATTAAGCATTTTTATTATTTTTATTTAATTATTTTCGAAAAAGAAAAGAAGTTTTATCTTAAATTAAGGGTCTGTTTTGGTCGTTATTTTTCCAAATAGAACCTACAAAACTCGACTAAACAACGAAAGTATATAGTGTGATTTGCCTTGTCAAACTTAGTTTACAGGAATTAGGTTCCACCGATCCCTCCGTCCAGAACTATAGTCTTAATTGGGTTAAGCACGGGATTTAAGGAATATTGATATTATATTGGTAATGGGAAAAAAGTACAGATAAAATACTTTTTTTGCCATTGCAAGTGTATTAGTGTAAAAGAATATTGGCAATTGTTTGATAAAAATGAAAAAAGTAAAGTAGTTTTACGGTGATATAATTATTTATGAAAATAAAACTATTGTTTTAGGATGGAAAACAATGGTAAACAAGACTATTGTATTGACATGGAGGGAATATATGTTTGTTTTTTTAGCAAAAAAAAATATTGGGGGAGGGGGGGGGGGGGTTGGGCGGGGGGAGGTTTTCCAATAATACAATTTTTTCCTCAAATTTGATCAAATTGTATTTTAGAGTACCTTATTGAATTTGGGTTCAGATACGCAGGCCTCGGTTCATGTAATGATTAGTTCACATAAATATCAACCAAAATTCAAAAATAAAAAACAATTGAAAGGATAGTTATAAATTTTTTTTCATAAAAATTGTGTTGAAATAAATACAATAACATTAATGAGGACGTATACATTTTTTTTATAATTACTTTTTTACCAAAAAAAAAAAAAAAAAAAACTTATTATAGTTACATATTTTTATTAAATTGGCTCTTAAAAACAATCTAACAATATATACAATCAATCAATTCACAATTCAAGTTGCGCACTATTGACCCGACCCGAAACCATTTAATTTAAACTTATTTCTGTTTGATATCAATTGAAAATTTTAGTATAACGAGCCGGTTCGGGTTAGTCTATTAAAAAATATATCCAACTCAATCCGGCCCATAATCTGTTAGTATAGCCAGGCCCAAATACATTTATTGTGCATTTATTATTAATGTATTTAAAATTAAATTAAATGTATTTGTAGTCATTTAGTGCATTAAGGACATGATGTGACGTACAGTTGAGTTCATCAATATTGACCGACATTAAGCCGGCGGTACGAAAAAACTCCGTATATTGTCTTATTATATATATACAAAATAAATTGAGTCATATGTTTACTTTTCGCTTTCCATATTTGTCCCGTTAAAATATATAGGTTGTTTTTTTTTATTTAAATTTTACTACAAATTTTTATTATTTCATTTTTTTTTAAAAAAATATTAAATTAAATAATAATAATAATTATTTTTTTATTACATTATAAATTTATTTTATATTCAAACAATTATTCAAATTACTTTTTACTATTCAAAAATTCTAATTCACAAACAAACACAGCAATATTGTTTTTGTAAAGAATGATCAAATATTATAAAAATGAATTTTTAATTATGAAGTTATCGATTCAAATATATTATTGTTGTCGTCAAGCTAGCGCATAATTTATTTTTAGTTTATTATTATTATTTTTACTAATTACTATACCATTTTTTATATTAATATTTTAATAATGACAAAATGACAAGGATTGCCTCATCTTCTGACAATTACTCAAAATAACGCGATGCGGCAATTGACACTAATTTGTTATGCCTTATTTATTTACTTTCATTGTTATTATTATTATTATTATTATTATTATTATTATTATTATTATTATTATTATTTTATGTTAAATAAAGAATTGCGTCGACACATGACATCATGCGCATTGCACACGGCACACTGACTGGATAAAGCAATATGGCCTAATTTAGGTATTTTCAAGTCATTGTTTATTGAACATTAATTTATTATTTATTTTTTTCAAAGTTTTTTTTTTTTCTATTATTCAATACTTACTATATTATGTTAAAATATATATATTTTCGATCCGATCAAAGTTAAGTTATTTCTTTTCCAATGCGCTTAATATATACATAATTTATTTATACTAAAATATTTTATTTACTTATAATTTTAGTACCGTAAACCCTAAATTTTATATTTTTACCAATAAAATTCTAATATTAAAATATCATAATATTTTAGTTTTCTTGTCATATCAAATTCACATAATTTTTTCTGACAAAAATATTATTATTTTTTCAATAAAATATTATTATTTAAACAAAATAAAAAATAAAAAATCACCAATTAGACACACCCTCTATTTTTTATTATCATCATTCTTTCAACTAGTTATATTTTGACGATATTATCCAGTTAATTTAATTTAATTTAATTTTTTATTTTTAGATTATATAGATTTGATTTGATTTGTGTAGCCTGTAGGGACACGCATATTATTGAGACTAGCTAGTTGCTGGTTTTAAATTAATTAATTGGTTGGGTCCTTAAATTTGTGTTTATTTTTGTCCACTTACGTCACCAAATCATTTTGTATAATAATACATTATTTATTAGTATATTGATATATGGTAGGATGATTCTACACGTCGTGGGAAACTCAATTTAAATTTATAAAAAGTAACAGCCATATGCATTTAAAAAAAAAAAATTAAAAAAAAAAAACTAATCCATTAACGTACATTTATTTTAAAATAGAAAATTATTTTTAACAATTCATATTTTTTGAAGCTCGGCTAAGGCCATCTCCAATTGGGCTGTAATTTTGACGTTGCAGTCCATAAATAGAATTTTCAGTCTTCGACCGTATATTATTTTTAACAAAAAACAATGGTAGTGCACTGTAGCAACACTTTTATAGTGTTGTATTTTTTTTATTTTAAATTTGTATATTTATTTATTTATTTATTAATTTTTTAAAAAAAATATCAATTGTAGATTTAAAAAGTGGTTTAAAATACTCCATCTATTCTAATACAATAGTCTTGTTTACCATTTTTGTCCGTCCCAAAACAATAGTTTTATTTCCATAAATAACAATATCACCATAGAATTACCATTACTTTTTTATTTTTATTACACAATTGCCACTACTTTTTATACCAATATACTTACAATGACAAAAAAATCTTTTATCCGTGCTTTTTACCAAACACCAATATAATATAAATATTCCTTAAATCTCGTGCCCAACCCAATTAAGACTATATTTATGGGACGGAGGGAGTATATAAAATGGAATATTTAAAGAATATTAGTTTTGGAGTAAAAAATAGAATTGTGGATTAAAGTAAAATTACTATAACAATTGCATTTTTAGAGCTATTAACCACATAAATAGAATTATCCTATTGGAGATGACCTAAGTGAACAGCCACCTTATATTCACCTTTAATGTAGTGAGAAGAGAAAGTTTTATTAAAAAAAATAATAAAAATATTAAATTTGTATAAATATATTTATTTATTTATTGAGAAAAAAAAATCAGAATAGATGATTTTGATATATATATATATTTCAAATCATTTCCACACTATTAACTTCCTAAAATTTATAGTAAAAATATATTACATCCGTCCGGTTATAAGGGTCTATAAATTAAGAAAAAATTACAAAAATACTTTAATTAGCGTCTTATAATACTAATAGAAGGATATTTGTAAAAAAAATTATACAAATATAAATATATTTTTAATATTTATAATGACTACAAAATATAAATGTGATCCTAGAGGCGGACGGAGGGAATATTATTTTTTTTACAAAATATCATAATATTACAATATTATTTAAACCATACCAAATCTGATGATTAAATTAGTATGCTACTAATTCCTATTGAATTTCAGCATAATAATTTATAGCCATCTATAATAATAAGAAAATGCTTTTATTATTATATTATTATTATTATTCTGTTCGTGCTAAATTATTCATATTACTATAGATAAAAGAATTTAAATAAAATATAATTAGTAAATAATTTAAATATATATTAATAAAAAATAATTATTATATAATAAAAAATTATAAATTATGATAATTAAATAGTTTAATTAAAATTTAAAAAATTATAAATTATAAAATTTAAAATATAATTAAAATATATAATTGTATTTTATGTAGAAAGGAATTAGTATCATACAATTATAGTATATAAATTATATTTAAGATTATTTAAAATCGATATAATTTTGAATGTGTTTTATATAGCCGACTCGAGTGGTGATTATTACTAATCAACATATGAATATAAGGTGAATTGTATGTTAATATTGTATAAATACAATATATAAATCAACAATATATAATATTGGAAAATAATTTCCTCGATCTATTTTTGGCATATGGTCACTTCATCTTTTCTGCTGCTGCCTTTTTAGATTTTCATTTGGAGTAAGTGGTCTTGTCAGGTTGCTGCAACAGGCTGATGACAACATTGCCTGTTTTACACTATCTCGATTGGTGAATATATAAGACAAATGAATGGATGTTTTGAGTAGTCAAATTGCATCAAAATTATTTAGGAATACATTATTCTATTTATGTGCAAAGGGTTTTAATTGATTTTGTCTTACATGCAAAGCAAGATGGCTTTATAGATTATTGTGAAGAGAGAGTGGAGTGGTTGGAAGGTTTTGAGAGTGAAGTATAGTGAAAGAAAGTGAGTTAAATCCTCAACCCCAACATTTCTCTTCTCCATGTATTGAGTGAGTGCCAGACATTTTTATCTTGCCGGAGACCTCGTCGGAGGAATGAGAAATCGGAGTTCCGATCAGGGGAGGCGTCCAGATTTTGAGCAGCTTTGCTCCATGGTCGTTGTCAGCACGAGTTTGTGACAACATAAGTCTGTGAAGGGAATTTCCAAGGTAAACCATGTTAGGAGGATGAGTTAAAGGAGTTGTAGTTGTCTATGTTCTTGATCAAAATTGATTAGTAGACTTCTCATGGATTGGTATCCCCGGATGTAGGATCGTTTATATCCAAACCGGGTAAACAAACCCTTGTCTCATTTACTGCTTTGTATTTTCCGCATATATTCAGTTGGCAGTAAGGTGTTACAACTGGTGATATAACCACGCTTCGGGAGTTGGCCCATTTGGATAAATGTACGAGGATTTATTGGAGTAGCATTTATTTCCATCCCATCACATAATAATAATAATAATAATAATAATAATAATAATACTCCCTCCGTCCCACATACCATGTCTGCTACACGGTAGACAAGGTATTTTAGGAGGGTTGTAATTAGTAGATAATTAAGAATTTATTAGTAAAAATAATTATCCTATAATATAAATAATTATAAATTAAGATTAAGATAACTAATTAGTTTAATTAAAATTTAAAAAAAATAAATTAAAAATTTTAAAATGAGATTAAAGTGTGTAATCATTTTCAAAAAAAATGAAAGTGACATAGAATATGGGACGAATAGAAACGGCAACTTGGAAGTAGTACATAATATCAATATTTATTTAATTCAATTTATAAGTCATGTAGTAACCTAACTCCCGTGTTATGCGAGTTGGTGTTACCAATTCATACAGAATTTGCCATTAATTTAAATAAAAAACTACATTTAAATATAATAATTATCATAACTGCCCCAAATAATAATAATAATAATAATAATAATAAATAAAATTGTAGCGCACCTAATATGGAGTATTTTCTGACTAATATAATAAATGGTGGCGATAACATGGCATGTGCACTCCGAATATAATTTTAATCTTATATTTATAATTTATTTTGGATAATTTCTAATAAAATTTTTGGATGTGTTTAAATGCAAGGCTTGAGAGGTGGATTTGAGATCGAGAATCATCAAAATTTGAATTTAATATATATTGTTGTGATGTTTTAAATAGAATAACAACTTTTGATGTATTATAAAAATTAAAAATAAAATAAATATTTAATTTAATATATATTCTTAAAAGAAAATGAATAATAGGGTTGGATTCCAAACACACTCATTATTTTTATCTATTACTATTATTTTATTATTATATGGTCCAATGTGTGTATGGTCCAAAATTTGTATATATGCACATGCAAGCCATAATTGCTCCCAAAACAGTCCAAGCATCTAAAAGGTACATTCTTAGTATGCTTCGTATGTGTGTTTTTCTAAAAAAAGTTTGGGAAATTATTTTTCTTTTTTTTTAAAAAAAAATATTATTATTATCCACTTTTATGAAATTTTGTATTTGGGAAATTATTTTTCTTTTCTTTTTTTTTTAAAAAAATTATTATTATTATCCACTTTTATGAAATTTTGTATTTGATCAAATGAACATAAATTTCGACGACTGAGGGTATATTAAATATATAGTTGTAAAGATAAGCACGAAGGATGTGTCCTATGCGCTTTTTTAAAAAAATAAAAAAATAAAAAAAATTAATTATGAAAGGTTAAAAATACCAATTACTATTACTCTCTCCGTTCCAGATACCGACGATATTTAGAATGTATTAATGAAAATAATTATTTTATAATATAAATAATTATAAATTAATATTAAAATAACTAATTAGTTTAATTACAATTAAAAAAAATAAAATTTAAAAAATTTTTAAAATGAGATTACAGTGTGTAATCATTTTCCAAAAAAGAAAAGTGATATAGTATATGGGACGAACAGAAACGGCAACATGGACATAGTATATGGGACGGAGGGAGTATTAATCTATATGAAAAAGTATATATGTGTATAAAAGTGCATCCTATAATACATTCTTAAGGTTTGACTTGATGTACGACGTTTGACCATTGTTGTAATGATGTTTGACCACGGCAGTGTGAGGGTGGGATCGATGATTACAATATTTTGGTAATCATTTTCTCTGTCAGCATTATGTTCCTAATTTTTTAAAATATTATACTAAGATTTACTTAAATATTTTACTTTTATCCTTTTTTTTATAATTAATACATATATTCAATTTTTTTTTAATTTTTTTTTTTATAAAACAAATATATATTAATTATAAATAATTTCTTTTTAGTTTTATTTATTGTAATATATACAGTATCTATAAATATTCATAGTATTTTAATTTTATTAATAATATATGTTAAAGTATTTTAGGTTTGTTTGATTCTATTATAAATAAAAAAAAAATATTATATTTTTCATAAAATACCATATCAAAAAATAAATTCGCTCAACACCGAATAGCACCAATATCTCATCATCAAGAATAAAAACAGAAAATTCGAACAACATAAACAAATTGTTTGCTATACGATCGGACTGAATAAAATGTTCAAATTTCGAATATTTTTATCACTCTGATCGCATCCTATATATTATACTGTATATAAAAAAAAGGTTTATAACTAATTTGGTATTGTAATTTTAAATAAAAACAAATAATAAAAAGATTCCAACTAATTATTGAAGAATAATCGAAATTGCAAAAGGAAGGTGGCGAGAAGTTGGTTGGTATTGATAATAATTCAAAACCCGCACGGAAACTCAAAGACAGCACACCACCAAGTGGGTAGTAACCCTTTGCTGTAGAAACCGACCTACATGGTGAAGTTCCTAAAATACCCTCACCAGAAAAAAATTATTACCCCGCTGGCATAAAAATATCTGGCGGCTTAAAATAGCGTTACAGCCTGCATTATAAATACTCGCATGAATTCTGCCGAACCAAAGTTGGAGAGAGACGAGAGGCATTCACCGCAAATAATTGAGTTTTTGGGAGTTGGGAGAGACGGAGAAGGAGGATCGAGGGTTTGAGGTCGGGGCATTCGGATCTATGCAACCGAGGATTGATCGCAAGCCATCGGTTGGTGTAGACGAAGAAGCAGTTTTTGGATTTCAATCGTGTTTTTGTGAATGCTGCAAAAGCTGGGTCTTCGATGATGAGTATTAGGAACTTGTTTGATGATAAGTTGGGTTCTGCATCCAATCTCAGCCGCCTCATTGCCGGACTTTTGCTTTTCCTCCTCTACCATTCGTTCCAATTGATTTCTAATTTCCCGATTCCTATACACCCGTAAATTTTGTTCTTTGTTTTTCATTTTTTTCGGTTTACTCTCCTGCGCTGTTTTGTTATTCGTTGTTGGCATCTGTTGTGGGATCGGATTTGAGGAGTGCGGGTAGAGAATTTCTGGTGTTGGATAATGGAGATCGTTTATGGCGATGATGGTGAATTTTCTAACGGTGAGTCTTGTAACCTAAATTTATTTGATTGTTTTTCTTCTGTTTGATTAGATTTAAATCTTGGTTTTATTTATGTTTGAACGTTGATCATTGATATGCTGTTTTGAATGTCGAGTGTGTATTTGCTTAACGTGTATCATCGTTGTTGTTGAATTTGGATACTTAGAACAGTCTCCTCTGGTTCTCTTAATCATCATCATTCGGCGTTTTAAAAATTTAAATTACTTATTGCAAATTGGTTCCTGTTTTAATGTGTTGCAATTGGAATAGAAGCACAGTGATCTCTATTTTATTTGCCTTTTAGTTTGCTAGATCAAGAATTGCATTGATTTCTGGGTAGTTGTCTAAAGGCATTTTCTTGTGTTGGACACCAAAATCTAATTCAATTTCGACACAGCCTATATGTTCATTTGTTGCAGACACTATTGGTTTTACCGTTTTAGTTTCTTGTTGACATGCAGTATCATTCTTTTAAATCTTTCCTATTTATTTCTTGTATTTGCTAGAAATTGACACTAAACTAATTATCTTCATTCTTACTTATTTTGGTAAATAGGCACTTATGGTTCACTTTTTGAGAGACAACACAACTCATCTCCATCTGTCATTGTTATTGGTGGGGGCATCTCAGGGATTGCTGCTGCACGGATGCTTCATGATGCGTCTTATAAGGTGTGATGTTTTAGGCATGTTCCTTCATTTTCTTATTTATAGTTTAGCTTTGTGCTTAATAATGGAATCAACCCTCTTACAGGTGATTCTGTTGGAGTCACAAGATAGAATTGGTGGACGCATTCACACAGACTATTCTTTCGGTTGCCCAGTTGATATGGGAGCTTCATGGCAAGTGCACTTTCTTTCTTTCTTTCCTTCTTTTTTCTGTTTTTTTTTTGACACATCATACTCTGTCAGCTTATGAAAATTTTATGTTCGTCTAAGCTTCTCATTGTTTCCTTATGTTTTTACTTTTAATATAGCCATATGAAATGCAAAGTAAAATGTTGTGTTGATATTCTAACACTAACATAAATTTAGTTCATTTATATAATACTAGAAAACACTTATAACACTAACAAAAGCTTTTGCACCTGGAAATAGAAAACTGTAAGTTTGGGTGGCAGAAATATTAGGACATTATGATGCATCTCCTGTTAGCATTGAGCATCCTAGCTTTTCACCAAGACCTAATAAAGGGATTAATTTATTAATGCATATAACTTTTATTTGGCCCAAAGTTATGCATTTAGATGGAATGTCGTATTATTAATTGTGGGTGGAGAAAACAGTGACTTTCTAATGCATGTCTTGTCAGCAAAAAGTGAATGTGTTTTGTTGGTATGCTCACAAAAGTTAATTGTGGCTATACTCAGGCTACATGGTGTCTGCAATGAGAATCCATTGTCTCCTGTTATTCGTCGTTTGGGACTAAGGTTATATCGCACAAGTGGAGATGATTCTATCCTCTATGATCATGATCTTGAGAGGTATGCAACTGCTATTGTTACAGTTATAATAAACACAATGTAAAAAAGCATCCATTTTCTTGACAAATAATACAATCTTGAAATCTTCTCATGATTCTCAATCTACTTAATTGTTGCAGAGTTTTCAATTTCTGAGGCTTTGTGAATTCCCCAAATAATGTTATGCAATCGTTTTTCTTGAATTCTAAGCACTTGAATAAGTGAATATAATGCATCATTTCGGTTTGTCGATTTCCATCACACACTTCTATTATACTTATTATATAAATGTATGCTTTTGGAATATATAGAGTGTATGATTTTTTCAACTTGTGAATCATTTAAATTGCCTACAATTTGTAAGGGTTTTGATTTTTAGTTTTGTGCTTTTCAGTTATGCACTTTTTGACAAGAATGGCAACCAAGTTCCCCAAAGTATTGTTACTGAAGTTGGAGTTGCATTTAAGAAAATTCTTGAGGAGGTGGGATTGTATTTCTTGAATATATCATTTCTCTAGATACATTGTTAACTAATGCATTTTACTTGGAACGAGTCTCCTAACAATATGTTCTCCTTTTTAGACGGATAAAGTGAGGAACGAACAAAGCAATGACATATCTGTCAAGGAAGCAATATCAATTGTGATGGATAGGAACCCAGATTTAAGGTGTTAGAACTTTGTTGTTATCTTGAAGATCACCTTTTTGTAACAGAAGTCTCTAATGCTTGGTGTTTCTTCAGGCAAGAAGGCGTTGCATATGAAGTCTTGCAGTGGTATATTTGTAGGATGGAGGCTTGGTTTGCTGCTGATGCAGAAGACATATCGCTGCAAGCATGGGATCAGGTATGTTTGGCTCCTCTTAGTATTGTCTTATTTATACTGAGGCTCTTTGAAAGTAGTATCTAATATCGCCACTTTTGCCCTGTACAATTAATAATGGACAAAATAAGAGTTTTTCTTCCTCTGTTATATATCTTATGCCATGTGATTAATAAATGATTCGTTTATGTGAAGTTGTAAATTTGTATTCCTTATGCTTCATTTATTATTATTGTTAATGTGGGGTTGTATTCCTTGTGCCCAGGAGAAAGTTCTGACTGGTGGTCATGGGCTTATGGTGCAAGGGTATGATCCTGTCATAAAGGATCTCTCTAGAGACATTGATATTCGTTTAAATCACAGGTATGCACCAATGCCTTTCTTGAATTTATTGTATGACAGTTAAAAATCTATATATTTCTTGTATTTTATACAGCAACAACTATTACAACATACACCCAACTTTCATGTCAAACACACATGTGGATACAATGTGGGAGTATCTTTTATATTCACCATGGCTGGATGTCCTTTTGAAATGTTAAGAATGTGTAAAAAAAGTACATATTTTGTTGATGAAAACAGTAATGCAAAAGGAGGGACTGCTGTTTTACATCCTCTAGAAATATATTAGTTGTAAGCTCGCATCATATAATCGGTGGTCAGGGTTCAGTTATCATTATCTAGGATTGAATGATTTGATCGAGTTAGCTCATGTGTGTGGGTGCGGTGTTTGTCATATCCCTCCCAAAAAACTTCATTTATTTTCAGTTTCTAATTTGCCTTCCCAGTTCTGGATATTTAAATTTACTCTATCTAAATTCCCAGGGTTAAAAAGATCGTTAATGGTTACAAGAAGGTTGTTGTGATGGTCGAAGATGGGAGAAGTCTTGTTGCAGATGCTGCTATTGTCACTGTGCCTTTGGGGACTCTAAAGGCCAACGTAATCAAGTTTGAGCCTAAACTGCCGGAATGGAAACTGTCTGCAATCTCAGATCTCGGTGTCGGAATTGAAAATAAGATTGCCCTAAAATTCGAGCATGCATTCTGGCCAAATGTGGAGTTTCTTGGCATCGTAGCTACCACTTCTTATTCATGTGGCTATTTTCTTAATCTTCACAAGGCCACAGGTCACCCTGTTCTAGTCTACATGGCTGCCGGCGCCCTTGCCCACGACCTCGAGAAACTGACAGACACGGCTGTCGTTGAATTTGTGATGCTGCAGCTGAAGCAAATGTTTCCCAATGCAACTGAACCTGTAAGCACTTTTATAATTCAGCCAGTCAGTTTCAATACTCGTTAGGATAATAATTTGGTTACGCTGCTGCGTTGCAGGGGCAGTATCTTGTGTCGCATTGGGGAACAAACCCGAACATTCTTGGCAGCTATTCATACGACGCAGTGGGGAACACGGTCGATATATACGACCGGCTGCGCGCTCCAGTGGGCAATCTCTTCTTCGGAGGTGAAGCAGTGAGTCTCGACCATCAGGGCTCGGTGCATGGAGCCTACTCTGCGGGTATTCTTGCAGCCGAGGCTTGCCAGAAACATCTGATGCAGAGGTTCGAGAGTAGTCTCGAGACGAATCCACTTGCTGCTGCTGCTGCTTCCTGTCGCGACGAACCTCTCGAAGCTTCGGTGCCTCTGCAGATCTCGCGGTTATAAGTTTACCTTAACAAATTGGAACTGTAACTTTTGTTGTTTTTCTGAATGAATTGTTCTCGTCGGGATGTTGGAACTACGGCGCTATTGAAATAAATTCATTACACAAATGCTCTGTAACTGTATTTATGTATTATTGCGATCTCGAGGTCATTGGTTGGTTTAAACACTCCGCCTTATGTCACCAAAAAAAGATTTTGAAACTAAAGAAAATTTTGAAGCAGACATAAAACATAAAGTTCGATTTCAGTTCGATTTAGAGACTAAAATTGATTTTCTTCTCTAATATTTTACTAACATATTTTATTAGAAAAATAATAAAAAGCTAAAACCTTCTAAAAACGCACGAACAGCGTCAAAAATTCCAAATGGCCACGACGCCAATCCGTCAGCGTCTCCTTCCTTGCGTCCGCCGGCGCCGCCGCTTTTTCTCCGCCTCCGCCTGGTACACCCCGCCGGTGTGGTTCCGGAATTCACCTCTCTGTGATACAGACCCCATCCTTACCGATCTTTCTCAAGCCATCCAAAACTCCCAATCGAAATCTATCCAAGCATCGCTTAAACATCTCCTCCCTTCTCTGAAGCCCCATCATATCATAAACCTCATCACCCAAAACCCTCACTCTCTCTCTCCTCTCTCTCTCTACAATTTCTTCACATGGCTGTCATCTCCCGGCTTTTCCCCCTTCCGCCACACTCTCCACACCTACTGCACCATGATCCACTTCCTATGTTCACACCAATTAACGACAGAGGCCAAGACCTTGTTGCAGACTGTGGTTTCGAGGAAAGGGAAGGATTCGGCGCCGGAGGTTTTCACGGCAATAATTGAATCCAAAGGTACACTGAGATCGGATGCGTATGTTTTCTCAGGATTGATGGTTGCATATTTAGAATCCGGATTTGCTCTAGACGCTATTGAGATTTTTAGGTCGGCTAGAAAGCATAGAATTAGGGTTCCATTCGATAGCTGTTGCAAGGTGCTCGACCATTTGATGAAGCTGAAGCATTTCCATTTAGTTTGGGAATTCTACAACGAGGTTTTGGAATGTGGTTATCCTCCGAGTTTATATTTCTTTAACAATTTGATGCACAGATTTAGCATACAATGCGAAATTGAGGAAGCTTTAGCTGTTTTCGAAGCTATCCGGAGATGGGGTTTGAGGCCTAGTGTTGTTAGTTTCAATACATTAATGAATGGTTATGTTAGGATGGGTGATCTTGATGAAGTATTTAGGCTAAAAGAAAAAATGCAGGATGATAGAATTCTTCCCGATGTTTATACTTATAGCCTTTTGATCAACGGGTTGTGTAGGGAGCGAAGAATGGATGAAGCCAGCGAGTTTTTCAATGAAATGTGGGGCTATGGATTGGTCCCGAATGGTGTTACTTTCACTACGATGATCGATGGGCATTGCAAGAACGGCCGTGTCGATTTGGCTATGGACATGTATAAGCGCATGTTGGCACAGGGATTATCCCCTGATGTTGTTACCTACAATTCCCTCATTAATGGCCTCTGCAAAAATGGAGATTTGAAAGAAGCACATGATCTTGTTGATGAGATGGACAAGAAGGGATTGAAGCCAGATAAAGTTACATACACAACCCTAATCGATGGAAACTGTAAGGCGGGATATTTGGATGCCGCAATTGGGATTAAGGAAAAAATGAGCAAGGAAAGTATTCTGCTCGACAATGTGGCCTACACAGCTCTTATTTCTGGTTTGTGTATCGAAGGGCGAGTGGAAGATGCTGATAGAACGATGAGGGAGATGTTGAGAGTGGACCTCAAACCTGATGACAAAGTGTATACAATGGTCATTCATGAGTTTTGTAAGAAAGGAGATCTTCGAATGGCTTCGAAGTTACTAAAGGAGATGCAGAAAGATGGGCGTAAAATATCCGTCATCACTTACAACGCGCTCATCAATGGCTATTGCAAACAAGGACAGTTGCACAATGCCAATATGCTCCTAAACGCGATGCTAAATCTCGGTGTCATTCCCGATGATATAACATATAACATCTTGCTCGAAGGCTATTGTAGATACCGCAATGGCGAAGATGTCGCCAAACTCCGTGGCGCAAAAGGGCTTGTTCTCAACTATGCTTCATACACTTCGATGATAAGTAGCTTAAGCAGTAAAGAATCGAAGCACAGTTCCAAGGGATGGTAAATATACTTCTATTTCTTTTATTTGATTTTTTTTTTTTTTTTTTTTTTCGTTCGATAAGGATATTTTTTAGTCTCTAGATTTGATGATGTTCTCTGCTTTATGACATGTCGACTTGTCCTTGCACTTGTATTGAATTAAATACCTTTGTTTAACAAATACTAATACAATTAGGTATTATAAATAGAGTTTTGCCATTGTTGACACCAAACAAGCAAGAGGAGCAGCTCTGAAGCTTTGATATTAGCATAATATTTTTCGTCTTTGTCCATTGGACTGACAGTGGGTTTCTTTTTAAACTAATGAATAAACAGATGAGGTTCAAATTAAGTTCTTCCTATGAAAACAGAACTTTGAGAATGGATAGACATATATAGATAGTTTCCAAAAATATCAATAGGGATAAGATCCACAGATGGAAGAATGAGGTGAAACAAAAAACCTCTAAATGTGTGCATATCAAACTGGATTTATTTGCTCTATCTTTTGCATACATCATTTCAGATCTCCCAAGATAACTCAACTTGAATTTGACAACCAAGAAAATCATACATGACACCATTTCATCTCTCTCAAAATAGTCTGAACTTTAGGTTCCGCGGAGGGTTTACCCATACACACTTTTGGGTAGCTGCTGTGGTTCATACATTATTAAAAAAAAAAAAAAGAATTAAATTGAACTTGTCCTGTAAAGGATGGCCCGATAGTGGTGGTGTGGGGAATAAACTTGTGATCATGAGATCATGGGTTCAAATTCCGACGCCTCCCGATCCTCCAGGTCCACCTGCGGAATTTTATCACTATTTTATTAATTATTCTCCATTAATAAATACCCAAGCGCAGCAAACTAAGTTTGAAACTCAAGTCATACTAGGCAAGCTTTGTAAGGCAGGTGACCTATCCACCTGTTACGAGACAACGTTATAATAGAACTTTTTGCTTCATATATATCTACGCTTTATATATTTTCCTTCAACAAATCCATTCACTCTCAAACCAACAAATCTATGGATAGTGATTATTTCCCATCCTGGATTATCCTTCTTTCATCATCTTTCATCGTTCTTGCAACCATATGGAACTTCATGGCTCGATCCAAACGTGCCCGAAGTTCCCCTAATCTTCCTCCAGGTCCCAGAAAGCTGCCATTGATCGGGAACTTGCATCTCCTCGTAAGATCCCGACCGCCCCACCGAATTTTAACCGAATTGGCCTCAAAACACGGCCCGATAATGCACTTGCAGCTAGGCGAATTGAGCACGGTTGTTATATCCTCACCCAAAGCCGCGAAAGAGGTCTTGAAAACGCACGACATAAACTTCGCCAATAGGCCACACGTCTTCGCAACAAATGTTTTAACTTACAATAATTCTAACATAGGATTTTTGCCGTATGGAGAATACTGGAGACAGTTGCGCAAAATTTGCACTATAGAGCTTATGGGAGCGCGGCGTGTCCAATCTTTTCGCCCCTTAAGGGAAGAAGAGTTTTCCAAAATGTGTAGTCGGATAGCGTCAAAAGAAGGGTCGTCCATAAACTTAACTCGGAATATTTACTTGGCGACATGCGACATGGTTTTGCGAGCTGCCCTTGGCAATAAGAATGACGAACACACGGCATTTGTATCCGCAATGAAGGAAATGTTTTATTTAGCCGGAGGATTTAATGCCGGCGATTTATTTCCCTCTATTGGTTTGTTTAGAGTAATCGGTGGATTTAGACGCCGCGTGGAGAAAGTGCATGAGCTTTCGGATAGGATACTTCAGAAGATTATCGACAATTGCAAAGTCGAGAAATCACAAGAACAAAAGATCGAAAACTTAGCCGATGTTCTCCTCAAATTCCATAAGGACGCGGGAAGTGAGCTCCGATTGAGCGATGACGGCGTAAAAGCCGTGCTACAGGTTCGTCGTTAAACTCTACAATGGTGGGGAATTTTGGAGCGAAATTTCGCTATGTTTACTTGAAGTTTGATTTCAATTTTTTTACTATTCAATCGGCGCGATTTTTTATTAAAAAAAATCACTATGTTTGTAAGGGTGTCAATTCGTATTTTCGAATAGTATTCATGTCAAGTTAAACTGTACGTATAACAAAAAAATTGTCAACTCAATTTGACCCAAACCCGATTTTCACCCCATAATTCTAGAATTTGAAGAAGACAAATTTTTTTTCGAACCATATTTAGATTAACTTGATTTTATTTTAGCCCACTTGATAATTCGAACTAACCCAAACGAAACCGAAAAAATCTGATACGAAATCTACCCGAAAATATGAAAAATTTAAAATTATGTTTAAGATAATAATAATAATAACAATAACTCCAATAAAAAAAAGTATTAGAAAATTGAAAATATTAAATATATAATTAGCCAACAAAGATAAATATTAACAATTCAATATGAATTCAAACTGAAACAACAACATAAAAACAATACTTTTCAAGACAGCAGAGCCAGAAAATAAAAATATATCTATTGTTAATTTTATTTTTTAGTTTTTTTTTGTATCTAGAATACTTTTATTTTTTATAATTATAATTTGTACATTATTTTATTTTTTTATTTTGTAATGTAATATAATTCGAAATAGATTTATTTATAAAATTACGTTAAGATCAAGTTGGATTTGAATTTCAAATTATGGTGAACATATTTATAGATTTTGGGTTATGAGGTCAACCATCTAACCTTGTGTTTTTTTTTTTTTTTTAATCGTTTCGAGCTTAAGTTGATCTAATATTTTAAATATTCAAAATATTCAATAGAAAGGTTTCAAATCGAACAAATTCGATTTATCGAGCCAGATTCAGTTTTGACACCCTTATTAATCTATCATATACATTCAAATTACTGTTCAACCAGAAACCTAAGTTAAAATACAAAACCAAACCTCTGTATAGAAATGTTTTAAGTTTCACATAACATAATTTTACTTGGGCATATAGGATGTGTTCACTGCTGGAATCGAGACATCATCGACGACTACAGATTGGGCTATGGCAGAAATGATAAGACATCCAAAAGTCCTCAAGAAGGCACAAGATGAGGTGAGACAAGTTTTCCACGAAAAGGGGTTCGTGGATGAATCCGACTTCAATGAGCTAAAATACCTAAAGTTAGTGATCAAAGAGACTCTTAGATTGCACCCGCCGGGGCCTCTTCTACTCCCGCGAGAAAATTATGAGACATGTGAAATTAATGGATACACAATACCCGCAAAAACAAGGGTTATGGTGAATGCATGGGCCATTGGAAGAGATCCCAAAATTTGGAAAGATGCCGAGATTTTTATACCAGAGAGATTTCTTGATAACGATACAGTCGATTATAATGGGAAGAATTATGAATACATTCCTTTTGGCGCCGGGAGAAGAATTTGCCCAGGAATGTGGTTTGGCTTGGCTAATGTCGAACTCCCTTTGGCGATGTTTCTCTATCATTTTGATTGGGCTTTGCCACGGGAAATCGAAAGTGAAGATGTCGACATGACCGAAACCTTTGGCCTTACGGCGAGAAGGAAGAATCCTCTTTATGTGGTTCCGATTTTGAAGAACACTTTGCCTCTAAAGTAAGTTTTGCCAGTGTTATCTTTCTTGGCATGCTCGAACCATTTAGTTTGGACTATTGTTTGGAAATGTTTTTGTGTTTTGGGTTGTTTTGAGAATAGTAGGAATGTTGTAATACAAAATAAGATTTTGTTTAATTTCGATTTTATGTGTTCATTGATTATTATTTTTTAAAAAGAATATGACATTAAGTGCTTATAATTCAATTAAAGTATTACATCAAAAAATTATATATATTTTCTATTTGATTAAATAGATCCGACAAGGAAAGTTACGACTAACTATGTGTAGTCCATTCCTATACCGTTCAGAATAGACATAAGAGAGTATCTTCTTTTTGTTTTTTTTATGACATAAAAATTTGGAGCAGTTATTGAAATACGCACAGGTAAATCTCGGCCGAAACCAAAACCTGCAAACTAGGCCAAAATAGGGTATCTTCTTAAATGTATAAAACAAGTGCTGAATCAAAAAGAAAATATTCAAGTTAGTATATGAATCTGATTTCAGTCATATGAATTTTTATTTAATGTTATTGTTATTATTATTATTTTATTATGGGACATTGTATTTTCGTTTGTAATTTTCCTTATCATTTTTCAATGTTTTTCACAGACAATCTTACCTACTTTTCCACTTAAAAAACAGCGTAAAGGAATATCATATGTCGAGAATTACAGAGACATTTACGTAGCCCTACTTTTCCAACATTTTCTTGAATTCAATTTATTTATATATGTCTATTACTAAAAGATGACAGGTTTGTTAGGTTTCAGTTTGAAATTAATATGTTAGATTTGAGTTTAATTTAAACAATATTTTTATATTATATTTTATTAAAAATTATATAAAACAAACCAGAATAAATCAACAGTTTAAGAAAGACGAAAATATAGCGACTTGTCTAGCCTTAATTTGCAGAATATTAAGTTCGATCGGAATTTGTCGCGCATTTTCGGTTAACCGTGGCGGTTCCGTATCATTAAAAAAAAACACGAATACGATTGAATTTCAATATGTATATATCTGTAATTGAAATTAATAATACATTCCCATCAGTCTTCAACAAACATGTACTCTCTCATTACTATTACTATTATTATCACATTATTTAATTAACCACTATTATTAATTAATTAATTTAATTAATTAATGAGTCAGAGGCGAGACATGGCAAGAACATGTTCCTGGCTTTGACCTTCGTCTCCGTCACTGTATCGCCGCCGCTGCACCTCCTCCCGATCATTTCTCGATTTCGCCGGCGACGGCGAGTCGTCGAATGTCTTCGCTACAGCCCGGAGCTCAAACTTCTGAATCTTCCCCGTCGCCGTCTTCGGCAGCTCCGCCATGAACTCCACCCTCTTCGGCACCATAAAACTCGGCAGATTCCGGCGGCAATGGAGGAGGAGCTCCTCCGCCGTCACCGCCGCCTTCACCTTCACAAACGCGCAGGGACTCTCCCCCCACTTCGCGTGCGGCATCGCCACCACCGCGGCCTCCACCACCGCCGGATGCTTGTACAGCGCCCCCTCCACCTCCACGCTGCTGATATTCTCCCCGCCGGAGATGATCACGTCCTTCGACCTATCCTTGATCTCCACGTACCCGTCGGAGTGGATCACTCCAACGTCGCCGGTCATAAACCACCCCTGCCGGAAAACTTTTCCGGTGGCTTCCTCGTCCTTAAAATACCCCTTCATTATACTGCTCCCCCTCAGCGCAATTTCTCCGATCATCTCCCCGTCCCTCGCCACGCTCTCCATCGTCGCCGGATTCTTCACGTCGACGTCGGCCAGCGTCAGAATGCTTATCCCCTGCCTCGCCTTGTACCTCGATTTCTCCTCCGTCGACAAATTATTCCATTTCTTCTGCCACTCGCAGACCAGAGCAGGTCCCGTCGCCTCCGTCAGTCCGTACGCGTGGACAACGTGAAACCCTAAGGCTTCAATTCTGTCCATTAGCGCCGCCGGCGGCGGCGCCCCGCCTGTCAGAATCTCGACCGGAGACTTCAGCTTCTGCGGATTCGATTCTAACAAAATGTTGAACACGATCGGCGCGCAGCACATGTGGGTGACGCCGTGGGCGGCGATGGCGGCGTAAATCTCCGGCGCGGTGGTGCTCCGGATGCAGACGTTGGTCCCGCCACGCGCAGCCACGCCCCAGGTGAAGGTCCACCCGTTGCAGTGGAACATCGGCAGCGACCAGAGGTAAACCGCCTCCGTCTTCATCTCCCAGCCGACGATCAAGCTCATGGTGCTAAGATACGCCCCCCGGTGGCTGTAGACGACGCCTTTAGGGGCGGCGGTGGTGCCGGAGGTGTAATTGAGGGCGATAGGGTCCCACTCGTCGTCGATTTCGATTGGGGCTTCGTTAGGGTTTCCGGCGGCGAGGATTTCTTCGTACTCGAGAGCGCCGAGGCGGACGCCGGTGGGGCGGTCGAGATCGTCGACAACGACGACGAGGGGCATGGCGGCGGCGGTCTGGAGCACGATTTTTAAGGCGTCGCGGGCGAGGGGGACGTACTGGTAATCGACGAAGAAGATTTTAGCTTCGGAGTGGGTGAGAATGGCGGCGATGTTCTTGGCGTCGAGCCTGGTGTTGATGGTGTTCAGCACGGCGCCGGCCATCGGAACGGCGAAGTGCATTTCGTACATAGCCGGAATGTTGGGCGCCAGTACGGACACCTGTTAAGCTAGCTAATTAATTCATTAATTAATTAATTTATTTATTTATTAATTAGTACGGTACGGCGGTACTTACGACGTCGTTTTTTTGGATGTTGAAAGAGCGGAGGGCGGCGGCGAGGCGGCGGCAGCGGAGGTAGGTGGCGCGCCAGGTGAATCGGACATTTTGGCCGTAGATTAGGGAGGGGCGGTCGCCGTAGACGGCGGCGGCCCTCTTCAGGAAGGTGGTCGGACTCAGGGGGGCGTAATTGGCCCCACACTTGGGCAGTTTCTCCATAGCTACAACTTAATTTAAATTAAAGAGAAGATGGAGGGTCGAATTGAAAATATATATGTCCAGTGCATTTGATATATATAGAGGAGGAGGCGACCCGACGGGTGAAGGGACCCGACCCGGGAGAGGTTGAGGCGTTAGGTAATTGAATAAAATTAAATTAGTTAGTAAGTAAATTAAATAAATATTCGGGTAGGGGAGGGGGAAGTTATGTGGGAGGTTCTGTGATGGTTACATTGAATTTTTAGTTAAGGTTCCCGAAGACGTACAGACTAACTATTTTTGTTTTTTCTTTTTAAATTTTATTTCTTTTCTAAGCAATTTTTATTTATTATAAATATTTTAATGTTTGTTTGCCTTTACGAAGTGCATTCACATTGGGGAAACATGGTGGCTGCTGCTGCTTGACCACTCCACCTGTCTCTCTCTCTCCTCTTTATAGATTTATACATAAAAATATGCTAAATCAAGAATGTCTCTACGCTCGATATCTCAAAAAAAAACAAAAAAAAAAAAGACTGTCTCTATGCTGCGCACAAAACATTTGGGTCTGTTGGGACCTGCGATTGAGCACTTATGCAAAACATCAATATGATGTGGTTTTTACTTTTATTTTTATTTTTATTGTTAAAAAAAAAAATCCTTAGAAAATATTATGTAATATCAAATTTTCACCCAAAAAAAAAAAAAAAAAAAAAAAAGCACTCATAACATATACCATATGTGGTAGGTGACCTAAGACATCGAAAATTTGATGTCATGACTTCACCATCACAAGTCCAACTCCTCCATCGCCAGGTCACCCTTATGTGTGTTAATTTGTTTTATTTATGTTAAATATGGGTTTAGGGTTAATTTGTTATATATGTGTAAGCGTTTAATTATTAGTTATGAAAGTTTAATTTATAAGTGATTATTTATATATAAAAATATTGTAATACTATAATACATATGTAAGAATTCTTTAAATTTATATTAATTACTTTTTCATCTATTTACACATATGTCACTAATGTCCTCACATATTTCTTATATCCGTTATACTTTAATCCAAAAATGAAATCACCAACCCTATAAATTTTTAATTTAACACATTTAAGAAAAAAAATATATATACAAATAATTTTTAAAATTTCATATCGAAAGTTTTGAACATAAATTTATAAGACAATAAAGTATGATATTTTATATAAAATAAAAAATAAGAAAAATAAGTCCCTGTGTAGTTGTGAGGTGGTTCAAACCCAAACGTCTCCGGATCCACTTACCACGCATGGTTCACCTATTGTGACTTGTCTTGTCGGACCTTAATTTGCAGAGTATTAGATTCGGTCTGAAGTTTACCAAATGCGCATTTTCGAGTCGCGATTGAGGTTCCCACGCTATTAAAAAAATAAATTAGATAAGAAAAATAAGTATTTCAAAGTTTCAAAATAAACAAATCCAAAAATTTTACACACTGTTACAATAAAAATTTAACTTATATGAAAAAATAATATATTTAAATTAAAATATAAATAATAGAAATTAATTTATAATGAGATGAGTGAGTAGATATTATAGAGTGGTGCATTAAAGCAAGTAGTGGAGAAGTCATATATACATTATATAATTACTAAAGCACATATATGTATATTCAACGACATCTTCTCAGTTTTGAAGCAGCCAAATTTTCAAAATTTTCAAATCCATCGGAATCATACAAAGTTATGGTGCTTTTAGCGACGGGTACAATGCTGAATAGCATACTGTGTGCCATCAGACAGTATACGATGTTACCATAGATAGCACACAGTATATGTTAATATAATTCAAATACAACACATAACGGCTTATGATATAGTTTCACACAACACATAAAATACTTTATTTTATTGCATGACATACTCTTATACAACACATGTTGTAATTATGAACAAAAATATGTATAGATAAAAACATACGATGTTTCTGTATTTTACGTGTGCTAATTTAAAAAATAAGCATTAATCTTCCCCAATAAATAAATATAAAAAAGATACTTGTAGATATGAGATATGTTTAGATATACTTAAAAGAAGATAGTATATTAATTTTTTTAAAAAAAAAATAAAATTAAATTAGTTAATTCATTTAGAAAAACATAAAAATTGTCACCAAATCATTTCTTACACAACATTAAAAAAACCATACTTTAATTAATAAGTCTACTATTTATTCAATACGATTTTCAATAAAAAAAAAAATTATTATTATTAATATATTAAATACTTATACTTCCTCCGCCCCATAACAAAGTATCCATTTTTTCATTTTAGTCCGTCTCATAACAAGGTATTTATTTTTTCATTTTAGTCCGTCCCATAACAAAGTATTCATTTCCTTTTTTTTTTTTTTTAGTAACTGTACTATCTACCTAACATTACAAATACTCTTACAACTTATAATATATTACACAAATGTCATTACCTTTATATCACACATACTAATAAGATTATTTTAGTCATTTCTACTTTATTTCTACTATATCTCAATATAATACTAATATTTATAAAATTACGTGAAAAAAACAAATAGATACTTTTTTTGGGACGGATGGAGTATATAAAATGATATTATATAATTTAGTTACATTTTTTTTTTTAGTTACATTCTTATTTAATAATAGAATTATGTGCATATTATATTTTCTATTGTTAGATATATTTGTAACCGCTACATTATACATATATATAATGTCAAAAGTTAAGAGTGTTTTTTTTTTTTTTTAATTAATTAAATTTTGATTTGAATTATTTTTTTTAAAGCCCCATAATATTGTATAATTAAAAACAATGAAAAATAAAAAACTAAGAAAAATAAAAAAACTAATTTAATTTGGTGTTGAGTATATCGTATAACCTCCCCATTAATTAAAGCTATGGTGGAAATTTATTCCAGTTAATTACTCGTGGCCATTATTAATCTACCTTTAGGTGAAATTTTGTACCAATAATAATTTCGATATTTTCTTAATCTAGTATTCCAGCTTGCGTTTATACCAAAAAAATTTTATATTTTATACACGGGCAGGCATACACATTGCCTACTTTTATTTAATTATTATTTATTTTATTTTTATTATTATTATTTTTTTTATGACGTAGAATCTATTATTCTGCAAATTAAGTTCAATAGATAAATCACATTAGGCGAACCACGTCTGACAGGTTTTGTTCTGAAATCGGTATGTATGTGTGTATATTTGTACGAAAGTGAGAAGACGTAATAAATGTTGTTGGCGACTTTGCATGGAGTTTTGAGTCAACCATTTAATTAAAGTCGCGTTTGCGATAATGCTTCGGTTTGTTAAGACGAGCGAGAATCGTGTTTCGAATTATAAATTAAATAGTCGACTGGACAGACACGCTTATTGACTGACTCATCACCATGTTAACCACGCTTTTGCTGCTGCCTCTTCTCTTCTACTCTATAAGTACTACGCTATATTTCCTATGTTTATTTTGAGAATATATATATATTTATTTATTTTTGGTAAATATTTTAATTATATTGAACAATTAATCCATGATCTTATAGTCACGAGTCAACGCCCACAATATCAGACCATCTTTATCGGATATCTTTTTTTTTTTTTTTTACATGAAAATAATAATATAATGGTAAATATGAGTATTTGTAAAAATATATATATTTTTCAAAATTGTTACTTTATACTTATATACTATTGATTTAAACAATAATAAAAAAATTATTGTGCATTAAATTATTGATTATATATATAAAGTACATATTATTAGTGTGTTTGTTGGGAATTTTGAAGAATTTCTACTATTATTTTCAATTTTTTTCTAAAAATATCAACTTAAAATAAATGCCTAAAGTCTGTTTGCCTGCACTGAAATTCAAAAAAGGTATTTATATAAGACACTAGTAATTAAATTACATTCATACACTAGGGTGTGTTTGTTTGGGGGTTTGGATTTTGGATTGGGATTTGAATAGTAAAAATTTTGAATTTGAATAGTTGTATGATGTGATATAAATAGGGTTTGATGTGATGTTTTGAATGTAAAATTGATTTTTAGTATAATATAAAAAATAAAAAATAGGTGTTTGATTTGATGTTTTTTTGGGGAAAAAATTGGATGAATAGTGGAAATCCTTCAAAATCCTTCAAACAAACATTAGATCAAATTTGAGTAAATTGAAAAAAAATATTCCACACTTATTCTCTATTATCACTTTTGTCCTGTATTTATCTCTATGATAAAATATATCATACATGTTTCGTTATTTATATCCTTTTCTCGCGCGTGAAATTCACACCACGCGCCCTTATGCGCAATCACGCGCGGTCAAAGGATATAAATAGCGACTTTTGAAAACATGTGAGATATATTTTGCCAGAGAGATAAATACAAAACAAAAGTGATAATGAGATATACGTGTGGGATATGTTTTGCAATTTTCCCGATCAAATTTTGCAATTCAAGAACTATTGTTAAATTAGTAGGTGCTGAATGATGGAGTATAAGTTTAATTAGCAAAATAATGACTAATAGATTGACTTGATTTTCTAAAATTTTGGTTCTCACGGTCATTTCATAAAAATTTTAGTTTATTATATATAATTAACAAATAACATACATATATATATATATATATTCAATGTAGCATCAGTCTCACCCCACAAAGATTATACTTCCTCCCTCCAAACTATAGTTTTAATTGGGTTGGACATGACATTTAAATAATATTGATAGTTGGTAAAAAATATAAATAAAAGATTCTTTTTGTCATTGTGAGTGTATTTGAATAAAAAGTAGTGGTAATTGTGTAATAAAAATAAAAAAGTAAGGATAATTTTATGGTGATATGATTATTTATAAAAATAAAACTATTATTTTAGAACAAACAAAAATTATAAACAAAACTATTGTATTGAGACGGAGGGAGTATATATTTATATATAAAAACAAGATAAGATCAGTTTCATTTAATATTTTATAGAAGATTGCGCAGGTCGAATTAGCAAAATAATTAATCCGTCCGTCACTTTTGAAGGTAACCCTTTGAGGCTTCGTACTTATATTAAAAAATAATAATATTATATTAGTTAAGAAAAATATGTAAATATTATTGACATTTTTGCCTTTAAATTTTATCTATAAAATAATTGTATGGATAATTATATATTTGTAATTTAAGTAAAAATTAAAAGTATATAATATTTTTTTAAAAATAAAACAAAAATACTTTTAATTGGAACAAACCGATAAAAAGAATATTTTGATTTGAAATTAAAATATATAATTTCAAACCGAAAAACTACACATTATTCAATATGTATTATTTTT